TGCTTCTCTGATATAAACAAAAAAGACATGGAAGAAAGTAAACGTTACTTTGAACACGAATTTTCTTCCACAGGAGCATAAAAACAATAAGTTTTAATTGTTTTACCTATAGGCCATGTTTTTCAAAACTCGAACATCTTTTTATATCAATACCTCTAACAAAAGACAGAAAAGTTAGGGATCACTTAGGAGACATTCCATTTCGTCCACATTCTAGTAGATAATGATTTAAAAATGGACTGCCTTTTTCCAGATTTCTGTTGTCAGTTTAATTTAAATAATCCCATTCTTGGCGCATTATGTTGAAATACCTTAAGTAACAAGCGCTGGAATTAGCAATGGCCTTGTCGAAAAACCTGAGAAATTCTAAACGTCATCGAGTCTTTGGAGTAGTGCTTCTGTGAGGGATTTAAGCAGGGTTTCAGGAGCTATTATTGGGCTCCCAAAAAGTAAAAATACCCTCATGTTTGAACTTGTGTCGGATGTGATCAATTAGTGAGATATGACGAGTTGGGGAACACAATGGTTGTTTGTCGCTATGTAGGAAAACAATGAACATTCTCAGGCCAAGGATGCATAAAGGGAATAAACAATGTCCAAACCCGTTCCATATTTGATCTAATTTTATCATAAAGGACTTTATATAGACTTTATATAGATAGATATGATCGAGTTTTCATTCAGAGCAATAAAGATCAGACCGCCCCCCCCCCATCCTTTTGAGGGTTTTATTTATTTATTTACTTCCTTATAATTGATTTCTTATTTATCTATTTGTTCAGTGTTTTATTTACATATTTATTAATTTATTTTTCTAATCATCTATCTATTTATCTATTTATTTATTTGTTTGATTATCTATCTATTTATCTATCTATTTATTTATTTAAATATTCAATGTTTAATTTATTTACCTATTTTGTATGTTTTTAATGTTTCTCCATCAATAGAAATAAAAATTGAATTGTAAATAAAATGAACTTATTGATCAAACTGTATATAAATTGAACAAAGATTTATGTTTCGCAATACAGTTAACAAACGGTTAAAAAGAGTCTCTAACACATGTTTCTGCATTTCATTTTCAGTAACATAGTGTTCAAATATAAATAGTTTCATATGAATAAAGTACAAAACGAGTGTGGCGGAACCTATTAAAATCCTGCATGAATGTCCCTTCCAAAGCATTGCGTTTTAATATGCACGGAAATATTGCCAATTATATACGAGTGACTCATGTAAATGTTAATCGCTGGATTATATTATAAGTGCCTCAACTCCAAACAACTCCTATAGGTTAACGAAAATATCCGAATCGAGAGTTGAAGATTTGATTTGTTATTTGTAATTTTAAAGAAATAGTATAACAATTATTATTAATGTGAGCCACTACCCCCGTAACTTTATGTCAGTAAATGTAAGATATTGGAAGACAAAGGTAACGATACTCCGTTCTACTTTAATTCATATTTTGAAGAACTACAGTGCGGTGAATTGAATTTAAGGAAAAAGAGAGAGGGATTTTGTTTTGTAATGGTACACATCAAAGGCCTTTTCCCTCAGTAACAAAAACTTCAAAGATGATTGAGATGAATACGAGACGACAGAGATCAAAACATGAGACTAATGTAAGATATTGGAAGACAAATGTAAAGATACTTCGTTTTATTTTTATGAAGGACTACAATGCCTTGAATTAGATTTAAACCTTCTCCATCAAGAACAAAAATATTTTTGTTTAATGGTACAAATCAAAGACCTTTTTCCTCAGTAACAGAAACTTCAATGATGATTGAAGCATGAGACTGATGAAAACAAGTATGGTACAGTGAAGAGCTTGCTAAAACAACAGGGAAACAAGCAAGACGTTAAGAAGTTTGGGAAGAGACAAGGACCATTTGTAGACCATTGCAGACAGAGACAGAGATACAGATACGGATACAGTACAGTGGGACATACGGTCGCATAATATCGGCATACTGAAAATAGCTGTAGTTTGATGTACAGGGAGAGGGGAAGAGGAGGAAAAAGGTGGTAAACTTGATATTATCTGAGCTATTTTTGTAAATGATTCCAGTATCAATCATTTCCCAAATAATTAGCACTACTAATATGTTACAACATTCATTTCCGTGTTTATTTTGGGTGGGGTCAATCTTATTATACTATAGAAACAATGACCAATATGTGAGGCTAAAACGTAAAATGCGGTATACCGGTATGTACATTTAAGAAGCTTCTTCTTACAAAATACGCTATGGAACTATACCAACAAGATAAGACGTTGCCTGATGAACAATGAGCTTCAACTTGAAAACATAGTAGGCAGCGTAACATATTTGTGGAAGGAAACAAACAAGACATTAATGGCCAACAATAGGGGACACACGCCCCTGCAAGGCGTTCAAACTCTGCGGTATCACCATGATGCGGTTGTGGCGTTTTGTCTTCGGAGATTATGGATTGTCTTCTTTGCCATGTCTATATGTCCGCTTTTTTGGGGGAAGGGTAAGGGGTAGGGGATAAGTTAAGAGAGAATCGAGTGCCCAATTGATCCTTCTTTCTAAATCGATTTTTACCGCTCTCCATCGAAACCTACGTTGCCGTTTTATAATTAGGTCCTCCTTGACATTGAATAGGGAAACTGTACAGTACAAGAAGGACGCTTTAATAGCACCCATCACCTTTAAAGGTATTAACATAGGGTGTAGGATTACCTAAGCATTTTATGCATATATTTTCCAATCATATTACAAAGCACTTGTAACCTTTTAATTCTCAAGGAGTTTATAAAATACAAGCCATGCTGTTTTTAATAGACTCCTCCACTTTATATCACCACTGTGCCAATCTAAAATTATTTATTTGAGTATCATTTTCGTATCTTTGGTTAATAATATGTTATTGAATTTGTTATTCATTTAATGATGTTATATTATGTGGACAAAATAAAAAAAAACTTTGAAACCTTCCCGCAGGCCAAAGAAAATATAAGAATGTACGAATACATTACAACATAGTAGATGATACCATGTAATATCTCCCTGTCCGAATGGAGGAACCGGAAACACGATTTTTCATGGAATAATCCACTGTTGGATTTCAAATTGTCTTTTAGACGGGGCCGGAAATATTATTTGTCTATAGCCATTATACAGGGCGTCGACGAATTCGCATATTGACAGTGTAACCAAGAGGATTAATTCTGATACAGAGGTTTTTTTTAAATGTGCCCCTCAATTGGCGCTCCGAAATCATGTTCAATCACTATTAAAGTTCTTTCGACATGACTAATATTATGATTATTGTTACCACATTATTACTACCACATTTCTTTATGTTGAAGAAAAAGAAAGAGGTGAGCTCTATCTTTCAAAAAGGCCATTGAGGCGTGTCAGTGATGAACCGGGGCGAGGATGCTCTATTCTCTCCTATCTTGTTGTATGCATTGTTTGATCTTCTGGGAATCTTTAACGTATTAACGTTCATGAATCGACTTCCATTTTAGGCAATCCATTCGAGCACATTGTTAAACTTGCGAACAATAGAAGACAACGATAAGCTGATAGGAGCTATACATGTATACTCTGAGCTTCTGGAATATGCCCAAGTGTAAAGAAGACATATCGCGTAACAGAGAAACGAATACTTGTTCATCTTCGTTAAGAAATTGATATATACTTTTAATTGATAATGTTCTTGGCTATTGTCTGCATTTTCTTCGATTGGTGTAGATGGCCAAGACACTTAATTCTAAACATATTTCATCAGATATGTCTGTACAAAATTGGCAATTTCCAGTATAACCGACCCAAATAATTGGAAACACATTATAGTGGGTGGCTACTGGACTAGACAGTAAGTGACTAAAGCAAGCGTTTAGATATATTGGTGGATAGACAGTAAAGATTTCTACAGACAGACAGACAGTTAGATGTATAGATAGATAGATATATACCAGGGGGGGGGATGTTTCACAAAGATCCTAAGTTGAACTTATCTCTAAGTTGGACTAAAAAATTATGGAAAGCCATTAGCATCTTTGAAAATATTTTGTAAAAGTTATTTTTAAAGGCATTAATTGTTTAATCAAATCATTCATATTTTCTATCATCAAGGAGATTTCATGTTCTGGATGTGGAATTTATAAAAAGTTTAAAATACTTGAATTTCTGCTGTTGAATATATTTCATTTTAAGACTCCAATGGCTGTCCATAATTTTTAAGTCCAACTTAGAGTTAAGTTCTACTTAGGATCTTTGTGAAACACCCCAGGTAGATAGACGTAGAGACATTTGATGATTGATTGATTACGTTATGTAGGAATGTAAAGAACAAGAGATAAGTACATTATGTTGAAAATTTAAATATGTTCTAGATTTACCGGACTATTATTTGTCTAGATGAATTTTAATACGACTAGTGAATGGTTTCAATAACAAATCAATTGAAAAATAATAATGATAATAAATAAATGATAAGTGGTATTAATGGTGTGATAATATGGTGATATTTCTTGGCATATAGATGTATAAGTAAAATTAAAAGTGAAAGCTCGAACGCACTTTCAACATTAACATTCCCTAAATGAACAAAAAGTTGGTTAAAAATATGTAGTGGAAAAACCTACAGAAATACCAACTTAAGACAAAATTTAAGCAACTCTTGCTTAAACAAGCTAGATATGTACTTTCATTCGAATTTATTTTATACTGAGTGTAATTTGAATAAAGCATTGAAACATTTCCGTCTAGATATTTTCATATCAGACACGTTAGTGAGAGAGAAAGAGAACATGTCATAGAGAGAGAGGGGGGAAGAGAGAAAGACACTGTAGCATATAAAATACATTATAGACTTCAAAAGTAAATCATAGTTACAGGAAAAACATTATATAACGCAATAAGGCTGTCAAGGGCGCCCCAAATTTGCTTGCAAAGTTACCCTTGCAGAGAGTGAGTCAGTCTCTTTCAATAAGGGGAGGGGTAACAGCGCGGAGAGCACCATAAGGAGCTTATCGAAAAGGGGGTAACAAGATTGTTTCTTCGAGCGTTTCGCGATGAGTAATACTTTGCTGACTTAACCGTGCGCTTTATAATGACCCGCCGAGGGTGAAATAAATCATTAAGCCATTTTGCTCAGCTCTCGTCGGTGGAAGCACACGCTGTTCTCATTAACTCCCCGCACATTTGAGGCGACAGGGACCTTTTCAGAAATATTGTCAAGCGTCAGGAAACTATCTCAGAGACATTTTCTTCACATTGTGTATAGTTTGTACAGAATTCGATTTGGAGCGGTTTCGTTTGTGTTCCGGAGAAGATAACAAGTGCTGGATTTTATCTTAAGAGTTTTGGGAGGACTTGTACATGATTCGCTCTCTAGAAAAACGATCATTTTACCGATGAGAATAAATTTGAAGCAGGACAATTACTGTTGAAGCTGGAAGTGTTGAAGTGTGCACTTTATTCCTGAATCAAAGAGTTTTATTTCTGTGTTTCCTCCTGGATTTACTGGAGAAAACTTAGACTATTTCAACCGGGAGGCGGGATTTCAATATTGTGCTAATTTTGACGAACTTGGAAAATACTTTGAGGAACCAACCATGATTACCAAACTCGCTGCTCATGCAGCGCTTTACATCACGGCGCTTTATTTCTCACTCTACGCTGTAACAAGTGGGAATGCTCAGTGTGTCGAGAATGGAATAAGTACAAATATTAGCAGCGAGCTAGTTATAACAGGAGGGAGTGTGTCCCTTTCCTGCTATGTGTCGGGTGCTAATGGACAAACGATATCGTGGGTGAGCCCCGCTGACGATCTCCTCTCCGTTGACGCCGCCATTTCAGCGAGCGCCGTGTCGAGGTTTACGATCAGCGCCAATAATGCGAACCCGGACTGCGGGGTCTATAACCTGACCATCACGAACTTGACCATGGCCGATGCGGGAACGTACTCCTGCCGACCGACGACGGGTATGAACCCGATATCGACCGAGATCGTTTCTTTCGGATACGAGCCGGCGTCGACCTATCCGGAGTGTCGGGTGACGGGAGGTAGTACCCTTGTGATGGCTGGAGACATGCTCGAGTTCATCTGCGAGACAGAGCCTGGTTTTCCCGTATGGGATCTCGCCTGGGAAAGCTCACAGTACGGCACGATCACGCCGGCGCCCACCACTTCCAACACGACCAACAGCGAACTGAAAAGTATCATGTCGTCTCTCAACGCCACCACCGATGAGAATGGAAAGATAATGACCTGTATCGCTAGCTGCCCTGATCCCGAGTGCTTAGATAAGGTTGAGCGGAACTGCAGCCTCGGGCAAATCGTCGTCGTCGACAATCCCGTCGACGAGTATTTCTTCGTTACCAACCCTTTGGTGTCGGTGACGAAGGGTGCAAATGCTAGCATCGAATGCCAAACTACGCTACCCGGGACGGAGCTGCAGTGGTTTCTTCATGAAACTGTGACAGAGAACTACGTCACTGAGACGACACCTACCGGGCAATCGGCGACCATCTACATCACGGACGTTTCGAACAGAACCGTCGAAAACCCATTCATCTGTTCCCTAAGTATTAATGGAGCTATCATCTCAACGAGAAAAGCGTTGCTAACATTCGATCCCCCGCCGACCACGGACATGCCGACTACGGTGATGCAAACAACGATGTCGACCATGGGAGGGCCGACGGCGGCTTTAAATGCGACAGAATTTGCTCCAATGAACGTAACAGCTACGCCTAGCATGTTGGTGAATACGACACTGAATGCGACAAGCCAGCAAGGTAACATGACAACGACTCCACCTTCAACCAATGTGACGGCTACTCAAGCTGTTGGTAATACGACGTTCGGAACGACTGCCGGTCCGACAATGAATGCTACGGCAGCAGCAAACACTACTCAACAATTCACCACACAAGCGCCTTTGTTGCGGACGAACACAACCAGTCTGAACACAACTCAACAGCCACAGAATACGACGCTGCCATCCACAACGATGCAGGAAGGCGCTAATACGACGGCCGGATCAGACAACACTACAGGAACCATGCAGCCCGTTAACCCCACCATCGTTCAACGCACTGTGTCAACGGTCCAATGGTGGAATCCACTGACAACTCTCTTCCCGCAACAAACCATGTTCCCTCAACAACCTACGAATGTGCAACCACGAGATCCGTCAACAGCCGCGTCAACAGCCGCGTCAACAGCCGCGTCAACAGGCGCTCCGACAACGCCAGTTGCGTCAGGTCCGACTAGCGCCATCGCCGCATTCTTCACACTCCCAGTTATCATGGGAATCGCCGCGGTCGGTGGTCTCCTCCTCATCTTCATCGTCGCGGCTATCGTCTGCGTCCTGACGTCGAGGAATCGACGCGGCGGTGGGCACGACGTCGAGGAACTAACCGAACTATCCAAGCGAACCTCCAAACCGATCCGACTTGATCCGTTTGAGGTTCCCGCCAACAGGACAACCGCATCCGATCCGACTTTCGCTGCTTTCGGGAAGGGAACGTCAACGCAAGACCTTATCAACATTGGAGATGAAAATCCGTCTAATGCGCAACAGAATGGTAGCAACAACGTTGGGAGAGGTAACAAGAACAACGGAAACGCCGACACAAGGCCACTCACTGCCAATGATATGCTCAGTAATGGTCTCGATAACCACGGAATGTCCGATTCAATTCTCTAATCGAACAATGGCAATATTTCAATTAATTGTACTCTGCCTTATTTCAAAAGATGAAGAATGTTATCTGCTTCTTTTAGAAGAAATGAGCTTCCAGTTCGAGACGTATTAGTTTCCTGTGCACAGGGTGTTGCCCTGTGGTCTAATTGTTTATACCCCAGTCACATTGACGAGACCGATATAGGATCGATAACAGAACGAACCAAAATGCATTACATCAGCTCGCCAATAATATCGATCTATTTGGAGTTAGTGTGGAGTAGGTTTTGCGCTGTGACTGAGTTGATATATCCCAGTCACACTGCGAAGTCGACTCCTCACCTAATCCAAACCGATTCATTCTTGGCCTTTCGGAGTATTGAAGAAAACAAAATCTGTCACTTGTCGTTCTGGTGTCGGTCCAGTTGGTATGACTGGGGCATTGATTTATCATGCAACACAATATCATTTAGTATCAGTCGTATGATATGACGAGTTTTGAAAAAAATCAAGCCTTTCTTTAGAAATATCACCCAATACATTTGTGAGCATTATCAGATCTTCCATTTTCCTTTAAACTCTCACAGTAATAAATCAATATCTTTTATTATCATCCGCTCATCATTATCTATACAGGGTAACCGAATGCAGTAGAGAGTATTGTATACAAAATGTATTTTTTATCAAATTTCTAAGCTGCTCTTTTTATAGTTAATCATTGATTAGTTAGTCTATAGAAGGTGTTTTGACAAATTGTTCCTTTAATTAACAAACGTTACACGTGGACATGATCAATTTGTATACATCGTTGATTAACGTTGTAAGTTAATCATCGTGATTTTGATGACTGATATCTCATCACTGTATAGTCAGAGAAGAATTTGATCAAAGATGAGATACTAGATAGGTAATTTGCAGTTGCGTATCTATAGCATTGCTTCGAATTCATACCTTGCTCTATATCATATCGAAAATCTATTACTCTTGGCCTATTTGATACAAGGCGTTAACACAAAAGAACTGATTCTAATTGCCTAAGGAATGGTACACAAAATACGATGTTTTTTGACAGACGAATACAAGAAAGGTATAGCTGTACCTCTTAATTTTTGCTCCTTAATGGGAGGAAACAGTTCCCTCATTAATGATGGATGTAATAAGTCATCTTATTTTTCATAACACAGCAAAGAACTTTCTTTTTAGGGGCAAGATATTACATCCTCAAACAATGACTCTTTTACTGCCAAATGACGGGGAGGAAATAGGCTTGAATGGTTTCTTGGCATGTTCGTCATTGTGATAATGGATCAGAACATATATTGGATTCCTTTAAATCTCGAGGTTAGTTGCAAAACATTAACTCAATTTTGGAAGAAAAAACTCTTATTGATAGGTATATGCAAAACAGATAGATAATCCTATGTCCTGATATCATGCATTAATGCCTTTGTCATTGATTGGTGAAAAGCAACAATATTTTTAACTTTTCAAGCAAAAGCTTTTTTCTTCCGATGAGGCATTTTCGCGACATTTCAACGGGTGTCTCACCTGTTTCATAACAGAAATATACTTGGAAAAAAAAGAGTCACGTTGTTAAATCTTTTGCCTCCCCCTTCCTCTTACCCTTCATCGTACCAACAGACAACTATGTTTATAATCTTAAATCGTATCGTCATCATGACTTGACATAGCACAAGGGGCCCGGAGGTATATTGCATAACATTTGCTAAAATTCGTCATGAGATGGTCGCTAACTTCCTTCTGTTTTAGTTGCTAAAAATGACTTATGTGGTTTGGTTTGAGTGTTGTCTAACAGCTGTCACGTTCACCTTTCCACCTCTCCCCCAACTTCCCCTGTCTCTTTCTCTATTTATTTCTCTCCCTCTCTCTCTCTCTCTCTCTCTCTCTCTCTCTTTCTCTCGACCCCATGATTTCGACGGATGACACACGCACACACATACACGTTGTCATATTTTTGTGGGGAAATTAATCAATTGGGTGTTTGTGTGAATATGTCAGTGTGTAACATTCTTCTTTCAAACTCTTTTTTTTTCTTTTTTTCTTGCTCACACAATATTTAAAGGCTACCTTATTTTTTGCCCAGGGTGGTTTCCCGACAAAGCAGTAGCCTGGATGTATCCAGGTCCCTAAACAAAAGATGATATAGATGAAACATGAACAGCGAATGATGACAGAATTAACCCCACAAAATACAAACAGTTGAGCAGGCTTGACTTATGTTTGACTCCTGAACTTTTGTATTCTGACCAAAAAAAAGTTTTGTTATTCATACATGTTTTCTACATGTTCTTTGTGTGTGGGTAGTTATTTCTGACTTTAGTCTATTAGGAACATTTATATGGTGACTTCATCCATTTGTTTATTGTAAATTTGATATATTCAGAAGATCATATTGTAAATCTCATCCTTACGCAAAAAAATGATCAATAACAGACATTTTACATGTTAGTTATCTAGGTCCTATTTCAACAAATTGTTCGCTTAATTTCATAACTTTTGCTTGATGATTATTACATCGACGACATTGTCGTCATCATTGTTCGCTGAATCACATTTTGATTAGATGTTATCATTTGAGGGCAATTTACATTCGTTTTATTTATATTTTAATTCAATTAAATCATTAGGTATTTACCTATCACTCACCATGATCATCACCGATATACTGATCAATTTGATAGATTATCGTGATAATTATTATTATGACATCACAATACCATCTTGTCCGTCAACGGTGCCACGATGTTTCATCTTCGTTTTACATCCAACAACTCATGCTTTCCTTTCCTAAAATTCATCATTATACATATACTCGCATTTCATTACTTTAATATGTTCAATCCATGATTTTAAATGTGTCTTTTTTATTGATATTGTCGTTGAAGATGAATTCTTAATTTGTAATGGATAATGTATGTTATGATAACGATAATGGCATTGTATAGCGCTCTTACGGTTGTTATATACCAAAACGCTTTGTTTTTAATGTTCTATCATTTGCACAATGAAAGATACGTTAAGAATTTGTTTAATGTATCTTTCATGATAACTGAATGCGATGTCGACATTGCGTTCAGTAATTATGACTTTATATCGCATGAGTTTGTAAATAGCTTAATCTAAATTTATCTTGCTATACAAGCGTTGTAAATAAGCAAATTGTACTGTATTTCGCAAATTATGAATCGAGATTTTGATGTAATATTTTTCATTGATTAAAATGTTGATATCGATGTATAAACAAGAGTCAAGTGTAATCAATTATTCATACTATGTGATATGTTAACAAACCAAGAGAAAATGAGATAGAGTGAGAGGGGCGAGTCGTGTGTGTGAGAGAGATGGGGGGGGGATAGAGAGATGATAGAGAGAGGAAAGAGAGAACGAGAAGAGAGGGGATAGAGAAACAGAAGAGAGAATGAGAGAGAGAGAGAGAATTAGAGAGAGAGAGGGATAGAGAGAGAGAGAGATAGAAGGGGAGATAGATAGAGAGAGAGAGAGAGAGAAAAGAGAGAGAGAGAGAGAGAATGATTAAAAGTTAGTGGGGTGGTTGAGACACAATAAAGGGAAGAGAGAGAGAGAAGAGAGAATCAGAGAGAGATAGAAGGCGAGATAGAGAGAGAGAGAAAAAAAAAGAGAGAGAGAGGGAGAATGAATAAAAGTTAGTGGGGTGGTTGAGACACAATAAAGGGAAGAGAGAGAGAGAGAAGAGAGAATGAGAGAGAGATAATTAGAGAGAGAGAGAGAGAGAGGAAGAAGAAATAGAGAGCGAGATAGGAGATAGATGAGGATAGAGAGGGCGTGTGGGTGACAGGAGGAGAGGGGTTTTGATCATATAGCGAAACAGTACGATTAGATAAACTTATGAACACAATTTTGTTATCCTGATTTATTATGGTAGTTGTACTCACTGAAAAAGTCAGAAATTAATGTGGGCGTAGACGAGTACGGGCATCAATACTTATATCTTACGGAGAAGCATAAGTAGAAACAAGGAAGTTGAAATTAAATGAAGGAATATAGCGTCAACATTGTTTTGGTGATTTGACTGATTGATTGACTGACTGACTGACTGGTTGATTGATTGATTTACTGATTGATTGATTGATTGATTGATTAACTGGTCGGTTAATTTGACTGATAGGTTAATTCAATACCAAATTAATTATCCCATTTCAACTCATGCGAATTGACATCCAAGTCATTATTTTATCAAATTATACAAGACAGACGTGGGCAAGGAAAAAAAAGGGGGAAAATAATAAACTTCGAGAAAAAAGAATTGAATGGTATAGAGTATAGATATAACATATAAGATATTTTTTTTTTGTGGGTAAAATGTAAATTAGGAATAAGGCCTATATCTACACCTATATTTAATTTTTCTGAGGTTTTCAAAATTGGTTGGAATATTGATAGCTCCCCCCCCCCCCCATCTCGATGCACCAAACAAACTCATTAATATCATTCGTATGTGATCTATGCATCGAAAACATGTTAATTCACCTTTCTGTACAAACGTGAGAAAAATCAGCTGGTAACAAGTGGTGCAATGCAATGTCTGCAGATCGAAGCTCTACTATAGATCGAAATTCTTGAATATATAACAATGAAACGCCCTTGAAGCATTGTCCACCCCCTCTCGGCCCCCACCCCTGAATAATGAGTGGGGGGAAAGGGGCTTAGTTGTCCTGCTTTTGAAAGCAAAAGGGGATATCCTCATTCCATCCATTTGGAAAGATGTAGACCGTACTGAGTAAGTCTACTGATGAGGTCATCCCTACGTCACAATGGTCGATCGATTGGAAAGCTCCTTCCCATTACAGAACAATACAGATGGCAGTTTGAAGAGGTGGGCGAAAGCCTTGGATGGTACGGGACTTTGTTCCTGAGACACCGTTTTTAACAATACTGTATTGTGACGTCACTGTAAGTAGCCGAACGCCCAGGAAAGTTTATTCAACCTAATTTCAGGCCCTTGTATTATAGACCGCCTACTTCCGGGGAACTACTTCTAGTAGAGTTCATAGTATGAAGTCCATTTTATTATTTAAATTCTTCCTTTTCTCCTATAAAATTCGCTTATAACTCGGTCTCATTTGATCACAATTTTCAACCGTAATTCCTTCTATCCGTTCTTGTTCCCATTCCCGCTTTCTCTATCTACGCTGTGCATTGTACAATGAAAATGAATGGTAAAATATTGCACAACAAGAAGGCAACATTATGTCCGACCAACTTCTGGGTTGTTCTAGTCGATGTTTTTTCCCCTTCAAACTCTAGTAAAATGTGATCGTGATTGGGCAAAAAAATATATACAAATTGAGGATAAATTTGGCCCAAAATTGAACGGACACATAAGTGCTCTCATGTTGGGCAATTTTTCCCATCATGATTGTATTGATTAGAGAACGTACTCATTATACTGGATAGAATTGTTACTTTTTTCTAATTCAATACGTTTGTTCAGAGCTTAAGCCTATTAAATGAAAAGATAAAAATGTTATTGCATAATTATCAGGGGAATCCTACAAGGAGCCCCTAAAACTTTCCGTGCAATGTGTAATTCAATAACAAAACACGGACCTTCGAATAATTCAAATAGTTACATGACTGTTAATCTTTATGACGTGCTAATGAGCAAGTCATGTTTTAGTCATGTTATTGGTGTGTATCATATTTTCAGCGACTCATCAGCTCGAGCGTATCAACTTTGGAAAACAGGAAACCCTCTCCCAAATCCGATTTTAATCTGAGAGATCTCGATTTCTATTGTGTCTTCAGCTTCTTCGAGAGCACGAAAATCATGCTTCCTGATTCGGAAGCCTCTTGCAATATCTAAGGTGCATTGAGGCCTAAGATCGTGTCACCAGATTGAAGAAAATGTTGATAGAATTGGCTATGGGTAATATGACGTTGTATGATAATACTGCGAGATATAAGGCAAATAAGGTGTTCTATCGTTACATCTACCGGTATATTATTTAATGTAATTTTTTGAAATCTACATTTTGTTGCATTGCAAACATACATGTAATCAATTATGAATAAAATAAAAAAATAAGATCAAATTTTTTTCTTTCAACATGAATGTTTTTATTCAATCAATATCCTAAAAAGTACGTCTTTTCTGATTTGTTTAAATGATTAAAAAAACAACAGCAAGTAACGTATAAGTCTAGCGCATATCACCTACACGTATAATGCCTACTTTTTTTAAAGCATTCGTATGGCCTCCTGTAAGGGGGAGGTAAATGGAGGGGGTCTCCCACAATTATTTTGGCATCAACTAAATAATAAATTGATGTTAAGCGTATGAGTCCGATGATAGTGTAATTTCGGCATTTACCCCCCCCCCCCCTCCCCCACATCTACAAATTAATCCACCCTATCTGCAACTCCAGAAGACTCAGACGAATATTTTGGAGGACCAACCAACCAAGTACCAAGCACTCCCACCAACCCGTCATTAGGGACTTTTAGATTTGCACAACGGAGAACGTGGACTGCCCTTTTAAGGCACTGGCAGTGACGTCACATTGCCTTAAAAGGGCAGTCCACGTTCTCCGTCGTGCAAATCTAAAAGTCCCTATTGAGGTGGATTGACATTCCTGTCCTTATCCTATAATAGCTCGAACATTATTTTTTAACGCAGTATACTTATGTACATGTATCATCATTTCCTTTGCTGATCTTCAATTACCGTGAATCCAAATATCATTGTATTCAAGTACTTAGAAGTGATGACTAATCCTGCAAATATATTAAGTCTGTGGCCAGAGGACTTAGTCCTTTTAAATTACAAAGAAGAACAGAAAATGGATAATAGAGAAAGAGAGTATTATGCCATTGTGATTATAATACAATGTATTGATTTCTTAATCACGCATTGATCTTCAAAAAGTTAATAATATTAATCGTATAAGCCATTGGATCATCATGTTTCATATGAGTCATGCATATTATTAACTAAATGATTGGATTGTAATATAGAATAGCAATTTAAATCCATTCTTCTTCACATATTGTTACAACAATCGCGTGGCATTATGTTCATAGCAAGCCTTTACAATAATTCGTTTCATGTTTATCTTTGTCCATAAATGTTATTTGACAATAGCGGATATTCAATTGAAGAGATATAGAAGGCGATTCCACCCCGGGACTATATGCATGAATCATGAGGTTATTTGAATGGCACGTCGCTGTGAAGCCCCCAACCGGAAGCCCTTACACAACAAAGTCAGTTATGTGTATTGTCTTGTCTTTAATATCCATCATCTCCATTCATCATCAATGGAACAATCGTTAGAAGATATTGTTTAATATCTATCTAAATTGCTTTCTTTATATCCGAGATATATCATTTTATGATTGAAAAAGCGTCCTGCCGCGTATCCATGTTGTTTTATCTCTTTTGGGGAGGGAATTACTCAAAGAGTAAGCACTTTCTTGCGAGAGGAAGGAGGAGGGGGGGGGGGGGTGAAAATTCGTCATCCGTAATGGAGCATTAAAATATACGCACGAAGGGACAAAGTACATAGATTTTGTTGTTGTTGTTGTTGTTGTTTTCTTTTTTTTGGGGGGGGGGAGGTGATAAATGATACCGTATGCACTTCTTTTACACATATTTGGGGGCATCTAAGGGCACTGAAAATATTTGGTGGGGGCGTGTCTTCAGCATCTATGGCTACACCAAAGAGATTGTCAGAGTTGACCATGTTTGTGAAAGCAATGCTAATATTATGTATGATGTTAATGTCCATATTAATGAAGGACTGACGATATTCACTGTTGCCCATAGGCAAAGTTGGAATAATGTATCCTAACTCATTTTCATGAAATCATTATTAGTATCACTATAGCGATATCATTTTCTATAAATCATTATGATGATAACATGTATTATTGATAGATAAAGTTCACATAGGCCTATCTTCTCAGAACTTTATAGATCAGTAACAATATAGATCATACAATACAGTTCTGAAAAGATATAACACTCATCTAGTTGGCGTTTAATTCAGTGGACCCACACGTAATAAGCCTAGATTTTAAGTAGGTTCACTTTTCATTTCTGTATTTTAATGATTAAAAGAACATTCTTTTAAGTTAGTATTTACTATTATTCAGGATATTTACTTCCATGTTACCTAAAGAAATAGTAATGCTTTGTAAAATGTATTATGCTTTGTTAACTTTTCATGGAATATGAATAAAAACAACCAATAAAATCAAAATCAAAATTTATGGGTAAAAGTGTACTTTCTTACAGTAACCTAAAGTAGAAAACACACTTTAATCCGAGGAATTCGTCCTTTTTGTTAATTAAAAAATAATAATAATCAAGAGTGAAGCTATCTTGTATATTTCAGTTGTGAAAAATTCATGGCACAACTCCTCCCTACGTGATTTATTAAGTCGAGCAGAGAATAAACAAGCATTTCCCATAGCCATGTTAAAAGCCAGAGCCAGGGGGCCCTTGATTAACGGAAGTGACGTATTCCGGTCACGGGATTAAACGTTGACAGGGGTCAACTCATTAAATACCCCAGTCACATCAACTACACCGACTCCAGACTGACCTGAGACCGAACACAAAATTACATTACCCCCAGTAGGCAAGAATCGGTCCGTTTAGAGTCGATATTTATGTCGTTTGGGCGGTGTGACTGATGTATTAAGAGACCCTTTCTATTCTGAAAGCTCTGTCTAAACATAAAAGTCGGCCGGATTTTAGGTAAGACGTGTATACTGAGTATGTCAGTCCCCCTTTGACGGTGCCTCACATCATCATCACTAATTAAGGATATTCAGCGGCAAAGCGAGGACATAGTTGCAATGAGGGGGCAACGGCATTTAATATGAGGTGGTCTTTCATAGGCGGATGATTAAATGAATTAAACTATGTCAACGATGAGGAGGAAGGTTTGGGAGGGGTAGTACCATCTCCTCCCCTTCTTCGCTGCTCTCCCGTTTCCAATTTCGTCGTTCGAGGGAGGGGTGGCCCCTGTACCTTCTGTAGCTACGCCATGCATGAGGAGACTGTTAATTATCATGCTTAGAGATCATCCTAGCATTTCCCGCTGAAACAATGCGCGCTTGCTTCGCCTCATTTCCATACAATAAGCTTTGGATTTAGTATAATTTGGAAAAAGAACGTGCCTTTCTTAACGCATTATGGAAAAGAAGAGAAAAGACTTGACATGATTGAATATATCCCTTTAGAAAATACTTACAATACATGTTCTTGCTTATTCTTTATTGCTGTTGTGAATTTATGTTCATGATTTGTTATTGTTATTATTATTATTATTATTATTATATATATTTTTTTCAACTATTGTTCCTCTTTATGTTTAAAAGGGCCTCATTGGAAGACCACTATTATTGGTGATAATGAGTCGCCCTGTCTAAATATCATAAATGAATGAATGAATAAATAAATAAATAAATAAATAAATAAATAAATAAATAAATGAAACCTGAATATGTTGACATTGTTTTACTTCCCAAACGGAACTCGTTAAAATGAAGACAGAAACTGAAGAACCAAGCAATCACACCATCATTCAAAAAGTAATATTTATCAAGACACGTCTTAAAATACGTCATAATCCCTACAACCTTAAGGATCCTTGGACCTCAACATTTATAAAGGTTCTACACTTGCCATGTGCTTCTTTAAAAAAATTAGACTTTTTGAGATAATCTTGGCAAGGATAAGTGACCTTTGATAAATTAGTCGATAGCCTAGAAATCAGTAATCTTGCATCAGCAAGGGAATGTCAGATACCCTTACCAAGATTTGTAATTTTTTAAGTATGTAAAAAGTGGTTTGTCCCGATTTATGTTTCTTGAGAATGTGACATATTAAAGTTTACATCTATAAAAGTATTCGGCAAAGGCCCTAATTCAACCAGACCATCGTTCATTCTTGAGTTACGAAGAACGCCCAAAACAATGATTTGTCCCGATTTATATTTCTTGAGAATGTGACATATTAAAGTTTACATCTTTGAGTATTCAACAAAGGCCCTGATTCAACTAGACCATTGTTAATTCTTGAGTTACGAAAAACGCCCCAAAACAATCAAAATTTGAAAGGGGTATCAATAATTTAGTTGTTAACTATATCTATTGAGATAATTTTCTTTATATGGACATCTTTGGACTTATTTATTTGTGATACGTTTTTTTGTTGCTCTATGACAGAAAGTATGTGGAATCTTATCCATTTTACAATGGACTTTTCTTAGTATGTGGCCATCTATCTGATACTTATTCTCAAGAAGAAAAAAGGAGACGTCAGTTTTGTTCTTCTTATTTGTTTGTTTATTTCTTTTCCACTTTTTATTTTTGTTATTGTCTGGGAGAATGATCTGGATGAATGTTTTCTGTATACAAGCTATACGGATCTTTAGCGTATGCTGCTTTACGGTTGCTTAGCTTATAGTTATGATATTAAGCATTATTAAGCATAAAAACAAATTAAAAATTTAGTAGTTATTGCACAACGATGAACGATCATTTTATATGTGTAACCTAAGCTTCCTATAACTATCGAGGATATTGGTGGAAAATTGCAAGTGTGTATTTTTTGGTAGCAGTTTCAACAAAATATCATTCTGTCTGACATGTGAGAGACGGTAGCAGAATATTTGTTTGCAATTTCTGTTAGGCCTCAATTAGCCTTCAAGTATGTAATAAACATTCACAAACACACAACAAAAAAGACAAATTTCGAAACATTTCCTCTTTTTTTTCTCTCTCTCTCTCTCTGTCTCTCTGTCTCTCTGTCTCTCTCACTTTATTTCTCTCTCTCTCTCTATTGCGTTTGAAAGTGAAGGCCAACTCTGTCTTCATTCAAAGGCTGTTGGACTAAAAATAACTTTGGGTGATTAAGACGATTGAGGCACATGGAACATACTGATTATAAGCTCAATTCTGATGTGCAGAGAATTTCATAATCCTCGTAATCCTATTGCCTAAGCGGGAGAAACTGAAAGTTCTGCTAACCAATATCAAATGCGACGAACGTTTGAGGTTCGGGAATGGAGTTTTAAAGGTACTTTTGATCAATAAGGCAAGAAATTATGATTGCACATTGATTGACTACAAAATAATGAATGTTCAGCATCATGGAATGATATACAGCCCATCCAAACATGATACATGTACTTGAAATGGCTATCGCGAGTCTGTAGATCTTTTAGATCTGTTTTCTTTTAGATAATTTTGTTCGTTGTCATACTCTCTAACCCCTCCACCCCACCCCTAGAAAAATCTCTCTCTCTCTATTCATCGTCCCTTCTTTCCTTTTTCCACACCCCCTATTTCATCACTATCTCTCTTTATTTTTACTTTGACACCCGTCCATCCTCTTTCCCATCCCCTCATATCTCTCTCTTTCTCTCTCTCTTCCTCCCTTCCCTCCTTTCCCATCTTCCCTTCCCCCTCTCTCTCGGCTCTCCCTCTCTCTATCTCCCACCTTCCCTCCTTTCCCCTTCCTTTCTACTCTCTCTCTCTCTTTATCTCTCCCTCCCTCCCGCCGGCCCTCTTCCCTTCCACTCTTCATACTCCACTCCTTTAATTCTTTCACAAGTTTTCTCCGTCTGCACCCCCAGGTTGCTCCCCACACGCCCCCTCTTGACAGGGGTAAGATGCCGTCTGTCGGGGGTTAGCGGAACGTGCAGCTCTTACTCATGCTTTCATTAATCCTAGTCAAAGATTATATTCCCTCAACATGAGCTGGAAAACAGCTAAAAATAGACCCCAACATATATGGTTTACACAGTTTTTATATTCATTCCACGGTACCGGTATAATGGCGCTATAGTTTGCCGTTGTTTAGGTATGTGATTGGTAATACTGATGTAAACTAGAAATGATATACAAGGAAGATATCAACTTCCAAGCATAAATTCAAGTTTTATTCCGCAATTGCATTTACTACTGCAACTTAGTATTTGTGGGTTTGTATATAGTATATATTTTCACCTACTGCGCTACTGCCACTATTACTACTACTACTACTACTACTACTACTACTACTACTACTACTACTACTACTACTACTACTACTATTACTACTACTACTACTACTACTACTACTACTACTACTACTGCCACTATTACTACTACTACTACTACTACTACTACTACTACTACTACTACTACCACCACTACTACCACTACTACTACTACTACTACTACTACTACTACTACTACTACTACTACTACTACTACTACTACCACTACTACCACTACTACTTCCACTACTACTACTACTACTACTACTACTACTACTACTACTACTACTGTAACTGCCACTTAAAATGAGGGTACCAACGTATAAACGGATGATGTTGAATAAGTTATGAACGATGTTTTATTCTCCAACAGTGCCGTGAAACTGTAAACAAACAATGCACAGAATACAATAAAATCAATCAATCAGATCAAAGTAGGATCTATGAATAGTCTATACAAGTTATGTAACAAATCACTTGAAAGTATTATATACTGATATATTATACTGCGTATAATAACAAATATAAATTCTACATCTCATCTTAACTGACATTGTCTTGACCGAGTATACAGACAATCTAACAATAATATTTCTCTTGACTTACCTCGTTGGCTGGACATTATCACTTTTAGGCAGCTAAAAAGTAAATTATCAATGAAGAGGGCAAACCGAACGAAGAACATCTTAACGAAACACAAATCAAAAAGCATAATGAATTAAGAACATCGCGTTGCTATGGTTGCGCGCATGGATAGGCAGAAATTAAAGCATACTTAGCGTATATCATACACGCGCATCCTAATTAAGGGCACGCTTACAGGTATATCAAAATAATTATTGTCAATAACAATAATAATAATAACAAAGCTTCTCTATCAACAAATTATACAAATCTTTTAAACTACTAAAATGACTAACTTGTCATTTTAAGCCGGCGGCAGCCACACTCCCACCAAAAATCCTTTATGATTTTTCATATTCGATTCTTCTAAAATAAGGCCCCAATTTGCCTATGATCAGTCAAAAGTGGAATACTCCTAAAAATAAAATACAATGAAACTACGTTCAACAGTCACCAAAAAAATGGTGTGAAAACTAACGAAACATCAAAGATAAAGTCAAGTATTGTAAGTATCGCCATCTCTTCCGCTGATAGAGGTCTTCTCTCTCAAATTGGTAGACTGTGTTTCTTGCTTATCGTGTTTTCCTTCGGAAGTTGGCTCTTTGAACGTCTCGTCGTGAAGACTAGTTGGATGGCACTTACTGCATATTTTGCATTCACTCCTCTTCGGACATTCCTTTGATATGTGACCTCTGCAGAGACACCCAAAGCAAAGTCCTCCCTTCTTCACGAATTCTCTCTTTTGCTCCATTGATTTTCGACTGAATTCACTGCACTCATCCAACTCATGATACTGTCGTTCGCAGAAGATGCAGGTCTTCTGGGTAGTGCTTGTCTTGCCAGCTGTGGAGAAGGTTATCCTTTGTTGCCGAGATGCTGCTTCTTCGTTTTCATCCTGTATCTGGATGTGTTGATCTCTGTCTTGTCCTGTCTTTGTTGCCTCGTACGTCACATGAGGATCGTTTGCAACATCAGCTTCCTCTGCTAGAAATGAGACAAAATCTTCAAATGATGGATATCTTCCACTGCCTTTCTTGAGCTTCGCTACTATGCGATTCCATCTGTGTACAATCCAATCGGGAAGTCTCGTGCAAATCTTGCTCATCTCCCGCATGTCGTTCAGGATGTCCAAGTCTTTGATTTCTGATGAAGCTATAATTATAAGACATTGTTGTAGGAAATCTGAGAGTTTCTGAAGGCCCTTGGGATCCTTATTTCCAATTCTTGGCCATGTGTCAAGCTTTGATCGAAAGGCTTCCGAAATAGTGAAGGGGTTGCCAAAGCGCTCCTCGAGCACCCTTCTGGTCTGTTCGTATGCTTTCTCTGACCTCAGCAAGAAGAAACCGCTGACAGCATCTCTTGCTGGCCCTCCGATGTATCTTCTGAGGTAGTGTATCCTTTCACCGACTGGGATTCCTCGACATTCGATTAACGTTGTGAAGGCTGACAACCAGTCAGGGTATTGGAGAGGATCACCCATGAATATAGGTGGCTCAGGAATGGGCAACCTACTAAGTGTCATCGTCCGAGCAAGCGCCTCTATAAGACCGTCATTCTGTTGAGCCATATTTGAGGAACAAACTGGATGGAAGACTGGTGTCTCAGGATTCAAGGCCTTAGTCTTTGGCGATTTCTGATCAGAAGGGAGTGGATCATCATCGGCTCTGGAAATTCCATACTCTTGTGAGTTTATTTCCTTTACGATTGTTGCACCGTTTACATGTTCAGGTGATCGAATCAGCTGCCTTGATGATCTCATAGTAACGGATGACGCTCCATCATCTTCTTCCTGTTCATACGCTCTCATCATAGCCTCTTGTGCCTTCAGTTGTCCTTGTAGGCGTTCCTCCTCTATTTCCCTGCGTAATTGTTTCATCTTGAATGAAGCCTCTTTCCTGCGAGCATCTTCATCCATCTCAAGGCGCTCTAACTCACTCTGACGTTCATTCTGACGCCTCTGAGCAGCAAGCTTCTCGTGAAGAGCTGCTGTTTCGGCTGCAACAACTGCCTTCTTAGAGGAGATTGTGGATGTCTTCGATATCTTGGAGGCAGTTGATTTCTTCGAGAAGGATGGCTCTTTAGTGACAGATGGTTCCTTTCTAGAAACAGCAGTTACGATTTTTGAAATCATGTCAACAATAATTGGGGAAAGCTCATTTAGATGCTTAGCTATGTCCTTATTCGTTTCTCCTTGGATTTCTTCAAGCTCATCTGCTACTCGTTGGAGTGAATCGAATCGTGCAGAGATATCAGATTTTCTAAGAGAAAGTTCATCGTCGTTTATGGGGACTAAAGACAGCAATTTGTCAGTGTCATTTAAGATTGTTAGAATGTCAAGATGCTCTGAATAGAACCTTCCTTCTAAGTCTTCTTCTCTGTTTTCCATTGCTTTTTCTGTGAGTTTCCTTGTACGAGTGGAACGACGCACATCCTTGACAGACATAGTTTAGGTCTAGACTACTATCAATTATGTCTTTCTGAATACAGTATATCAATGTTTCAAGTTGCCGATCAGGTTCTGTGTTGCGCCTGACTGCGATGGCGTGAGGTTTACCAAGGTTTCAAGCCGTCACTCAGTTGCCGATTTCCCTGTGTTGCGCCCGACTGCGATGGCTCAACTTGAAGGGAACGAATGCTCTGGTTGACATCGAATGGCTTGCGTCTTGATCGAGGTTTACCAAGGTTTCAAGCCGTCACTCAGTTGCCGATTTCCCTGTGTTGCGCCCGACTGCGATGGCTCAACTTGAAGGGAACGAATGCTCTGGTTGACATCGAATGGCTTGCGTCTTGATCGAGGTTTACCAAGGTTTCAAGCCGTCACTCAGTTGCCGATTTCCCTGTGTTGCGCCCGACTGCGATGGCTTAACTTGAAGGGAACGAATGCTCTGCATGGTTGACATCGAATGGCTCAGCTTGGTACGAGTACGACGATCATCGACTGGCTGTTGGACAGGTTTCGATGTCCATCGAGTTTCACTGTAACTGCCACTTAAAATGAGGGTACCAACGTATAAACGGATGATGTTGAATAAGTTATGAACGATGTTTTATTCTCCAACAGTGCCGTGAAACTGTAAACAAACAATGCACAGAATACAATAAAATCAATCAATCAGATCAAAGTAGGATCTATGAATAGTCTATACAAGTTATGTAACAAATCACTTGAAAGTATTATATACTGATATATTATACTGCGTAGAGTAAAGTACCCGGTAATCGGTCAGCTCCGGTTTTCGGCCAATTGGTTGGATACATGGTAAAATCACTTTAAAATACATCGCATAATAGCATAACACATATCCCACACATACCATACCATGCCAGTGTCACTGAAGAACCACATTTGCAATGAAAAATATATCCTAAAATATCACATTTTAGCGATGTAATCGGCGGTCCCGCTACCCAAATCTGAAAAATCAAGTTTCTTACGCGTGTATGTAAGAAATATGGGTACCATAAAATGAGCTTTATTTCAAGTATTTTTCAGATATAGAGCCCGATTTTGTGCTGGTCGCAAGCTCAAAAGTATCTCATCGCATGTATTAAATCAATGCAGCCGTTAATAACAAATATAAATTCTACATCTCATCTTAACTGACATTGTCTTGACCGAGTATACAGACAATCTAACAATAATATTTCTCTTGACTTACCTCGTTGGCTGGACATTATCACTTTTAGGCAGCTAAAAAGTAAATTATCAATGAAGAGGGCAAACCGAACGAAGAACATCTTAACGAAACACAAATCAAAAAGCATAATGAATTAAGAACATCGCGTTGCTATGGTTGCGCGCATGGATAGGCAGAAATTAAAGCATACTTAGCGTATATCATACACGCGCATCCTAATTAAGGGCACGCTTACAGGTATATCAAAATAATTATTGTCAATAACAATAATAATAATAACAAAGCTTCTCTATCAACAAATTATACAAATCTTTTAAACTACTAAAATGACTAACTTGTCATTTTAAGCCGGCGGCAGCCACAACTACTACTACTACTACTGCCACTATTACTACTACTACTACTACTACTACTACTACTACCACTACTACTACTACTACTACTACTACTACTACTACCACTACTACTACCACTACTACTACTACTACTACTACTACTACTACTACTACTACTACTAGTACTGCCACTATTACTACTACTACTACTACTACTACTACTACTACTACTACTACTACTACTACTACCACTACTACTACTACTACTACTACTACTACTACTACTACTACTGCCACTATTACTACTACTACTACTACTACTACTACTACTACTACTACTACTACTACTACTACTACCACTACTACTACTACTACTACTACTACTACTACTTCTACTACTACTACTACTACTACTACTACTACTACTACTACTACCACTACCACTACCACTACTACTACTACTACTACTACTACTACTACTACTACTACTACTACTACTACTACTCCTCCTCCTACTACTACTACTACTACTACTGCTACTACTACTATCCCTAGTATAATTGCGGTGATATAGTTTGCTGTCATTTAGGTATGTGGTTGGTAATACTAATGATGTAAAGTGGAAATGATATTCAAGGAACATATCAACTTCCAAACATAAATTCAAGTCTTGTTCCGCAATTGCATTTATTACTGCAATTTAGTATTTGTGGATTTTGTGCTACTACTACTACTACTACTACTACTACTACTACTACTACAGCTACTACTACTACTACAACTACTACTACTACTACTACAACTAATACTACTACTACTACTACTACTACTACTACTACTACTACTTCTACTACTACTACAACAACTACTACTACTACTACTACTACTACTGATGATAATAATAATAATCGTAATAGTAATAACATTAAGGAGAAGAAGAAGAAAAACAAGAAGAAGAACAAGAAGAAGAACAAATAGAACAAGGAGAACAAGAAGAACAAGAAGAACAAGAAGGAGAAGATAACATAACGAAGAAGAAGAAAAAATAATAATCATAATGAAAATTAGCACAAACCAAAGTCAATATAAATAACATATAAATTCACATTTATTGTGCATGAACTATCAAATTCCTCGAATTTCATTAACATATTTTGCATTAAGACATTTTTCATCAAGTATTTACAGACAGATACCCATTATAAATACATATTTATGGTGAAGTTTTCATTCACGAATTTCAAACCAATAAAGAGATTACATCAGATAAATATTACCATATCACCAACTTCAATTGTGCATTGAAACATAAGGCTGTATTAACTTGAAAATGGGAAAATGTAATATGTAAAACCTTGTATACTTAGCAGATGCATTTATTGGATAGAAGGTTGTCAAATGCATATATGTGCCAACTGATGAGCAAGATTGTAATACAGATTTTTTTAAATCTCATTCTGAACTAATTTCCAGCAAATAAACAAGCCAGGCCAACCCCTAAAACAGATCTTAATAGCATGTTGTAAGATAACTTGAGAATTAAGATTGTCCTTTACAAGTTAACAGAAACGTGCCTCAATTTGATTTTCTGATGTTGATGATGCAGCTGAGGTGTCACGCCCTTTTATTTAAAGGTAGTGTATCCCTTTTGCAGCCAACATCTAATTCTGTATAATTTTGTAGGAATTATGAATATGTCACGTATGTCCTTTCTGTGAAATTTAAAAGTTAGCAGTGTCCTAGTATTCAAACTGGGCAAGGAAACCTGTTTACACTATTGAGTGACTGACTGACTTCTTTTTTTCATTTCGTAATAACATGTATAAAATGAGCTGTAAAGGGTACATGAGCATTTGTATACATCAATAACCTAAAACCTAAAATTCCCAACGGTCGATATAATTTAACAGTAAAGACAATTACCAATTCTAAACTTTTCAGGGGAGTTTTTAGTTAGTATTATCTCTTGTTTATCAAAGGATTCACCCAAGTTTATATTTCCAGCCTGCAAAAGAGACACACCATATTTAAAATAATCAATATACACAACTTACAAAATTCCTCAATCTTTCCAATCTTTGTACTCAGAACTTGGATATTTTCAATTTGTCCTTTTTTCAAATTATTGCTGTTTTCTCTACCTCAGACAATCATGTTTTTATTTACATTCGTTTCTCTTATTTTTCTTCAAGAAAAATATATTTTTCAGTAAATAAACTAGGACTTGAAAAATTGAGGTAAATTCTATAGATAATTAGACTTCCTTATTACATCTGATATAGCAGTGATTACATCTTGATAAGAAAAAAGAAAGAAATTATGAGAACTTGACTTCTTGGCAAAAGTGAAACATAACCGAAAACAATAAGAGGAAAGAATGACATAATACCAACTAACAAGATATGAATTACCAACCAGACAAGATAAATAACACATAATGAAACTGTGAGAAAAAAGTGAAACATTTTTTAACTTACAAATAACCCACTTATTGCATTTGCAAGAAATAAATCATCTAGGAAAGACAATCGGAATATCATTACTACAGAAAGAGGATAAAATAGCAACTAGCGATCAAAAAGTTGACACCAAATGTTGCATTATCTGTTACTGTAGTTATATCTACAAACGAAAAAAAGGAAAACACTAACAAAAGTACTTCAAAAGTACTTCAACTAGCAACTATTAATCTATAAGTTTTAAAAACCAAATGCTGCATTATCTATTTCTAGTTAGATCTATGAACAAAATAAAGGCAAAAACTATCAAATATACCTTAAAATCCCATTATTAATACCCTAAACTAACTACTCTGCACCTTTTTTTTTCAAGAAAAATACCGCTATACCTATGTGAAAGGAGAGACAATAATTTTGCCGTGCTTGTGAAGAAAGAGAAATGGCACCTAATGGATCTTACTCTAAAGTGGCACAAATTGGCCATCATTTTTTCTATTATATTGCACATGACAAGGTGATACACAAAAGAAACAAATCTACCACCCCAAAACCCCAAGATATTTAAAGATAAAGATGAATTAATCCAAGCAAAAGAAATGGGTAGATGGATGAAGGCTTTCAAAAAGTTGTTTTAAAGAAGAAAAAAAGGGTTTCTCTGACCCAACATGTTCAAACCATTCAAATTTGCATTCACTTCATTGACATGATCTATGGCAATGATTAACATATAGTTTGCAGTACATGATCATGTTTCCCTTTAAAGAAATTCTGCATAAAGTTTTTTTCTTTCAGCTGCGAATTATATTAATAATAATAATCTGGGTTAGGTAGCGCTTAATATGAATACCGTCTCTAAGCGCGCTACAGATCTTATTTCCCCCATCATTGAATTCATTCACGCACAATGTGCACCATCTCCACTCCCTGGTTAATATTCCTACTGTATGGTCATGGGCAATTACTAACACAAATGCTTTCGTCATCCTACCGGGTCCCCATTTCTCTCTTGGGTATTGAGTGGCAAATGTAGATTAATGACTTGCCAAAGGACATTAGTGCCGTGTCAGGGATCGAACCACGACCTTTGAATTTCAAGTCACGTGCTTAAACCACTCGACTATGAAACTTCTAACACAAATGCTTTCGTCATCCTATCGGGTCCCCATTACTCTCTTGGGTATTGAGTGGCGAATGTAAATTAATGCCTTGCCAAAGGACATTAGTGCAGTGTCGGGGATCGAACCACGACCTTTGACTCTGTTCAGAGCCAAAAGGGCTTTAACTCTGTGTTTAAGTATATGAGTTAACACCCTTCTGGCTCCAAACAGACACACATGTACATACACATGTACATGACATACTGCCAGGAGTCAAAGGGTTTAGACATCATTTATTCTTGAAAGCGGACTAACTTTAGTCCCTGGTTTAATCTACGGACTAAGTATGGAATGCCAAGTGTCTATGTGCATGAATATATTTTCTGAATAATTTGATATGTCCCTAAATTACCATAATAACATAATTATATCATGGTTATATTGTTGTTTATTAATTATGTTATTACATTTTATTTTAATTTAGTGACAGATTAAATTATTCAAAAACATATTCATATGGACACATGGCATTCCATACTCAGTCGGTGAATTAAACCAGGAACTAAAGTTAGTCCGCTTTCGAGAATCCACCCAATGGGTTTAGAAATTTTTCATCATAAGCACCAAGAGTTGAAAAAAAAAAAATTGTTAAACAGAAATGAAATAATTTACTTCTTTTAAATCTCAACCTATACATTCATTGTGTGTGCATGTATACCCACAACAAAATAGTAGAAAAATTCACCATTACAGTAAATATCAGAATCGTAGGATAATCTTAGTGATGATGCTCTTGCATATCACAATTAGTCACCGAAAGTTGTTACTACATTGACAGTGAATACATAGGAATCCTTAACGAGTCATCAAGTTTTCATTTTTCCCCCCCTCAGGCAACTGCTTGAACAACTCAGTTTGACGATAGATACATGTAGGTCAATTTAATCTTCAATGTTGTTTTTCATGACGAAGGGTTACAACTGTTCACAATCGGTTGAATCCACCCACATTCAAATGGTTGACACATGTCATGTCCCGTTTATTATCATCCACACACGATAACAGATAACAAGTAACCCTGATCGCCTCCAATTTGAAAACTAAATCTACCAATAACATTGTTAAGAAAATTCACACTTTCAGTGCCATGGCTGGCAAATCCTGCCGAACGATTTGAGCATTGAAGAATCTCATTGCATTCACTACCTCGAGTATACCAACGAGAGTGACCCTAGACCCGACAAAAGAGCAAAAAAGGATTATATTACCCTAAATGACTAAGAATCATTTGGTTTGTAGTCGGTGTGGAGTCAGTTTAGCTCCATTTGTCTACTAGAAACAGATTTTTTTAATAACTCTATCAACTGAAGTTTATAGCCTGGAGGAAGCTATGATTGCCAATAAAATGAAGCATTTTCAGTCAGAATTTTACTCTTTAAAGTTCATTTATGACAGCTGTCTAAAGAAAAGCACAAAGTGGCCTAGAAGGGGAGAAGGAAACACCTGAATCACCACGTACAAGGTACGGTGGGGGGGGGGGGGGAGGGAACACATCTAATTAGATGACTTCATCTGACTAACATGCTTAGTCATTCACAAAGTCAGGGAAGAAATACAGTACAGACCTCTTAATATCAAGACAATATCCATGGAAGAGGCAGTCACATTTACACCCCAGTCACGCAACAAGCCCGACGCCAGACCCACAACAGACAATAGAAATAATTACATTACACCCCACGGCCAAAAGACCATCGCTTTGGAATCAGTCTAGAGTTGGTTTGGTGGTGCGAATGAGATATCAAGTGTGTCCTGAAGAAATCTTTTTTTAATGAAAGCAATTAATGGATCAGGGTCCCATTTCATAAGACTTGCTATCAATAACAAGTGCTATTGTTCAATTACAAAGTCGCTAATACCCAATCGAATGTAGTTATTCAGTAGCTTATAACAGTTATTTAAACTTGTTATTGATAACAGATTTGTTGAAACAGGGCTCAGAGTCCCACTGAATTCAAAAATATTTCAGGAAACAAATAATGTAAAATTTGTGTAATATGCAATACAAATCTTTATAGATAGATTCTGCTCAGACACATTCATTGTTGCTATGCCAAGCATGTTTTGGGCAAGCTTTTGGAGTATCATGATCAACTTTACTTGAAGAAATAGGCAAGAATTTAAGATTCCTTAGCCAATTGGTCCCTTGCGTTTTCCGAGTAGAATAACCCAGCCATTATGAAAACTTGTGAGACATATCTTAACAATTTGCCATAGAGATTTAGCATTTGTTATTGATAACAGATTTTATGAAACACGGCCCTGCTTTTCTTGGTCAAGCAGCCATGGAAGGTTGCAGCTGTCTTCATGGCTGTACACTCATCTTTCTAAACAGGAAAACAATATATCTCTTACATTTGGTTTTGCTGCGACAACAAGTGTAGCCATTAAAGATTACCATCCACACAAACATACACACAAAAACAAGAATAATGCTGTTGAAGGGACAAGAAACTGACAATGTGATACAATTTACCAATCATCTACAAATTAATATTCAGTATCAAAATGTGTAAAAAGAACATCCTTCATGCTCTCAGCTGTCTAATTGAAAATTAGAGATAACATCAAATTATAAACGAGTTGTCAAATGTACATCAATTGCTATGCATACCTCAAAGCCTTCCGCCCCGCTTATTGATCTCCTTTAGTTTACTATAATAATAATAATTATTATCATTATTATAATGTCCCTATGTGCTTTTAAAGAGCTTTGGTAATTATTAACCTAGCTTTAGCTCTGGCAGCCGTTATCTGTACACAGTGTATTTCAAGGAATAATCCTAAGGTACCCATTTACCTGACCTGGGTCGAGTGTGGCAAATGTAGATTAATGTCTTGCCAAAGGACCTTAGTGCCACAGTGGGACCCGAATCGCGAACCTTGTGAACCACAGTCCGAGGACGTATCCACTCGACCATGACAGTTTTCATCCAGAGCAGTTTAATGTCACCTCTTTGTGACATTCTTTTTTCTTCTTTTGATCCAGAATGCTCTGAATTACAAATCGTACATGAGCGGAAAGTTCAAAAATTGCTGACATTTTAAAATCCATTTCTGTTGCAGAACATCGTGCCGCGTACGAATAAGAACGAATAAGAGCGATTTAATAGAAGATGATAATTGCACTCTCTAAAAAGGCAATGCGTTATTGACAATTCATATTCACTATTTTAAAGTACAAATGGGTAAGTTCTTGTTGATTTTTTGTCATTTTCATTTACACTGTTGATTCCATATAAATTTTCATCTTTTTGTTTCAATATGAAAGAGTAAAAATACACCTTATTGTTGCCAATTTTAGGAGGAACATATGATAATTTGACCTTTTGACCTTTAGACCTTTAGAATACCCTGAACATGCACTCTCTCTCTCTTGAGAATGCCCTGATTCACATCCGAGCAATATTAACAGATCCTGCAGGGTTGCCCAGGGGAGAATTTTTTTTTTTTTTTACACCATCAGTTTACAACATATTTGCGTACTACCTAAAATACCTCCTCAATGCAACATTCTTGTTCAATAATCCTATGCTGTTGAGTTAAAATACCATGTATTTTGTGTTCCTTCCGGGGGCAATTTTGTATTTCGTATGTAGGAACAAAGCTGTGGAATGATCTGCCAGATGAAATTAGATTAAAAGCATCAAGGTTATCTTTTCGGAGACATCTTTCCACCTACCTTCAATGTAAATGACGTGGGCTCAATCCCATCCCCCTTCGTATTTTCCTTTTATATTACTTGTCTTCCTTTTATATATGTATACACTTCCTTGTTAACGATTATAGCGGCCTTAAGCTTTTACAGGATTTGTGCATGTACGTACATGTGTATGATTATTTTTATTAGTACATCCTTTTCATTTTTATGAACACATTGATGATTTTATTTTTTCAAAGATTTGTCTTCTTTCATTATAATGCTTTAACGCTTAAGCTTTTTTATTTTTATTTTTTCATTTTAGTAAAGAAAAAAAGTTACACGATATTGTATTATTTTGTTGTATATATGTAAATACAAAACAAACAAGTTTTACATTCATATGGAAAAACAAATTAACAGAAAAAATCTTGCCAAAGAATGGAACTAGGCTCGACTAGCACTTGTGCTAACTTCTAGTTCCCATTAACAACTTCACCTCTTAGAAGTACAATAAAACAAAGACAGTGGATACAATTTTCACAGAGCTGTTTCGAGGTTACAAGATTTTTTACAGTTAACACCTTAATTATTCAAACCCCTTGAAAATTGGATAATTTTTGCGTGTTTCGAAACTTAAGAATGAGCGGTAGTCTAGTTGAATTAAAGCCTTTGTTGAATACTTTTAGATGTAAACTTGAATTCTCTGTCACATTCTCAAGAAACATAAATTGGGGAAAATCAATTTTTCACATATATGTACTTAAAAAAATTACAAAACTTGGTAAGGGTATGAATAATTTAGTTGTTATCTGTATATGCTTTTTGATTTGACCATCAGTGACAACAAGGCACAGCCCTGTACACTATTAGGAACTTTAATGATGTTGCAACCTCATACCAGTATTTGTTGACACATATTGGCACCTGGGTTGCAGATCGTTTTCAATTGCACACACTTTACCTCTTAGAAGATACAAAAATCTGACAAAATTCAGTCCATGTTTGGCCATTCCGCTACGTCCATCTTCCGCAGCTCTCCGTCTTGTAAGCGATCTAACCATAGGCAGAACCCGTGAAAGATATTCACCCCTCCTCCTCCTCCTACTCCGTTCCTCCTGGCCCCCTCATCGTCGCTATCGTTGAAACCTATAAAGTCTGTATCCATTTCTCCGCTGTCGCCGTGACGATGCCGGAGGTGAGGGTCGCGGTCCGAGGAGGTTTTTGGCGCAGTGGTGGGATGGAACACGGAGTATTGCTTCTTGGAAGGTCGGATGGCAAGAATGGTCCCGACCTCCTTTCCAGGGACTAGGGTACGATACCAGAACGTCTGCTTGTCGATGCTAACAAAGTTCAGAGGCAAGCTGGACGTAAAGTGGAAAACAAAACAGATAAGAGGATTAAAAACAGTTTGTTTAAAGGTAAAGACCAGTTTTCGAAATGCCCCCCTCTCAAAAAATGAAATGGAAGCTCTTATTACCAATCATGTGAAAGAATATGTTTTGACTAATACGTGATGATACAAATTTTGCCGGGAAACTGCCTACTAATTGATATATTTGGTAAATTATCATATCTATCCGGCCTGGATAGATATAGCGTAGTCCCATATACATCTTTCTGTGTACAGTGCTTCACCAAGACTGGGCCAAATTTCTTATCATTTTGATGATTCCAGAACCTTGCAGTGCACACCAATACTTATATGCTAGATGATCAACCTTTTTTGAACGTTTCCACAACGTTTCTTTCACAATGCAATAGCATGACCAGAACTGGTCTATACCTTTAAAGTTACAAGGAAGGACAGTCTGTAGGAATATATATCTTATAACACAAACTCTTTCTTCAGTTTTGTAAATAAAACAGTGCACCAATTCAGATATAGTGCATGTATAAAATGAAGGGCAAAGGCATCGGCAACAAAATATCCTCGAACAATGGATGTTCATCCCAGATGACTAGCACCTAGGGAGGGCTAAAAGTTACTGGAGTGATCTTTGAACTCACAAAAATCTGAAATTTTTATTTTTGCCCTGAAGAAAATTTGCAGTCAAATATGTTTTTTTACCTGTATAAAACAAATCTATTCCATTATAAAAACTAAGAAAATGAAAGTAAATGTTATTTTCTGTACAGCGCGAATGGGAGAGGAGCTCGCAAGATACGTCACAAAACTGTCAATTTGTGTTTAATTGGTCGCAACTTAAAAAATAAGAACTTTTTTTTTTTAAATTCTGATTTTGCTCAACTTTCCCTGCTGACTTGTTCCTCTTATTTTCTGCTTCTATCAAAACCAACTTAATATCAGGGTGGAGTTCCCCTTTAAGGAGAAACATGTAATTGTCTGAGGGCTGATTATTTAATTTTTCCTGAATTATTATTGACACTGTATTAAATTGAACCTGATGAGAAAACCGCTTGCCCATGGAAGCGTTGTGGTCTAGCAGATATGTCACAGGACTGTGGATCACATGGTTTGTGGTTCGACTCCCACCGCGACACTAATGTTCTTCGGCAAGTCATTAATCTATATTTGCCACTCCACCCAGGTCAAAATGAGTACCTGGTACGAAAAAAAAATTACTTGAATGCTTTAGCGCCTTCTAATGGCAGCTCAGCTACATACAAGGTAATAAACATAATACCTTGGTATTAAAGTCATCGTTTAACAATGTTAAATCTGAGATGCATGACCCTACACATGTTATTCGTGTTTGTGATATGGTGTAATATTGAAGCTCTAAAAAAATTGCCATACTAGACTCATTTTCCCCAATAGACTGTAGTGTTATAAAAACCGTTAGGAAAACAAATTTTTGAATTTCAATTTCCAATCATAAATATCTTGATAATCAGACAGGCGATCGGCTTGTAAAAGTCAAGGGGTTCCTGACTGACCTAAAGGTTTATAATTATCATTGCAGCATGAGCTAAATCCAGGATTTTGCTCCAGAATCTGAGACAAAGTTACCTAATCCCTTTAAGCGCAGTAGAATATATTCATGTAGTAGCTGCGCTACATAAATGGACTCATTATTATCAATCAAAATCCTTGTCTCCTATGAGTATCTACAAACAGGTACATGTAAGGTTTAATATTAATAAAATGTACAGACATTGATGACCTACCGTAACGGATAACTTCCCAATTCTTTTGAAAGCTGTTGGCAGAGTGATGATCTCGAAGAATCTTTCACCAGCAGGATGAGATGCCATGAGTTCCTCTTCCTTTCTATCAGGTTTGCGTACTCGTGTCGACCAAGCTCTTTCATTGAAACACTCCTGAAATACAAAAGAGTTCAAGGTCAAATTAAGAATAGCAGCAAACAGGGACATTAGAATGAACTTCTTGGGTAGGTCCTCTTTTTGTGCCAGATGTATTACAAGATAAATATACAGTCAAACCTGCTTTAGTGACCACCTGTCTACAACAAGCACATTTTTGTTTCCCTTGAAAATGGTTTCTCATTGAAACATGTACTAAAGGAACCTGTCTACAAAGACCACCTGTCTACAACAAGCACATTTTTGGTTTTCCTTGAAAATGGCTTCTCATTGAAACATGTACTACAGGAACCTGTCTACAAAGACCCCCTGTCTACAAAAAGCAAATTTTTTATTTCCCTTGGGCGGTCGCTGTAGACAGGTTTGACTGTATATATAGCAGGATGAAATACAAAGAATGAATTGTTCAGATTAACCCATTGGCTAAGGGGACCAAGAGGGTTCCTGTACTAAACCTATGGGAATGACATCATTCAGTAGTCAATGGGGTAAAGTATGGCAGCAAAGAGGATATTAACATTTTTAGAAATTCATATTTTCGCTAATTGTACCATATAATATGCATAACAAGATAACCATGTACAATGAGCTGAATTTCTCTGCCTGTCTGTCAGGTTTGTGTACTCATGTCGACCAAGATCTTTTATAGAAAGACCCCTGATATACATAGCCTCTGAAACGTGATCACAAGCAAAATACCAAGAAGGAAGGTTCAGCATTCTACTCACCGCTTGGCTCGTGGCTGTGACCTTTCACCTCCCTCATTGTTTTCTTGGCTCGCTTCCTTTGGTTCTTTGCTGAAATGCAATTTTGGGGAATTAAAAGTCACTGCAATATATTGTTACTTTTTTTTTTAAAGCAAGGAAACAGATTCAATTGAACAAGCTTCACATTTGCAAGGGACACACACGTCATGCTGATGACACACTTTTTTTATTTTCTTCACCACCCCCTCCCCCTCCCCTCCCCCTCCCCTCCCCCTCCTCCTCCCCCTCCTCCTCCTCCTCCCCTCCCCCTCCTCCTCCTCCTCCCCCTCCCCCTCCCCCTCCTCCTCCTCCTCCTCCTCCCCCTCCCCCTCCCCCTCCCCCTCCTCCTCCTCCTCCTCCTCCTCCTCCCCCCTCCCCCTCCCCCTCCCCCTCCCCCTCCCCCTCCCCCTCCCCCTCCCCCTCCCCCTCCTCCTCCTCCTCCCCCTCCCCCTCCCCCTCCTCCCCCTCCTCCTCCTCCTCCTCCTCCTCCTCCTCCACCACCACCACCTCCTCCATCCTTCTGACTGCCCTCATAACTTGCATCCTAATTGAAATTCCTATCTCCTTCTAAAGAACTTGAATAAACATTACCAAATTGGCTTCATTCAACAACTCCCTCACACCAATCACAGTCATCAACAGCACCAAAGTCATCAACATTGACATCGCCATGGTAATGTTCTCTTACCTTCCTCCAAATAGACCAAGGAAAGCTAAGACAAAGCACCCGAAGTAGATCACCATCATGAGCATCAGAAGACTACTGCTCTCCCTGTATGATTGAAAGAAAATACTTGGTGATTAATATCAAATATCTTATTAGAGTCAGTAGGTAAAGTACATTCAATTATCCCCCATTATATCACTCAGTCAATCATGTTTTTTCACTTTTGTTTAAAGTAATTCTTTGTTTCGTTGTTAATTGAGGTAAATATGTCTCTCCTGCAGCACACAATGTGGATTGTACTGTACTGTATGTAGCGGTTATATGCTTCAGAAGAAACTCCAGCTACTGTTTGTCAAAAATAAACATCAATACAAATTTTATAATTACACCAGATTGAAATAAAGATGCTGATAGTGGCACTGAAGGGCTCAACATTAATAATCCGATCAGAAAACCTTATAACTGCATTTGGGAAACTCTCAATTTGTTTGTGCACCTTACTGCATTTCATCAAACTGTGGGGCATCACTATATGTACGTAAATACTTTTAAAGGCATCGTTTAACATTGTTAAATCTGAGATGCATGGCCTTACTTGTTATCAGTGTCTGTGATTTATTGTAATTTTGAAGCCCTAAAAAAATTGCGCTCCAAAATGATCATGAAGTGCCTTAAAAAAATCTTTGAGTGATCGGTTTTGCCATACTCATTTTCCCCAATAGACTGTAGTGTTATGAAAACTGTTAGAGACAAATTTTCAAATATCTTGATAATCAGACAGGTGATCGGCTGGTAAAAGTCATGGGGTTCCTGACTGACCTAAAAAGTTATAATTATCATTGCAGCATGAGCTAAATCCAGGATTTTGTTTCAGAATCTAAGACAAAGTTACCCAATCCCTTTAAATACTAGCAAATGTACTTATGGATGAACATCACTTCAAAAGCTGCTTACCAGGATGAACCAAATATGAAGTTATATGCTGCGTTATACAGGTCCGTCATCTTTTGCGTTAACTCTCTGAATTTCCGAATTGGCCAAGCCTGCAAGATAATACAAGACAGAATAGAAGTTACATCATCATATCACATTTCACCATGGAGGAGATGTTTCGTAGCTCTAGTACAATACTTAGGAGCCTATTTCATGGATAACACTTTTTGTTTTTAATACGTCAGGAGGGTGGAAAGCAAGCCCCTTATAGTCCTGATTACTATTTTGTATTGGTATATATGCTGAAAATAGCAGACACATGCAATTAATTTGGGAATATTCATGAACATTTACAAGACTCAACTTTCTGGAATACTCATGAACAAGTACAAGACTCATCATTCTTGAATATTCATGAACAATTACAAGACTCAACTTTCTAGAATATTCATGAACAATTACAAGACTCAAATTTCTGGAATATTCATGAACATTTACAAGACTCAACTTTCTGGAATATTCATGAACATTTACAAGACTCAACTTTCTGGAATATTCATGAACATTTACAAGACTCAACTTTCTGGAATATTCATGAACATTTACAAAACTCAACTTTCTGGAATACTCATGAACAAGTACAAGACTCATCATTCTTGAATATTCATGGACAATTTACAAGACTCAACTTCCTTGAACTATTTCAAGAACTGGTGGTTTCGATTTGGTGTCAGGGGGCTCATAGAGGGGGCACATTTATTTGTGTGCAATTTGGATTTGAAAGGGGGCACTACCCCCCCCCCTTCCCCCCTAATCCACCACTACCGGTAAAAAAAACCTCTTGAACCCCTCATTTACCGGAGCATTTTCATCGTTGAACTGTGGTAGGATCCCTTTGTGGGCAAACTTGGAGGTGCCATCGTTGAGTCTGTAGAGGAACTCCTTGATCCCTCTTCGCTCCATCGTGATGTCTTGGCCCTCCCAACCGTCGGGGAGCCAGGCATGGCGGATCTGGTTCCCTCGCTGTCTCCAAACAATGGCAACCTAGAATGAAAAGACAAATTATTGAGAAACATGTAGATGTTGGCAATTTCCATTTCTTGACAGGTGTGTCTGTAATCCAGCTAAAAGTCGAAGTTACAAACTGATTCAGCCGAGGACGCAGGTTCGAAACCAAGTCACGTCTTTCGGATGGTAACGTTAAAGGTCGGTCCCGAGACGTAAATAATCATATCTGATTGATACAAGTCTGTAAAACCTAATTACACACATAAATACGCGAACAGCTGATTAATTTCATCTTTTCTAAAGATGCACACAGCTACTCTTAGCGTCAGGGGAGTATATGAAAATAATCTTTTCATAGATATTTGGTGCACCTAGCAAGACCGCCTGGAGAAAAAAAAAGAGGTCATCTAATTGACCTTCTACTGATAAAGAAGGTTCTATTGATACAAATTATATACCAGTCCAAGGACCTTCAAAACATGGATGCAGAAGCAATCAACCCAGGTGATGTAAATGGTTACCTGGCTGGAATTAATTCCTTGAAATGCTAGAGCACCGTAATGGCAGCACAGTTAAAGCCGGGGTAATGATCTCCAAGTTTGGAAGCACTTAAAGACCTAATTGTAATTCGCGCTTTATAAAAGCTGAGTATTATTATTATTATTAGTATTAAACTTGCCTAATATGTGTGCTAATCTGCACATGAGGCAAGTCAGTTCATGTGCCAACCGGCAATCAAACTGAACACATAAAGAATTAACTAGTAAAAAATTAATCTATGGTTCATTAAAATACAGATTCTGGCTGAATTACAATCAGTTTACAAGATAAAACAAACTTCACTTGCATACCAATGTAACAACTACCACACAAACTGTTTGAACATTCCAAAATAATACAATATACAGACAAACCTGCTTTAGTGACCACCTGTCTACAACAAGGACATTTTTGGTTTCCCTTGAAAATGGTTTCTCATTGAAACATGTACTAATGGAACCTGTCTACAAAGACCACTTGTTGTGTTTCCCTTGGGCGGTCGCTTCAGACAAGTTTGACTATAGTAACTAAAGTAATTAATTATTCTTAAAATAGGTTCAAAATATTTTAGGACTTACTGGAACAGCATGTAGGACCATGTTGGTCCCCCATGATCCTCCTTTTCTTATCTTAATTGAGAGCTGATTTGGTGAGGTAACCACCTGTCCGTGACATTGAAGGGAGGTCTAATCCCCCTGGCAAAACTAGTGCAGACGGGCTTTAACGTATAATGAATGAATTAATAATGAAGGACTTACTGGAACTGCATGCAGGACCTCCACCATTAACCCTTCCATGGCTGCTGCTACCTGCTCCTGATTCTCAAACAGCATGTAAGTCATCTTGGCTTCATGGGGCCATGAGGGTGTACTCATCACCATGTCTCTGAACGAAGCTCGGAACGGCTCGTGCTCTGGAGTGGCCTTTGTGATCTGGATGACGCACAATCTGAAATAGAGACACATTATTTTTTAAGGCTGTGCACAACAGTGTAATGAGGTACCCGAGTACACTCCCAGGCTTACAAGCGAATACTCGAATATTCGGACGCCATGTTTTTTTATAATTTTTTTGAATTTTAGCTTATAACAATTACCATAACTTGTTTTTTGATAACAAGTTTAGTGAAACAGGGCCCTGGGCAGAATACAGCCAACCTGTTATTAGCTTAGACCTTACATTACGTTGTTCCATTCTCAATAGGACACCAATCTATGAGTTTCCACCACTGTCTTGGGATTTTGACTTTCACTTTTCACCTTCGCTACATTATCACCCTTTGAGTTATAACTACTTTGTACTTCTACTGCTTCTATACTAATAAAAACTTGTGTGCCGATTTGGAAAGGACTGATGCAGTACTTACTTTCGTCCTACCAGATTTGGAGTCTCTGGACACATTTCTTCAAAGAGAGTTTGGGAGGAGAGCCTCGGAAGGTAGAGGTATTTGTTGTAGTTCAGCAAATGAGTCAGTGCTTCCAAGGTCATATGTTTCTCCTGTACAGCAAGAAAAGTATCAAAAGTCAACGTTACTATCATATACGGCACTAATGTCCTTTGGCAAGATATTAATCTACATTTGCCTCTCTCCACCCAGGTGTTAAATGGGTACCGGTAGGAAGGAATTCCTTGAATGCTGTGAGCGCCGAAATGGGGCCCAGGAGTCAATAATATTAGACACTGTATGCCACAGACTCCTGAGAACGTTTTGTGTATCTATGAGTGCAAGACCAGCGTAGCATTGAGCCCTGTCTTTATACATGTACAAGGATTTAAGAGGACTGTTGCTGAGCTAGCACCATGAGCGTCCCTGGACGGTGTGTGCGCTCTATAAGTTTACACTATTATTATCATTAATATTATCATTATTAATAGCGTTATGGTAACGTTAAATAATGATATTACCTCAACCATATCCACACTCTCTTTGATATTCTCCTTAAACACCAACACCTTCCCCGTCCTGTGCTGCACCCCAACGTGCTTTAGAACCCCGTCTGTGTTGGAATACTTGGCAGAGGTAAAGCCGAACGTCTGGTGCTCCCTGAAGGCAAAAGCACCGACCTTGAAGATGATGGGAATGTCTCGGTTCCGGGAATAGAGCAGGACCCGGGGCTTGTTCTCATTGTAGAAGTTGGCAAAGAAGTCTTCGTAGTTGTTATTATGGACCTGTAAATGAGAAGAAGTAGAAATGTAGTCTGTATTCCGTGGTTATGAAATAAATCACTGCACTACAAAGACGACACAGAAATTTATAGGTTGTTGCCTTTCTCCTGCTATAGAGTACCGAAGCTGTGACGTCATAAAAAAGAAACAAAATCAAATTTTAGAATTACCATCACGAGCCAGAGCAAATAACACTGAGTTCCTATAGGAAATATATATATTCAGATGGTCATTTCTCAGCCAATACTTAATATATTCAATTGGTTAATGAGGTTTGGACATTATTTTTGATGCTCTTTTGGAAAATGAAGAACAAATTGAGAATTTCTAAAACTTCACCACTCTTTACATGCATGACTGAAAGACAACACTTTTTGTTTCTCTTGAACAAAAATGTTCATAGAAACTTGTCTATTAGAAACCTGTACATAAAGACCACCTGCCTATAGAGAACAATTATCTGACTCTGTTGAGTGGTCTTTGATTTCACTGTTATTATAGAAACCTGAACATAAAGACCGCCTATCTGTAAGACCCACATTTCTTTGTTTCTCTTTAATGGTCTTTTACACCGGAGTGTTGGCTCAGTCAGTAGAGCGTCTGCCTCACAACCGGGAGGTCGTGGGTTCGAACCCCGGCCGCGTCATACCAAAAGACGTTAAAAGAGGGGAGTTGCTGCTACCTTGTTTGGCGTTTAACAATAAGGGATAGAGCAACGTCAATCTGGCGCTGCTCAGTGGCTGCCGGGCTCACGATCAATTGGGGAAAAAGAATTCCCGTTTCGGTTTAATAAAATTTGGACTGGACTTTAAAAGATTATTATTATAAGCAGGATTCACTGGACAAGAAATACAATGACACTATGCCTCTTGAACTACATGTAGGCTGCTTGGTAACAACCTGAAGATAAAGAACAACACTTCCTACAAAGATCAGCTTTCTCATATCCCTTGAGTGGCCTTCATAATTTTATAGCTTTTACTGTACTAGAAATAACATGAAGACATACCTCTTGAATAAGGCTGCTTGGCAGCAACCTGTCTACAAAGTCTCTCATGGCCTTCAAGGTCACACTTCCTTGACCATAGTCCGTCACTTGACCGTTTATGATACCCGCAATGGCTGGACGATGACGTATACCAAGCACTGAGGCCAGCCTGCGGTCACTGTCAATGTTGACCGATCCCACACCGACACCTGGATTGTGCATCAAAGTAAGCAACAAATTCAAAAAAATTAGGTCTATATATATATAAAGAAAGAATTGTCTAAATACATTGCAGGAAAAGCCAAAGTAACTGAAACTTACTCAGCAGGATATACATTTACAGAGATGATAAGTATGTTGACAGTGGAACAATCATTTAGTTCAGTATGCCATTTTTTATCTGATTGTATATTCTTCAATACAAACATGAATGCAATCAGGTGATGTACAGCTATTAGTCATAAAAGAGGGACCTCGACCTTATAATCAAGAAGTAATGCCTTATGAAAGGACACTTGTTCATACACAAGCTTGGTTTATAATAAAGTAAGACGACTGGGTTAGGATACCACTGGTTTATCCATCCATGTCCATCTAAACAATGTAATTTTATATTGCGATGGATAAAACCCTAAACACCTAATGTAAAGCCTATCTTGTTTATTCTCCTCACCCGAAATGAGAACTCCTACTCACAGTTCAAGTTTTTGTTAAAAAAGTTTCTGTTTTCAACATATTAGTTTGCTTAATTATGTCTTACATTGTACTACCCTTTAATATATATCTTTTATTATTGTAATATGCTTTGTATTGTATTGTTCTATTATTGCACATTATGTCCTGAAGTATGTTAAACTTTAACTTATGTGTATTTAATTTCTTTCTTAAATTACTTTATGGTCGTATGCCCACAATTATACAATTTCCACACAACTGTGTCAGGAGTGTCATTTTTGACAGACATGGCGCATTATAAATGTTCACTATTATTATTATTATTATTACCCCATGACTCGATTTCCGGAGTAATGTCGGACCACATCCTCTCGATGTTCATGCAGTTGAAGCAGAAGCTTCCAGTCACAAAGATCAGGTAGGGTTTGTCTGTGCTCTGAGGCAAGATGCCATCCTGCAGCCTTGACAGAGTCACCCGGCGAGGGTCGTTGTTTCCAGAGTTGTGGAAGTTGAATCCCCCGCCAAAGTTGTTATTCTGCTGGAAAAATTGGTCCGCAAACGGATCGCGTTGCCTGCGCTGACTCTCCTGCGGATCCACTATCCCAAACTGGTCATATTCTCTCCGCTTTGCTTCGTCGGACAAGATCTGTAATCAAGACACAAACATGGTCATGAATGATGCATTTACCTTCTAATTGAAACATTTGAAATACTGAATTTAGAAGCTTGTTTACATACACTGTAATAATGCTATAATATAAGATAAAAAAACATGCTTCCCTTTCTTACAGTGCCTATTTTTTTTTTTTTTCCTGTCATCTTCTTCAATCTCTCTTCTTTTTGAACATTTTTGTTGCTGAACAGTTAAGTTAAATTTACACCTGTGACATTTTGTTGTTGGATTTCCTGATTGATATAAAGATCTTCATGGGAAACAAACAGCACTCTAAATAAAATATTGAATGGCATAGAAGGTAAGGCCCATCAGTTGGGGCCACAAATGTAAAATCCTGAATTTCTTATTTATATGGCAGTGGAAATTATTCATAGTGTTTATTCTCATAGTATAGTCATTCCTTTCACCAATCTACATGTAATTCCTACAATTTGTTACTTCTTCATGTGACATGCCACGCTCAATTTGATCTTAATTTGAATTATATTTAATTAATAGTCTCTCTCTCTCTCTCTCTTTTCATTACAATTCATTGTATTTAGTACAATTTAATTACATGGTATTTACTACAACAATACTCACTAGTGCAATAACCTATAACTTTGATATCTATCAGACAGATCATGCAGTGTGTGTGTGTATGTGTGTGCGTGCGTGTACAGGAGTGTGTGTATGTGAGTTAATGTAAGTACATTATTTAATTTTTACTCTTTCTACTAAAAAATGTTCAGTAGTAATTAGTATTCTGTTATTTTGATATAATCACTGGAGACAGACTTTTACATAAGGCCCGGCCGTTCTATTTTGTCTCCAAAGCAAAGACTTTCTTTAACGTTCTTGTTCTTCTCGTCTTCTCTGCTTATATTATTCTCATGCAATATAGTGATAGTATTTTGAAACTTTTATATGTTTGTTTACCTATAGATATGTATATTTTTAAGGAAATTATTGAATAAAGTGAACTGAACTGAACTAAACAGCATAGTTACCTCATATGATTGCTGGATCTTGATGAATTTATCGGAGGCATTAGGATCATCACTTTTGTCTGGATGCCTAAATTGTGCGATATAAGGAGAGAAAATTTAGAGGTAAGTCAGAAGAGCAAAATTAAGAATATCTTTAAAAAATAAAAAAGAAGCAGATTTGACTTGCAGTATGACAACACTTCTTACACCATGTCAAGCTTAAGATTTCTGCAAAGCAATCAAGCCATATCGGAAATGACTCAAAAGACAGATTCTTTAAAAGATAAATGATTCTACTTACTATAAAATATATAATTTGTTCTCTTTATTATAAATGCAAAAAATAATAAAAAATATCATATTTGAGTTCAATATTCCATGAAAGGTTTAACCCCACAACAACACTACAAATGCCCATCTTAAGGGTTGTTCCCCTTTTAGTCTTTACCGGTAGGGGAACTGGTCCGAGAATAAGGACCGTCCGCACAAACGACGATCGTCTTCGTAAACGCGGACAGACGCCCAGCAAAAATAAAGATCGTCCACATTTTTGCTGACGACTCTGATTTCTGATCCGCACGTTTAGCGATGCTAAGAAAATGGGTTTCGCTATGATTTTCTTGATGCATTTTACATGGACTTTGAACAGAGACAGTCACGTTATGAGCGATAAATCCTCAGGAAGATGGACAACCTATAAAAGTAGAGGGTGAAATGGGGGTATTTTATTACACAGAAACTGTTTTTTGCATCGCCAGTGCTGCAATGCGCTGCCAAAGTTTTTTAAAAAAAAGTCCTTATTTTCAAGGACGCGTTTTGTCCGTGTATACAAGGATATCCTCATTTATGAGGTCGTCTATACAGACTAGATCTACCTCAAATGATGATGCAAATGATAATGTCAATAATTTCAAATTTGATCCTTTGCTTTGCCTTTGGCTTTGTCTTTGAAATACTTACAAAGTCTACTCAGCTCAGCTTGATAGAGGCACACACAATTTGTAATTTAGCAGTCCACAGTCAGTGGGCATAGCTTAGCTTGGGCCTTATGACACCTACCCCCCCCCCCCCCTCCCCCACGCACACATACACACACCACTAAAACTACACTTAACAAGCCACCGCCCCAGCATCGATCGCATCAGCATCATTAATCGTCACACAAAAACAGGACAAACCTCATACACACACGATTATGAGTACGTGGGACAACAATAAATGGACATGTACACATTACCATTCGCGAGCGAGCTTCTTGTAAGCTCGTTTAATCTCCGGCTGAGATGCTGATTTGGAAACAGATAATGTCTTGTACGGATTTAGAGAGCACTCAAACAGACCAGCAGATACAATTATCAAAAAGAGGATGAAAACCGGTGATTTCGCCATTTTGTTCCGCATTATTCGTAGATTTTCGCAACAATGACATCAATAAAATAGTCTCATTTACAGTCGTTTTCTAGCAATTGGCCTTATGTACGGGGGCGGGGGGGGGGGGGGGATTCCAGCGATGTAAACCTTCTTTTATGTTTTCTCCTGTTAATTTATGCAAAATCAATGACTTGAGGGGGGATTCCAATGACGATTTCGAAAATTGTCTGAGGCCAACTCCATTGTTTACTATATAGTCTAGTCCTATCTAGCCCCCGGCCCCCCTCTCCCGCCCCCCCGCCCCCCTGCCCCCCCCCCCCCCCACCCCACCCCAAAGTGAGACGCTTTTTATTATTTACATGCAATGCGCGGGTGGATCCAGGAGGCAATCACCCCCACCCCTTCAAGACTCATTAAGGCCTTCCAAACATTACTACAGTCCCTTTTTCCTCCCTCCCCCCCCCCCCCCGGCTCTCTCTCTCTCTCTCTCCCTTTGAACAGCGGGTATAATGGTGGGCCATCGGGTTTCCAGAATTATAGGGGGCTTATAATTGGGGGCTCCGGTACTTCTAAAAGGCCAAAATAACAGTAAAATCGTGAAACTTTCTAACAATTTTTGATCACATCTTTTCTAACAGTTCTCTATGATTTGCTAGATTAAAACCAATCAGAGGAAAACATTTCACTGGCCAGTGGAAACAAACCGCAGTTGATTCCATTTTAAGAATCACTCCATATGAATATAATTGGAGCAGATTCCATAATTATTTTTGAGTGACTTCAATTACAAAGAAAATGGTCTTTTTATGACTCGATCATGGCAGTGGATTTCAATTTCTCTGCATCAATAAACAACAAATGAAAAAGAAGTGTTAGGACTACGAAATAAGGACTACAAATTCCCACTATAAATAATTACCCATTCTAAGTGAATGGTCGGGGGAGGGGGTCAATTATTTAATTTTGGTTTGTTTCTTTTTTGTTGTTGCTGTTACATGTTGCATTCTAAGCTGTCCTTTCTTGTATATTAGTCTTTCAAATCAGAAGTGTGCTTTAGTAGTACAAATTAGATTCCATGCATGATTTAAACAAGCTCGTGCGATCTCGATGATGAATTGTTGAATATGTTATTTAAAAAGTAGTCGCAATATGATGTACATATTGAATTATGATAGTATATAAACCAGAAGCGATTTATTAGGGAAGAGGGGGATGCTCAAGCTCAGCCCTACATTTTGCCCTCACTCCCCCCGGCCCCCCCCCCCCCCCTCCTACCCTCAAATTAGTCTTCTAGAACCGCGCTTCTGGCCTGTCCCAAATTCTTGGTGGCAGTACTGGCAAATATATGTTCTTTCACAGTGAATTATCAATTCATTAAGCAACGCTTACACTCCACTTTTGGTGGACGTTTCTAATATGTCATCCTCCGCCCCCGCCCCCGCCCCCCCCCCCCCATCCCACCCCTTATAGCGGCCAATTGTATTTCAGTTTATAAAAAATGCCAACATTGATCCTATCCTTATTTATTATCGTTTGTATCATTTTTAGTATTCATGTTATTATTACTATTTTTATCATTATTATTATTATTACTATTATGAGTACGCATCACCATCATCATCATCAGCAGCATCATCATCATCATCATCATCATCATCATCATCATCATCATCATCATCATCATCATCATCATCATCATATCATCATCATCGATCATCATATCATCCTCATCACAATTAAATATGTAGACGTTCAAATTATATGCCTAGCTCTCTGAGGCCAGGCCGTATGGTACTATGACAGCAGCTTTTTTTTTGTAGGTCTGTGTTTTATTATTATTTATATCTTCATAATCAAAGATGAAATATCGAGAATGTTATAGTAAGTTGTTCGATAATTTGTAGAACTCCCTTTCATTAGCTTTGTAATGATCACATGTACTGCCCTCTAGAGGCTAATGTCACGCAACTCTAGCAACTCGATTCGACAGTACAGATATTCGGCAACAACATAACTTACACTAAGTGCAGTCATATTAGTATTAAAATAACAGTTAGACTTCAGAACTGATTCAGAAAAGTTATCCTAAGTTGTGAGTATACCCAAAGTTCCATTATTATTTTCACTTTCATGACATTTAATTGCTAGGCTCCGATTTCGCTCATGAATTTATTGTGACTGATGATGAGGTGAAGTGATTCATTCCGATCGTGCGTGAATCAGCTGAATGAATGCGAGAATGAATGCGAGACTACAGTCACTAGCTTGGCCTGGTCGTAGCTGAGCTGAGCCGAGCGCTGATATGCCGCTGAATGTGGAAATGCTATATTATTGCATGGAAAGCCAACAGTTTGAGTGAAAAGAAAAACCTATATGTTTTGGCTTTCCCGTTTTTTAGCGGAAAAGAAGAAGAAGTGGGAAAAGAAAAAGAAAAGGAAAAGGGGAGAAGGCCGAAGGAGAACAAGATAGAGAAGAACATAATTTTATTCTAATGATCATCATCATGTCATGATGATTCATGAATGAAGAAAAAGAAGAAGATTTTTTTTTTAAATGGGGGAAAAAGAAAACAGGAAGAAAATGAATTCATTAGACTATAAACAAGAACAACTGGACAAAAGAAAAAGAAGAGAAAAGACCTTCCCTCAACAACACGAAGCAGTCTTTGTCTTTTGAAAGTTTGAACAACAAATTGAAATTTTAAATTTAGGCCTCTACAGTGTTTCTAACTTGTTTTTTCTTACAAAACACAGACATTGCATGCTAGTCACAACGGGACTGTAACACCACAACAACAACAACAAAATGAAGGTGAGCGTGGCTAATTTGGAGGGCGCCCTCATCAGTCTTGAGGTGAGTCCGGAGATCGAGCTCGAGAACTTCAAGGTCTTGGTGGAGATGGAGGCAGAGCTCTCGTCGAGTCAGTGCGTCATTCTCTACAACGGAAGGCCCATGTTGGATATGAAGAAGACCTTGAGCGGGTACGGTGTTGCTGACGGTGATGTCCTCCTGCTCCAACCAAGGATGATGATGCCCCCACAGAATCCGCAAGCACCTGGTAAGAGCAAGACCGCCAGATCGCCTTTTGTTTCTGGAGGCTTCTTATTTTCATGTGTATACTATTTGTACAATCTGATGTTTTATTTGATGTTCAAGAATAAAATGATTTTGAATTGAATTTTTGGAAGTTGATGCCTTTGTTTGTAGAGAGTGGTTTTGTTATTGTGAAGGGTTCTTCTTGAATAAACTATTAAAAAAAAAGGTGATTTCCTTGTGACAATTTTTATGTACCCTTTTTGAGCCTTGAGCTCTGTTCTATTTTTTGCTCTGGAGAAACATAAATTTGATTGTTCCCTTAAAGATCAATTTGTTCATTTGTGTTCACTTCCTCAACAGGCCAACTGCCAGACTTTAGCAACATCAGAATACCAAGACCCTCCGCAGCGCCTGCGCCGACTGGGGCGGGGCCATCCAGTGGAGCGGTTCCAAGACCTGGAGGCGGAGCCATCGAGGAGGACCCAGCTAGACTGATGGAGATGCTGAAGTCCAACCCAGCCGAGAGGGCTATCCTGAAAGAGAGGAACCCACCGCTAGCAGAAGCCCTGGATGAAGGCAATCTACGTAAGTTAAACAGGGTTGCTTTTGCTGAATCTGAACAGTTTTATTGGTAGAGCAAGGGATGAATAAAGGAACAATATATATTCTTGTATTATTTAAAGCCCCACTGCACTACTTATAGCTACTGCGCCCTCTATACAGTAGGCCTGAGTCAAAACGGGTCCCCGCCTGGGCCCCGACCGTCGGGTTTCGGGTTTTTCAAAATTAAATTTCACACTGATATTTTGAAATATAGAACTAAAAATATGCAATTCACAAACTTATATTTCAATATAATCAAATAAATATGCTTTATAAATAAATGGATATTGTTTCAGTTGACGGTAGGTGTTTTTATCGCTCTAAAATTGAGGCTGCAAGAAAGGAATCACGCTTCGAGGTACCGATCGAGTGCGTTCAGAAACGGAAGTGGAAATAGATCTATGACCCACTGAAGACAGAGCAAGAAAGTGCCACACACAAGACTGATCAGACTATTGCAATTAAATCGTAATACTAAAGGCATTAATTTAATTGTCAAAATATATCCACAACATAATGGTTTACTCTTGATAGTTTCATGAAGGAAAATAAATTAAAGCTCTTGAATTAACATCGAAGTGCCTTTCGTTCGTTCTAAAAATGCGTGTATAAAATTAACGGCAAGCAGAAGTTACGAGTCAAGCTTGATATGCATGTTTACATCCCTACACCGTCATCCGACCTGATCGCAACAATAAGCATTAAACCAATTAAAAAACATCACGTAAGACTTTAAGGGACTCCAATTCAACAAAATTACCGTAAAATAATTATTTGCTTTGACAAATAATAGTATAGATATTCATAATATCTTACAGAAATAATGATATTTCATGAGCTACGTACTCGATATCGAGTTCATTTTGAAATGAGACGTAGTTGTCATGCAGAGAATGCGGCAGCTCGCAGAGAGAAAAAAAATCACGTAATAGGCACGTAAATATCACGTGATCTCAGGCCCGCGCTTTTTTCCTCTCTCTGCTGCATTACCGCCCTCTACAGTCTACTGCATGACAACTACGTCAGGGTGGTCTAATCCCTTCATGCCAAACTAGTGCAGAGGGGCTTTAAAGCGCAAATGTGAGAAAACATACTATTTCAAATGTCAGAATAAAGCACAAAATATCAAATAAAGTTCAAAATTCAGAATGCTCATAATGAATTGTTGTTTTCCTTTAGCCTTTTGTCGTTTATTCACTTTTTTATCAAACCTAAAAGAAATGTATTCAACAATTCAATATTTATTGTATATTGAATATTGAGGAGGTGCTAGCTTAGAAATAATCATTTACATTGTATGAATTTTCTATTGTAAATATGATACTGACTCCTGTATTTCCTTGGCATTTATATTTGAATATATGCCCTTTTTTCATTTGCTTACCAAGTCAATCCCTTTCAATGCATTATCGTATAGATTTCTGAATCAGTAATCACATTCACCAGAAGTTTCCTGACATATGTTAACGTCCCCCTTTTTTTTCCTGCAGAAAAATTTACAGAGGTGCTAGGTGGACAGCGTAAAGAGAGAGCAGAGCGGGAGAGACAGCGTATTCTGCTGCTGAATGCAGACCCCTTTGATCTCAATGCACAAACCAAGATAGCAGAAGCTATAAGGTATCAACTTAAAGCCCCACTGCACTACTTATAGCTACTTGCGCCCTCTATATAGCAAACAATGCCTAATCGGTGCCTGTTGATCCCCCATGATCTTCTTTTTCTTATGTTAATTGAGAGCTGATTTGATGAGATAACCGCCTGTCAGTGATCTTGCAGGGAGGTCTAATCCCTCCATGCCAAACTATTGCACAGGGGCTTTAAAGCTTATCTGCCATAGTTTACAGGAGGGATTAGAGCGCCCTGCAAGGTCACTGGACAGGTGGCTATCTCATCAACTCAGCTCTCAGTTAACATAAGAAAAAGAGGATCATGGGGGACCAATGGTCACCGATTAGGCATTGTTTGTTATATAGAGGGCGCAAGTAGCTACAAGTAGTGCAGTGGGCCTTTAAGTATCTGAGAGCCATGACTTTAAGCAATTATGGGTGTTATCATTCCTTTTTCCTTAGCTGTTCATGTGTGTTCATCTATACAACATCAAGCTCTGCTTGCTTTGACTGTGCTGGTAGAAAATCTATTAATCTGAAGCAAAATTATTATTTTTCCTCTACAAATCAGAATTTCTCACCTCATATCCAGATGACAGTGCAGTAATGCACCCCCTCCCCCAATTTTAGAATTCTTATGATTAAGGGCTCATGCATAACAGTGTAGACTCTGAAAAGTTCATTCCAGATAATAATAATACTATTCCACTTTTATATAGCGCTTAATACATCCAACAATGTCTCTAAGTGCTTTACAGACATATTATTGCCCGGTCATCGGATTCAGGCTTGCCTGCACACAATGTATGCACTTTTCTCCACTCACTGGGGAGCATTCCAGCCAGGGGTCATTTTACAGATGCTCACAATGCTGAGCAAACTACATTAAATTTTGCATCCTACCGGGTAGGGCTGTGCACAACAGTGTAATGAGGTACCCGAGTACACCCCCAGGCTCACAGGCGAATACTCGAGTATTCGGACGCCATGTTTTTTTATAATTTTTTTGAATTTTTTTGAATTTTTTTGAACTTTTTTGATTTTTTTTAAATTTTTTAATTTTTGGATTTTTTTCCTTTTTTTTCTTTTTTTGCCACTACCATACCACTCGGCAGTTTCTCAGGTCCCTCGCTGAAAACGCATGCAACTTTACTTTGAGTTGCAGTTGAAGGCGCTGATTTAATAAGAATAATAACAGTAAACAATGCTGTTTTAAAAACCAAAGATGGCAGAATAATCCATTTTCCTCCTTGTCCAAACAGAAATCTGGACATTTGGTCCCAGTTTCTGAAAGGTGAGTTTGACAGTGCTTGAGTTGGGAAACATTTTTACCGACGGTACCATGCCAGCGGACGCTGCTCTCCCTGGCACGGGTAAGCGTGGGCCTGGACATTTTTTTTTTTTTTTTTTTTTTTTGGGGGGAATATTCGGGTACAAGAAATCGTACCCGAGTAGTTGTCAACCGTGCGGGTACTCGAGCATTCGACTACCCGTCGCAGCCTTACTACCGGGTACCCATTTAACGCGTGGATGGATAGTGGCAAATGTAGATTAATGTCTTGCCAAAGGACGTTAGTGTCTGGCTGGGATTTGAACCCCGTACCTTGAGATCTGCAGTCGGGTGACCTATCCACTAGACCACAATACCTATAGAGCCGTACCTAAAGACTGGTGTAACGTTTGTTGAGTTATGTGAAAATCTCAATTATGATTGTCAGAACTTCAGAAAAGTCAATGAAATGTCAGTGATTTTTCTTTTGCACCATGTCAGATTGCAGAATGTAGAAGCCAACATGGAAACTGCCATGGAGCATGCACCAGAGAGCTTTGGTCAGGTTGTCATGCTGTATATTGATTGTACGGTCAATGGTCATCCTGTCAAAGCCTTTGTAGATTCAGGTAAGGAAATGTATTGTTTTTTAAAGGCCCACTGCACTACTTGTAGCTACTTGCGCCCTCTATATAACAAACAATGCCTAATCGGTGACCATTGGTCCCCCATGATCCTCTTTTTCTAATGTTAACTGAGAGCTGAGTTGATGAGATAACCACCTGTCCAGTGACCTTGCAGGCCGGTGTAATCCCTCCTGTAAACTATGGCAGATAAGCTTTAAGAAAAGGCTCACTCTCTGTTACTCCTTTCTGCGTTTTGTCTTTCCCTTGTCCCCCCCCTTCCCCTCTCTCTCTCTCTCTCTCTCTCTCTGCTTCTTTCATCTCATGCTGTATATTGATTGTACGGTCAATGGTCATCCGGTCAAAGCCTTTGTAGATTCAGGTAAGGAAATATAACGTCTTTTAAGAAAAGGCTGATTTCGTTCACTCTCTGTCACTCCTTCTGCGTTTTGTCTTTCCCTTGTCCCCCCCCCCCCCTTTCCCCTCTCTCTCTCTCTCTCTCTCTCTGCTTCTTTCATCTCATGCTGTATATTGATTGTACGGTCAATGGTCATCCGGTCAAAGCCTTTGTAGATTCAGGTAAGTAAATATAACGTCTTTTAAGAAAAGGCTGATTTTGTTTACTCTCTGTCACTCCTCTCTGCGTTTTGTCTTTCCCTTGTCCCCCTCCCCCGCCTCTTCCTCTCTCTCTCTCTCTCTCTCTGCTTCTTTCATTCTCATGCTGTATATTGATTGTACGGTCAATGGTCATCCGGTCAAAGCCTTTGTAGATTCAGGTAAGGAAATATAACGTCTTTTAAGAAAAGGCTGATTTCGTTCACTCTCTGTCACTCCTTCTGCGTTTTCTTTCCCTTGTCCCCCCCCCCCCTTTCCCCCCTTTCCCCTCTCTCTCTCTCTCTCTCTCTTGCTCTCTTCTTCGTTCATTCTCTTTGTACCCACTGTGTCTTACCTCCTCCCCTTTCATCCCCTTTCTATCTCTCTTGCCCCCCTCTCCCTCTCTCTACCTATTTCATGGAAGTATATTATGGCATACATTTACGTTTCTCAAACTATTACTCTTCCTGGGCCCCAATTTCACAAAACATGTCATCAGTGACGAGTGACAGTTGTGGTAATAAGCTAGTGAAATCCTCGCTTCTAATTGGTTGTCGATAGATTTGTCACTGATTTTTTTCTTCTTTCATTTGTCATTGAAAAAAGGCTTTGTGAAACGGGTCCCAGTTGTTGTGTAATGCTCTGTACATTGGGATTAGTTAGTTTTCCTTAGCTCTATTGCCCCAAGCACTGCTTCCGTCATGATCTGCTCCATGCCTTCATAAATGAACTATAATTTCTTTATCTCAAATTTTTATTTTTTTGCATTAGTTTGTGTATTTTTAAAGTCTATGGAAAAATCGATGTTTAGTATGTGTCTTTACTGCCAGTTTTCAGGCAAAATCCTGAGTTTAGGGCCTGATGACTTATTTTCAGGCCATACTTTATGTTTTTTGTGTACAAAATAGCTCATTCTAGGTGATTTTCTGGCCCTCTGATCAATTTTAACTAGCATCCCTGCTTTACTCTTTTCAGGAGCCCAGATGACTATCATGAGTCAGGCTTGTGCTGAGAGGTGTAATATCATGAGACTGGTAGATAAACGATGGGCGGGCGTGGCCAAGGGCGTCGGCACACAAAAGATCATCGGCAGGGTACATCTAGGTAAGATTTATCATGACATGGTTTTGGGGTGGTAAATGTCCAGTCCTGTCACATTCATGAATAATAATAATAATTCTCAGCTTTTATATAGCATGATTTACAATTAAAGGGATAGTTGAGTTCTGTTGCAGAGGGCGCTACACAAAATAATTTTTGTGTGAGATAATGAAAAACTGAGTGTCAAATTTGAAAGAACATACAATTTAAATGACGAAATCATCTTTATTTGATCAAAATCGGTTCAGAGACGACTGAAATATCCATAAATATAACGATTTCTAATACTTGTGTACCACCACAAATATTAGATAATTTGAATGCGAAATAGCGCCTTTTGCTTCGTATTTCAGCCAATGGCGATGTTGGCTTTTTTTGTTGGCATTTTCGCGTTAGTTATATTAACCACAACAAGCCGGTCCATGTATTGTTATTTTTAATTAAATAGTTAATTAACGGTCAGTATATTTTTTTGAAAGTGGAGCTGAATTGGTATGATCGTATTGGCTAAATTTCAGACATTTTGGGGTCTAAAATTACCTTCATAGCAAGTTTAGGTTCTAAAAGGGCAGAAATGTCATGGATAAGAATAAGAGCAATGACGGCTGTCTGCACTAGTTTGACCAGGAGGGATAACACCTCCCTGAGTGGTCACTGGCAGGTATTTATCTCATCAAATCAGCTCTCAATAACAAAGAACATCATGGGGGATCAACGGGTACCACTTAGGCATTGCTTGCTATATAGAGGCCGCAAGTAGCTACAAGTAGTGCAGACAGGCTTTAAAGACTAGATGAAATGTTGTTCAAGCTTTGCAGAAATTTTCAAACTATATTTCAGAGTGATTTGTTGTGTTATCTTTGTGCAGGTCAGATTCAGATTGGTGGTATTCACCTTCAATCATCGTTCTCAATCCTGGAAGATCAACCTATGGACATGCTTCTGGGTCTCGATATGCTCAAAAGACATCAGGTAACCTTTCATAGGACCATTCTTAGAGTATAAGGGTTTGGCTGTAAAAACACATTTTGTAGCAAAAGTTTCACTGTTAAAGATAAATTTGAGTTCTGGTAAATAAAGAGAATAAATTCTCACAGAATCCAGCGAAACTTACACTAAATGTTCAAGATTACAAATAAATGACATGTGCCAAACAATTTTGGTAGAAAATGTATAGTGGCTGAGTAATGAGCATAGAAAGATAAGGAAATCCAGGTAAGTAGGCCCAACACCATGTGCTTAACCCTATAAGCCTGGGGGAGGGGGCTTCTAAGGCCCCCCCCCCCCCCCCCATGATCTTGGCTGTGAAACAGCTTTTGATTATTTTACATAAATAATTATTTGACTTGATCATCTTCCCTCCTACAGTGCTGTATAGACCTAAAGAGGAACTGCCTGGTCATAGGAACCACAGGGACGGAGACGCCATTCCTCAGCGAGGCCGACATACCGGTAGTAGACCGTAACAGCCAAGGGGTGCCTATGGACATGAGAGAGGCAGAGGATAGGCATCTAGCAGAGGCACTAGCCAAATCAGCTGCAGAATCAGGTATGTTATTAGGCTCCCTCTAATGAAATGTTATGGTTATATTCATATATATGATAAATAATGTATATATGACCCCCCCCCCCTTTATATTTTATATTTTAAATTGAAGCCCTAGGCATGTGTGTGTGAGTTTATCTGTGAGGGTATGTGTGTTTGTGTGTGATAATGTATGTAGTCTTGTTTGATTATTTTAAATCTTTAAATGTTTTTCACTTTTTCTTCTTTTGGGATACCATGTTACAAGCATTTTGCTTTTCGGTGTTCCTAACCATAATTTTATTTACTGTTTTAAATTGATACACTGTTATTGTTGACCTAATACCAAAAACCTTTGGTGATGTTAATAAGGTACAGGACAAGTACCTTAGACTTGTGCACATAGCTATTTACAAAGTAATGTACTTGGATAATGCACTTCATTGTGATGGACATACCGTAGTAATTAAATGTACATACTGTAGCATCAGTGTAACATGTGTATTAAAGCCCATCAATACAAGTGAACAGGAGGGATTAGACTACTCTGCAAGGTCACTGACAGGTGGTTATCTCATCAAATCAGCTCTCAATAAACATAAGAAAAAGAGGATCATGGGGGACCAATGTTCATCGATTATGCATTGCTTGTTATATAGAGGGAGCAAGTAGCTATAAGTAGTGCAGTGTGGCTTTGAAATCTGCATAGTCATGTAATCTACTAGATGTACTGGTAATGTAATTTATCTAATTGTAATATGTGTGCATATCTGTAAAATGATGAGCATAGCTTTTCTCGAGATTGCTTACAAAATGTCATATTTAGCCAGAGTATCTACAGAAAAATCGCAAATCTTACCATTTTAACCTGGCTCCTCCAAAATTAAAAAATGTCAAGGTGTCTGTCGTAAGAATAGCAGAATAGGGAAATAAGCATGCAGTTAATTAGCCTTTCTAAAGACTACCCTGGGATAAATCAACAGGGCTTTGTGGCGTGCGCCTGTAATCCAGCTAACAATGGAAGTTATAAACTGATTCAGCCGAGGACGCAGGTTCAAAACTGAGTCAGGTCTTTCGGATGGTGACATTTAAAGGTCAGTCCCCAGACATAAATAATCATATATGATTGATACACGTCTGTAAATACCCACTACTCACACACACATACCAGAAGGGTGATCCCAACAAAATTGTAGGGTCGATTATGTTCACATTCAGTGAGCACCTAATTAATTTTCATCTCAATGTTTTTTTTTAGACGGACCTTCAACATCAGGCTCTGGCAGGATCTTAGGGTCACCATCGGGCTCCACCCCCTCGCCGTCTTCATCCTCATCCTCAAGCGCTGCCGCCTCTCGAATGTTCCCCGAAGCGGACGTCAAGAAGCTCGTCGACATGGGCTACCTGCGGGATCAAGTCCTCGAGGAACTCAGGAAAAATGGAGGCAATGTGAACAAAGCCATGATGGGCCTCTTTGCAAAGTCAGTATCGGTTCCAAAACGGTGACCCACTCGCGAGTGTGAACAGTGTCCTCCGCGTCAGGATTTCATTCCGATAATTTGTTACAAGTTTTGATATATCCTGTTTCTGATAGTGTCTTTGAGTTTTCCTCCCCTGATACGTTAGTATCTCAGCGAGTCAAGTGCTTCCAACTGCTATTTCAAAAAAAAAGTTGGGTTCTGGTAAAGTTGAAAAATAATTTGCAAAGTAGAAATGTCCCCTGTATAGGATATCTCTTCAAATTTTCTCATATTCAGATTACGATAGGAACTAGCAGGAAAGTTTGGACCAAACTTCAATGCCACACATGTTTGTAGTCCCATAAACCCGTTTCTCTGTGCAGTGCACGTGACTTCCAGCAAGATCGAGTCTATCTCTTATCAATTTGATGATTCCTAAACCTCACAGTATACACAAATTCTGATGTACATGTACTTCATAATCATCCTTTTCCCAATTGCTCTAACTTTATTTCACAATGTAATTGCATGACCAGAACTCAACTTTATCTTAAACCCCAACAGCATTATGCTATTCACAAAAAATTATTGATGTTGGATTGTTTATTATTACACGTTATGTATGTGTTTTATTTACCCCAAAAGCGGTCGGGTTATTTTGACCAACTCACTGCCGCGGATGACCAAAGCGTAATGCAAATTGACACTAAGGTATATCAACATTAATTGAATGTCCTGATTGAGTTTTTAAAGATGCCTTGAGTATAAGTAATGATTTTTCATGCGTTTATACTTGGAAATGTGGTATTAGAATTTGTATAGAACCTTAGACAAAATGAGGAAAGATTGGTGCAAGTCAGAAAAATAACCAATATGTTTTAACAATTAAAAAAAAAAAATAAAGACGGCATATCCCTTGGTCCCTTCAGAAATGAAGGTTTATACGGTTTTTATTCTAAAAGAGTTACAGTGGTGGCTCTAATATCTAGATATCTAGGTATCCAGCACATAAGGTACCATCACTTGTCCAGCCTTACTATTTATTTTGTGGAGTTTGAGGCTTTGGTCTTAAACTAATTTTATTTGTCATCAGTTTTCCTTTGGCAATACCTCATCACTGGAAACTTACGCACATATGAAATGGTTGCGAATTTCGCAAGTTGTTGAGATTCCCGAAACTTTCATGCAGCAAAGTGATGGAATCACAACTGAGGCAACAATGAGTTGTGCAATTCTTGAAGCTTCTTGCCGTGAAAATCCCTGTCAGTTACTAATCACAGAAGTTTCATATTGTGAAAGTTTCTTTATTTACGGACCAGTATTTGTGACACATTCCAACCGTTCCCAACAATTTATAATAAACATAAGTTCACTGAACTTTTGTTAGTGTTGCATGTTTGCACCACATTCTCAAATACATTTTGCAACACAAGTTGAAGACTGTTAATCATTGCACCGCATACACTCTCCTTTTGTTGTTTTATTACATAGCTTAGAGAACGTAGTGGCATGAAAAGGCGCTTTTGGAACCCTAAATGCATAATATTTCATGATGTTTGTGAATTAAAGGTTCTTTTTTTACCTATCTGAATGAAATTTTAAGACACATTGGCCCGAATTCACAAAGGAGGTTTGTCGACAAACCTAGGTTTATGTGCGTCATATGACGCGTTTTGACTCACATAAACCTAGGTTTGTCAACGAACCTCCTTTGTGAATTCGGGCCATCAAGCGTAATCAAGATAGTTCATGTTTTTACCAGCTCTATATTCTGACAATGTGGTTCTACCTCTACATGTATACCATAAAATGATGGATTTTCATCAATTACGCATTTTGTGTTACGTGCCACTTCATTTTGCTAAGCTACCTTATAAGATGACAAGATTAATCTATTGTATGTTGTGCAGAAGCAACGTTTTAAAGTTTTCATCCATATATATTTTGTTTCAGTGTGGACATGCACACCTAGAGCCTTAGATAACCAAAGAAAATCTTGTTATGGGTAAATCAATGCTTGCAATATTGTCTTGTTTGTGTCCAGCTGGTTATCTCATGGAATTGTGAAGCAAACGCTCATAGCTACTCGTTATTATCGTCACTTTGTACCTTGTAACAGTAATGTGATTAATACCAGAAGCATTTATATCTTAGAAGGGATTCCTTGTTGTTTGGGTTTATTATGTCATTGTCTCTTGAGATTTTTTTTAATATTTTGAAATGGCTCATATTTGACTCGGCACATGTCATTAGTTGTTTCAATCAAATTTACACCGTTTGTGTGTGATATTGTTTTTTAAATTTTTTTGTTTCTTGTTTTATCATCTCTTTAAGAAAAGAAAAGAAATTGTGTTTAATTCATTTTTATCTAAACAGGGTAACCCTCTCAGTAATGTGGCCCTGTACAAATTACAGGTTAGAAAACTTACAAATAAAGAGGAATTTAACCAAGTTTAAATACATACATTGGCTAATATTTCACTCAGCATAAAGCATTTGTTGTTTAAATCAAAAACGACTCTCGTCTGTGTTTGATGTCATTTCATGCCTGAAAAACCCAAATGACTTGTATCCAGACATGTCATTGCGGCGGTAGAGTCATACAGGTAATTTTCTACATTCAAAGATCATGCAAGCAGTTTTTAGTGGTGGAGAGACCAATCAGCCATGTTTTGCCAGATCAGGTCCCAGTCTCACAAAGAGTTACGATTGATCCAAATTAATCACAAGTCCTCCAATCAATGGCAAGTTTGCAGTCTCCCAACTCTTATATACATTGTTGCGATTGATATCAACTCTTTGTAAGACGGGGCCCTGGGCACCATTTCATATAACCAGTTATAAGTTATAATAACCGTTATAAGCTACTGAAATTGCTTTATTTGATCGGCTGTGAGCAAATTTGTTAAAGGGAAAGTCCACCCTGAAATTAAGTTAGTTTTAATAGGAGTAGAAAAATGAGAGAAACAAGTCAGTGAAAGTTTGAGCAAATTCCGATTAAAAATAAGGAAGTTAGAATTTTTGAAGTTGTGATCAATCAAACACAAATTGGCAACTCTATGACGTATCATGCGAGCTCAACTTCCATTTGCTCAGTACTAAAAAAATCTAAAATTTTCATTTTTCCTCAAGAAAAATTTCAACCATACATGCACCCTAAATATAATAATTGCAAATATGTTTCTATACTCCCCCTGCAAGGAACAAATATATATTCCGTCATCAATAACGACGAAAACATGATTTTATGGAATATTATGCACAAAGCAAATGAAGGAGAGCTCGTATAATAAGTCACAGAGTTGCCAATTTGTATTTGATTGATCACAACTTCAATAATTCATAACTTTCTTATTTTCATTCAGAATTTGCTCAAACTTTCACTCACCTGATTTTCTTATTATTCTGCCTCTATCGAAACAAACTTATTTTGGGGGTGGACTTTCCCTTTAAAGAAACTTGTTATTGATTTTAAAAAAGGGGGCCTTTGTGAAACAGGGTCCTGTGCAAATTTATTGAATGGGGAGAAAGGTACTCTCTATTATGTTTTTATGATTAATCTTATTGGCAGTCTATACTTATACAACACATGTATCTCTATAGGTTTTGTACGAAAAGAAGGACAATAATGATTTGTTTCAATTTCTTGTACAAATGCATGTATTCATCAAATGGTTGGACAGTTGCCCAATTCGTCCTATAGATCAATCTGCCAGGCCATTTTCAGTGTGTGTTTGAGTAAACGGGTTTTCAACAAGATCTGTAGTTGATTTAATGTCATTTAATGAATTTTGTGGTGTTCTAACTTATGGACATATCTGACATTTGCTCTGGGCTTTATTTAAGTGTGACGTAGTGTCGTGATCACAACAGCCCAAAACACTGAATTTGCCTTGCTCCAGCCCGTTTCTTAAATGATTTCCTGGTGAACCTCATGTGCAGGCTCTGTTGTTAAGAACCAGTAACCTTGACAACGAGCAAATATAACGTGCACACCTTGGTGCTCTATAGGAGTTTAGGAATGCACATGTGTTTTATTAAGAGTACATGTACACAAGACTTGGTTTGATTGAGTTTTATTTTCAACAGAATAGCCCCATCATTAACCAAATTGGGTTTAGGGTTAGGGTTAGGTTAACATAGGTATAGGATGGGGGCATGTAGGGTTCTGGGTTGAAGTGAAGAATATGACCTGAAATTGACTCTGAAACTTGGAAGTCACTGTAGTGTGTACTATGTATGCTAGTTTTCAAATCAACCTCCTTGTGTATGATGTATCCCTTCCATTCAGAAACCCTCCACCTTTGTTTTGTTGTTGGTTTTTTAATTTAATTTAATTTTTATTAAATTTGCTGTACTTAACATTTTTTACAAGTTACCCATCTTTGATCAATATTGTGTAATATGCCAAGAAGGAGATTGTTATCATGCTTGGCAACATGGAGCAGCTAGGCACCTTTCTCTCTCAATATCTTAAAACAGTACCATGTCGCAGTTATTTGCCCACACACTTTCGTTTTAATACATGTATAGTTTTTATAGCGTCATGTTATTTGTAAGTTTCTTAATGTTTATTTATGGTTGTTGCGAAGTGCGCCCTCTATCTTCTGCTATAAAACGGACAAATTTCAGCTTCACCAACGGAATTATAAGTGTGTACGTTTCATAGGACTTTTCTCTAACTATTAATATTTTGTTCAAAGTAGTTTCGTTTCTTTTTAACTGTAGGCTTGCATTCCACAAATAGTGTTACATCCAAGCTGAACTGATACATTTTTATATACTGTTTATTCTGAAATTGATTATTGTAAATTTATTGTAGTTGTTAGTTTTTTAGAAGACCAATGAACATGTTAATGTCTGATCTATATTTCCTCTCTCTCTACCGTCTCTCTCTCTCTCTGCCGTCTCTCTCTCTCTCTGCCATCTCTCTCTCACTCTCTCTTTCTACCATCTCTCTCTCTCTCTCTTTCTACCATCTCTCTCTCTCTCTTTCTACCATCTCTCTCTCTCTTTCATCTCTCTCTCTCTCTCTCTCTCTCTCTCTCTCTCTCTCTTGCTTGCTTTCTTTCTGACTCTCTTCCTATTTTCCTTTTCATCTAAATTCAAAACAAAAGCAACAATTTTATGAAGTGTTGCATATTACAGTGTTGTACATGCATAAAACAATGACATGAACTAATGTACAAAATACTCTCACTTGTCCTTTGTCTTGCTGTTAACAGAACATATTTGAATCAGTTTATTTAGTCAAATAATAGTAAAAATTTAAATCTGGCTTTTCTTCATGATGCATGACATTAAGTGGGTCAACTTGTTCAGGGTCAGAGGTCACATATATTTAGAAAATAATAATTTGGACTAGGGCCTGTTGCATAAAACTTACCAACAGCTCACCAGCCAATCAAAATCAAGGTTTCCATGGTAGTTACCATTGATGGCAAAGTTACCATTAATGGTAAGTTTTGTGCAATGGGGCCCAGGTCAAAAACAAATTATTCAAAAAGGGATGCTAAAAAGATGTACTGGGCGTTGTGGCGTGCGCCTGTAATCCAGCTAAAAAGTGGAAGTTACAAACTGATTCAGCCGAGGACGCACGTCTTTCGGATGGTGACGTTTAAAGGTCGGTCCCAGACGTAAATAATCATATCTGATTGATACACGTCTGTAAAAACCCAATACACACATGTACTGGGTATCATTTCATGAAACCATTGCACAAGTACTAGTTGACTGGCTACCCATTTCGTGTAATGATAGCCTGCTTTCTCACCTGAGAAAAACATTTCCCCTTATTTCTAAAAAATAAGGCAACAAATGAATGTCATCTCAAAGCATTTTCTACTGAAATTTACCTACAAAGTATTCATTTGTGAAGTCACATGGTGACAAAAACCAACTTTGACCCCTAATGGAAGACATCATAAATCACCCCCCCCCCCTAAAAAAAAAAAGGGTTCATGTTAGAGCAACCCTAACATTGGGGCATCCATGAATTAAAACTTGAGAGCCACAACATGACTCTTGGAGAAAAATTAAATGTCAATAATTTTTCATGATTTTGGTCGCCAACTATACTATAAGTCATAAAAATTTAACATATGAGTTTAAATTGCGTGCGTTTATATAGGACCGGAATGCAATTGAATAGACCCTATAGCAAATGTATTCAAATTTTATGCATATACTTGAGATGATGTTAAAGCTTACAAGATGCTTGCCTGACATAGCAAGAACAAGTACATGCAATCTGAATTTTGAATTTTGATCTAAAACTTGTGATGAGTGAATGTAGTAGTTCATAAGTAGGCTGTGGGTGAAGTGTCCTAAAAATTTGATATACATGTATTTATGAACTACAGTCAACCCTGTCTATTAAGGCCACCCAAAGGAAACAGAAAAAGTGGCCACTGTAGACAGGTGGCCTTTCTAGACAAGTTCTAGAACACACATTTCTTTCTCGAAGGAGACAAAATGTATGACCGCTATAGCTAGATGGCTTTTATAGAGAGGTGGCCACAAATACAGGGTTGATTGTTGTCTATTCTTCAAAGTTGAAGGGATTAAGATAATCTCATCTAATCTTGACACTCTTGATGACCCCAGCCCTGATCCCTGATGCCTCTCCACCGTACCGGTGTAGCTCTGTCCTTGTCTCTCGTACCTGTAAGATGCAGAAGGAGAGGGGTAAAAGGAGGATGGGGTTAGTGATAAAAAGAGATGTACAGATATAAAAAGAAACAAATGGGGGAAAGAGTGAGGAATTAACATGCCAGGAAAGGACAGGAGAGAAAGAGAGATAGGAAAGGAAAAAGAAAAGAGAGAGGGAAAGACGAGAAGAGAGGGAAAAAAGGGACATAGAGAGGATGAGAGAGGACAGGAAAGAGTGGGTACAAGAGAGAGAGAGAAGAAAGAAAAGAGAGAGAAAGGAAAGAAGGTAGAGGGAGGGAGGGAGAGAGACAGACAGGGGGCAGAATTTATACCAAATTAGGAAAAAATAAGAAGTCCAAAATAGAGACATATATCATGAAAACACATGTGCCAATCACACTGATCATCAGCCAGGAGTTACAGGAAAGTTATTAAGATATCTCTCCCTCGAAGCTTCTGAATATTTGTAGAATAAACACGGTTGTACTATTCGACAATTAAAGATACTGTCGCGTGACTCGTAACATATAGCACAGACCCGTAATACAAAACATTTCAGATTACAAATGCTATGTCCCTAATAATGGGCAGGGAAATGTGCCAGTGAGCACAAATTAATGCGTCAATATGGGCTGCCACAATCGACCTGCACTAATTTGTTACTCTTGCCAACTTCCTGACTTTGATGATGAGCCTAACTCTATCTATAGAGAAATATGACCCTAACACTAAACCTAACCTAAAAACCCAATCGTAAGATTCATAACCTTCACCCTACCATGTATCTTTACGAAATAAACCATGTAGAGCGATTGTCGTCTGAGAATGTGTCGGATCACCAACACTATGACACTAATCCTTTCTGTCCCTTCTCTTCCTATGCCCATTTCTATCTCTCTCCCATTCTCTCCTCATTTGTATGCATCACTTCATATTGTATATATTGTTATTTTCATTATCTAGAAGACGTCACTTCAAGCTTACATGTATGTTTAAGACAACCCCTTTTCTGTATATACCATGTCATTATCATACATCTGATTTATATTTACATCTATAAATTGTAAATGTAAATATGTTGATGTATGTGGAATAAATAAACATCTATCAATCAATCAACTACCCAGTAATCAATAAATAGAAATATCTGAGTTGATTTTACCTGTCCCTTTCTCCTGATCTTGGCCTTGCGGAACTTCATCCTATTCTTCACTCTTGGATTCCTGAGCTCCTTCCGCCTGTAGGCCGTCAGTCCCTTGTTCTTAGAAATCTGGGATGATAGAGAAGGAAACATAGGTGTGATTAATAACAAGCAATAACTCTACAACTTCATTGAAAGGTTTTGAAATGTTCGTTTCATTTCTTAAACTGTCGCACCTGGGGCATGGAATAAATACAGATAAATGGTACAAAGATATTTTACAACTAAGACATTGAAGAAGAAGGAAAAAAAATTGGATTTTAAGGAAGGTTCTTTGGTAGCAAACAACACACAATAAAGTGAAGGTAAGATGTCATCAATTGAACAACAACTAAGAAAGACTTAAGTAAAACTATAAACTGTCTCGTAACCGGGAGATCCCGGGTTTAATAGAAACCAAGTCGATGCAGTGGTGCCCTTTGGTAAGGCGTTGATCCTCATTACCAAGTCCCTCAGAGAGGACTTAAAGATGCCAGTCCCCTGGCTGCTTTAATACTGACAAGGATATACATGCTTTCTTAGCAGTCAAGTAAAACAACCATCCCTAAACATCAAAGATGGACTGGTATCATACCTGGTAGGTGATGGCTCTCTTCTCATCTCCATCTCCTTCTCCCTCCTCCTCTTCACCGTCTTCCTCCAAAGCTCTGTCCAAAGAAAGAGACATCGAATGATCAGAAATAATGTTATAAAGAAATTTTGAGAAATGTTGAGATTTTCTCTCAACATCACACCGCTTGAATATTCAGAAGTCATGTTTTTTACAGTGCTATCAACACCCCAAAATAAAGCTTTATAACAAAATTTAAAAAAATTAAAAAGCTGAGTATTATCTTGTTGCAAAAACAGAAATTAGACATAAATGTACAGGGAACAGGGTGCGCTATCAATGTAAACAATGAACATGAAAAGGAAAACAATGGAGCACCTCAATTCTTATTAAAGTAAATTATTCTACAGCGCAGGGAGTGGGACATTTTCTTGTTTATAAAGTCTTTGATATAAGGGAGCATGTGGAAATCAAGGTATCTGGTTGCACACACAGAAATTAGACATACATGTACAGGGTGCATTCCTAATGTAAACAATGAACAAGAACAGGAAAACAATGGAGTACCTCAATTGATTCTTAGAGTAAATCACTCTACAGCTCCGGGATTGGGACATTTTCTTAAGTCTTTTGATATAAAGGGAGCATGTTGAAATAAAGGTTTCTTGTTGCACACACAGAAATCAGACATACACGTACAGGGTGCACTACCAGTCTACTAATGCAAACAATGAACATGGAAAAGAAAAAAATGGAGCGCTTTAATCAAATTTTAGAGTAAATCATTCTACAGTGCAGGTATGGGACATTTTCTTGTTTATAAAGTCTTTTGATAAAAATAATAATATTGATCTTTATATAGTGCCAGTTTCCGCCAGGCCCCGGTTCTCATGGCACTGTACATATTACAATCACAAACATATCACTGATATGAGGGATCATCTGAGCATGCACTACTCCCAACAATTAATAATATGTCAATGTTTATCCTTTGATTATTTAGAAATTGATAATAGAATGTACTTACCCCATTGCAGCCTGCTCTTTTTTCTTCTCTCTCTGTTTACTCTCCATTGCCTTGTAGTATTCTAGAGCCTTCAGCTCCTCTTCTGATAATGATGGAAGGCCCTTCTTCTTTTTCTAAGATGACAAATGAAATTACATCCAATCACGAATGAGAAGTGTATTTTAATCCCATATCAAGTTTAGATTAATATTTTGAAAATATGATTAAGAGGATTGCTCCATGGTCTAAGGCTAACACTATTCAAATTCCTATCAACTTCAACCCTCAACTATATATAATATAGAAATATTTTACCATATTCTACTGGTAGATAAAGACAGACATTATTCCCATCCAGGACATTCGTCCATACAAAATAGAGGAAAAAGTGAGGTTTTAATAAAAACACTTACTTTGGGTAATGCTGACTCTTCTTCAATAGTGATTGTGTCTTCTTGTTTCCTCCTTTCTGAAATGAAAAAAAAACAAGCAGAAAGTAAATTTCTGGGCCCGTCTTATAAACAGTTGCAATTAATCTCATTTTACTTGCGATCTACATCAATCGCAACTGCGTACAAAACAGATAGGAAAGTGTACCCTTGTGATTAATTGAGAGGAGTCTTTAAGTCCTTATAAGATGGGGCCCAGAAAAGTTATTTTGGGGTTTGCTAATCCAAAAAAAGTAATAACCGCATACAGGAATGAATATTAAATTCAATGAATATATGTTGACCCCTTCTCTAAAAAAATATAAAAGTCCTAATCTATTTCCTGCAACTCAAGATTTATTCAACTTTTGATATGCTTTTTTGACATGAAACACAATTTACTCCTCTTTTTCTTGTCCATCTTTTCTTGAGAAAGAAGAAGTTCTTCTTCTTTAGCTGCACTCATCTGTTTGTTCTCCTTTTCTACCTCATCTGCTCGGCTCAGGACGGAATCTATCTCCTCTGCTAACTTCTCATCAACCGGTTGCAATTCAGATATTAGCTGCAAGAGAGGAGATAATGATATACACAGCGCAAAGATTAAAAGTAAATAGTTGGACCCAATACAAATTGGATTAAGGATTTGCAATGTTTCCAACCTTCTTTTTAACTAGAAAAAGGTCGTTTTGATCCCCTCCAAAGCCAACATTTTGTCAAGAAGACGCACAATTAGGGCTGAATTCCCACTAGAAATGTATTTCAAAACATAGTTTAAACCTCTCACACTATTACAGTTTCAGTATTCAGATTCTCAAATTTTATGCTTTAAGCCCTACTGCACTACGTATTGCGACTTGCGCCCTCTATATAGCAAAGAATGCCTAATCAGTGCCTGTTGGTCCCCCATGACCCCCTTTTGTCTTATGTTAAGTTACTGCTGATTTGATGCGATAACCACCTGTCAGTGACCTTGCAAGGAGGTCTAATCCCCCCTGGCCAAACTAGTGCGGACAGGTTCTAAGGATCAATTTCCATTCTTTGAAATCAATATGCATTATGAGTTTTTTTATTGTAAACTCACGACAAAGGAATACACTAGGTACATAATTACTAGAAGTCCCATTATTACCTTTCCAAAAGCCAGGATTCTTCCAATAACAGGATGATGGGCTACTGGAACATGTTTGGCCTTCAAGATCATGTAGAAACTGATGTTCATGCAGTAGCTGTAAAGAGAGTGGATTAAATGCAGGTAAGAACATGACGACCGGAGTAATAAAATCTATAAGGTGTCGTGGTTATTTCGCTGGACTGTCGATCACAAGGTCCGTGGTTCGAGTCTCGCCACGGCCTTAATGTCCTTTGGCAAGACATTGATCTACATTTGCCACACTCCACCCAGGTGATGTAAATGGGTATCTGGCAGAGATTAATTTCTTGTAATGCTTGAGCGCCGTAATGGCAGCCCAGTTAAAGCCGGGGTAACAATCTCCAAGTTTGGAAGCGCTTAGAGACTTAATAGTAATTCACGCTTTATAAAAGCCAAGTATTATTATTATAACGTGCTAAAAAGCCAGCTTACTTTTGTGAAATTTCACCCTTAGAGCATGTTAGTAGGAATAACAGTTTACAATGTCTGCAATCTTATGGTTCATGTCATTACATATTTACAGTATTAGTTATTGTAATGAATTATTAAGCGACACAAATATTTGATGAGATACATACAAAGAATTCTAAGAATATGTGCTTGATACATATGAATGCGCAATCTCATGTCTTTTAAGCATGCTTTATGGTGAATTGTCATGTTACATGCAAAGCATGTATAAGGAAAGAAGCAGCTTACACAATGAATAATACTGTAGGAACTAAAATGGAACCGCTCCTGTTTCAACTGAACTTTCAAGGCCTACAGTGTGTATATTACAGATTGGGAGTGATGTATGCTCCATATAAGAAATTTCTCACTATTATTTTCTAATTCATTATCAACCTAAAGTGATAAAAATCCACTCAATTGATCTTAGTGCAGTGTTGACTGCGCAGCTTAAAGATTCATACAATTTTGCTGCATTTTCGTGTTAACCGAAATATCGATGGCCCTCTGGGCATGTTTAAATTGTATTCTAATATCATGATACAAGATGGCGGAGCTCGACGGGGCTTTGCCGACTCCTACCGGGCCTACCTGAGATAGAGCTGGTACTTGGTGTGGATATACTGGGCTCCTTCAGACCCTTCCTTGATGACACCTCCTCTCTTGATGAGTGTGACCAGAGGCTGCAGACGATCTATCAACTCACGCATCTAATTAAGGAGAGAACAGGGATTAAAAAATAATAATTTAATCACTCAAAAAAGAGGACAGAAATAAAACGTTAAAGGCATCGATTAACAATGTTAAATCTGAGATGTATGGCCCTACGTGGTATCAGTGTCTGTGATATGAAAACCATTCGGAAAACGCAAAATTGAATTTTGATTTCCAATCATAAATATCTTGATAATCAGACAGGTGATCGGCTTGTAAAAGTCATGAGGTTCCTGACTGACCTAAAGGTTTATAAGTATCATTGCGGCATGAGCTAAATCCAGGATTTTGTTTCAGAATCTGAGACAAAGTTACCCAATCCCTTTAAAAGCTCAAAGGGAGTATTGTATTTTTAGAGATGATCTATCAACTCACGCATCTAATTAAAGAGAGAAACAGGATTCGATTTTTTTTTTTGGTTAAATCACTCAAAGGAGAGGACAGGAATACAATGTTAAAAGCTCACAGGGACTACTATCATTTGGGTTTAAAAAAAATAAAAAAGCTTAAATTGTCCTGAAAATTTCATGCGAAATGAATCTGTGATATATCCAAAATAACTTTGATCAACACTTCATCTTACTTCAATCTCCAATATTATGCATAATACAATATACTTTTCTTTTTTGAGAGAGAGAGTGTGCGTGAGAGAGAGAAGAAGAGAGACAAATATATATTTATATATTTAGAGAAAGAGAGAGAGACAGAGAGAGACAGAGAGACAGAGAGAGAGAGATCAGAGAGAAAGAGAGAGAAAGAGAAACAGAGAGAGCATGTTAATGTTGGTACATGTACATTCAATTTTTCATACCTTTACTTTGAAATCTGCTGTAAGTTGTAAAAATTCTGGTGATTCCTTTTTCAAAAGCTGCAAAGACATATGACATGAATACAAATTAGATATGTTACTGTTTCATAAATCAATCATTCATGCTAAACTTAGATTTATAATTCTAATTCTTTAATCACTTGTAATCAAGAAATGAAAAAATATGGCATTCATTTGCTATATATCATATCAAGATTATGAATCGCACAATTGCAAAAAAGATGAAGAAATGATTCAACTCAATTCAATCCTCTTTAGAACAATACTATAGCAGTACATGTATGTTGCATTACTAGGCTGGAATAAAGAAACCCATGACATTTATAATTTATTTTCATATACGTCTCAATGCACTTCAAACTCAACAACTAATGCTCTGATAGAACCATAATACCTCCTTCCCTTCTTTCAAATCAATATAATTCAATTCAATTCTATTCAAGGTTTATTAGAAACATGTGTTGCAGCCCAATGGCTGAATTGGTCATGTGTACAATTAACAGACTCATTACATATTTCAGACACAAAATACAATTACGATTGATTTGTCAATATTGAAATATATGGTATGGAATGGATTTTGTTACCTCTAGCTTTTCTCTCTTTGATAGCTTGCTGAGATCTTTGGTGACCTTCTCCTCACTCTCAAGGTCACCGGAGGTTGTCTTCTCTACCTGCCTGTCACTACTCTGTTGAATTGAACCAATCATACAAATAAACCATGTGTTAGTAAAAAAATATGGTGCATAAATACACTAAAACCTCTCTAGATATATTATTCATAGTACGATGTTATCCTTTATCTTTGCACCGGTAAAATTTCATTGATAGCATTATACTGTACAATTGTAACAAATAAAAAAAAAAAACTTTTGTTCATACTGAATATCTTACTATATATGCTACTCACAGAACTCATTTATTAATGCTGATATTATGAACTTGTTCTTATTCATCAAGATCATTTGTTGGAATGCAAAATGAAAAAAATTATATCAAAAATAAATAACATTACCATAATCCAGGGGTGATAGTGAGCACCCCCCCCCCCCCAATTTTTTTTTTTTCCCCTCAACCACGACCCCCTTGAAAAAAAAAAAGAAAAGAGGATTCGGGGGAAAAATTGGCATCCAACAACATTACCCCCTTTTGAGTAAGAAAAATTGGGAAATAATAGGGAAGAATAGAAAAAATAAGGGAAAAATCTTGAAAATCAGGTAAAAAAAATAAATTAAAAAATTGGGGAAAAGAAAGAAAAAAAAAACGGGGAAAAATCAAGAAACCGATTTAGATCAGGTTTTTATCATGCCTGCATAATCACAAATGGGATTTGAGGGGATTTTTTTTCTTCATATTGTTGGAAAGAATGAACATTTTGTGCACACCTTGAAGATATCCAGACCAAAGTCATCATCTTGTAATGCCTCAGCCATCCTGTTCTGAATGGCAAGGGCTTCTTTCTCTTCTGCCTCTTGATTGGCTGCCTCCTCCAACTGATCCAAACCTACAACAATGAAAAGCATCCATTTTGTTTTCAATAGAAATGAAAACAATGAATGTGTAACTAAAATTAACCCTCATGTGACTAATATGAAGGTTAATTTTAGTTACACATTCATTTATAATTATGTTGACCTTATCTTTATATTTGTTAAGTTATGTTAGTAATATTTTGTTTTCCTGGTAATTTAAGTAATGTTAATTACATTAGTAATATTGATTTTTCTTGAAGTAATTTTGGTTTGTGTACAGCGCATTGAAACTTTTATGTCACAAGCGCTTTATAAATTTTTCGTATTATTGTTGTTTATTTTTATATTTTGTTTTATGTATGCACCAGCCAATGTGGAGAGCCTCTAGACAGAAGTTTTTTAATTCTTTTAGGTGATCCTCAGGCATTGGCTGGTGCTAAATATCATTATGTTAATGTTATATCACTTTGTCAACCTTGTGATGTTTTGTATGTTATCATCCTGTCTGGGAATTTAAAAAAATAAATAAATAAATGAAAGTAGTGACACTCTTAAAATCTGAAATTGGCCCAATTTTGTTGTTCTCAAATGCATATCACATTATGATATTACGTTGCAATGTCCTTTTAAAGGACTTTGGATATCATTATCCAAACTTTTAATAGCTCGGACGACCTTAGCGCTCAGTCCATTCAAGGAATATATTAAACCAGGTACCCACTTACTACACCTGGGTTGAGTGTGACAAATATAGATTAATGTCTTGCTAAAGAATGTGAGTGCTGCGGCAGGGATTTGAACCGCAACTTGTGGTTCACAGTCCGGAGACTAATTTCAACTACACCACAACATCTTCATAAAGCTTAAAGGTATAGACCAGTTTTGGTATGGCGTCATGAATTTGGTTCAAATGAACATATTGGAAGCAAATGCGATTTTACAATATTCAATGATCGTTGTCGCAGTTGAAATCGAGTTTAAAGTGATGAAATTGTAAATAATAAACTCTTTATGTTGTATAGCACCCTCTCAAGACTGGTATTACTTTAGCTTGAAAACAATTTTTCTTGATTACAATCAACTGATTTGCTATTCCCGTTTGGAAATTATATATCAGAACGGCATATTCTGAGATTTTCATGGTCGCAGCTACCATGGAATGGCCTTAGGAGCTATCTGAAATATTACCGGGAGCACCAGTAAATTTTTGATTATTCAATTTCACGAAAGCAAAAGTGTTTTAGGGGCTAAATTTTCTAGCGCTTATAATACATCCACAGGGGCATCCAAAAATGTCAACATTTTAAAGAATTACTATCCATCCAATTTTCAAAATTTCTCAAAACTTTGAATTACCTTTAAGACCTAACTGTGTCAGATGTCAGCATAACTTCATGAAAATAATTGCACATAACATATAAGTCTAAGATTGTGGTGGAAAGGAGTAAAGGCATCGCAGAGTGAAATAGCTTTTTAGCTTACCTGGGAGGTCATCATCTACATAATCGGTGTCATAATAGGCCTGCTTCCTCTTTCCCCAAGCCTTGGAACTGACGTCTCCTTCTCCATCCTCGTCCCCCTCATCATCGTCCTCCTCATCTTCTAGATCGCTTGCCATCTCGTCCATCTTCTCCTGTCTCCTGAAGCGCTGGAGCCTCTCCTTCAAGATGGCTTCCTCTTCATCATCTCCATCATCCCATCCAAGAACCTCTTCCTCCTAGAGCAGAATGAAAGTGGTTGACTTGTGATTACACTAGGGACTTTTAGATTTGCACACCGACAAAGTGGACTGCTATATGTGACGTCCTTATAAGGCATTGGCAGTTACTTAAAAGGACGTCACAGTGCAATAAAAGGACGTCACACGTAGCAATCCACTATGTCAATGTGCAAATCTAAAAGTCCCTATTATGAAGGCTGAATGGAACATGGTAAAATCTGTAAATAAACGATACAGGTAAATTCACAATTTTTTAGCCTGTTTAACTTTAAGCTACTTTTTGGCAAATACATGTCAACATAACCACTCGACCAGGACACCTCTACACATAAGATGTATTTATTTCCCTTTAACCATACCTCATTGTCAGAGCTGTCAGCGGGTCCTAGAGTCCTGCTTACATCTAAGGAGATCTTTTCTTTGTTGGCATGAAATTCGTCAACTTCGTCATAAATGTAGTCTCTAGATGACGGGTCTGGTGCTTTCTCTTTGGCGTATGCTCTCGGGTCGTCGCTGTCATAGTCGGACTCCTCCACCTTCTTGCGAGAACCACCACCTTTCCTGTTAGCAGATGGACAAAATGACGATGTTAGATTTTCAGTGTCATGTTATAAAGAAGGAAAACATGAAAATAATAAACAAATTAAGTCTCAGTCAATCACGATTCACTTGTAAGTTGTGATTCAAGACCAACAATCCAGCATTTCACAGGACAGGTTCATATGTTTTAGCATTAGTTCTAGGCCTAAACTATTCAATTTTTCAACTTACATGCATGCAAAGAATTAGGAATAATGTGCATTAATTTGGATAAACAAACTAAAGACTCAACAACTTTATTTTACTATTGGGAAGACTTAAGTGTTGGTGGTCACAGTAACCCAGCTTCTATCAACAATCGATTCCTAGACATGATCCAGAACTGCAACTTACAACAGATGGTTACCTTTCCAACACGAGGAGATAATGTACTTGATCTCTTCTTAACCAACAGACCAACGCTGATCAACAAATGTTCTCTACTACCTGGTCTTGGTGATCATGACATTGTTGGTGTTGATTCAGATGTAACAGCGAAAAGGAGTAAGCCGGTGAAAAGAAAAATCTACCTATGGAAGAAAGCCAATCTGCTGGGAATAAAACAGGACTGCCGTCAGTTTCAGCAAGAGTTTGTGCACAAATATACTGAACAGAGCTCAGTTCATGAGATGTGGAACTGTTTCAAGATCAGCCTGCTAAACATGACGGACAGCCACGTACCAGCCAAAATGACATCCACTCGCTTTAGTCAGCCATGGGTCACAAGGTCGGTGAAACGGTCATCAAGGAGGAAAAAGCGGGCCTTCAATCATGCCGTGGCGACTGACAGACACGAGGATTTCAACAGATACCGTGAGATCAAGAAATCAACTCAAGCAGCCTGCAAACAAGCTTACAGTGAATACATCAACAACATCATCAGCCCTGACTCCAAGGCAAACCCCAAGCGATTCTGGAGTTTCATCAACAGTAAGAGGAACGACCGTACTGGAGTAGCCCCACTGAAAGACACCAATGGGATTACACAATCAGGCAGCAAGGATCAGGCAGCAAGGAGAAGGCCAACATGCTGAATCACCAGTTTGCATCAGTGTTTAACAGGAATGAGGACATGTCAACCATGAAGGATAAAGGACCAAGTCCATTTCCAGACATGGATGACATCCAGATCTCACCAGCTGGTGTCTACAAACTGCTTTCGTCTCTCCAGGTACATAAAGCTACTGGACCAGACAAACTGCCTGCACAACTACTGAAGACGCTGTCATTGGAAATAACTCCAGTGTTGACTATGCTTTTCCAAGCTTCGCTGAATCAAGGAGACGTCCCAGAGGACTGGAAGAAGGCAGACGTAGTTCCCATCTTTAAGAAGGGAGAGCGGTGCCAAGCAGTCAACTACAGGCCAGTGTCACTGACATCTATTATCTGCAAGACACTGGAACACATCGTATGTAGCAGTATCCTTGAGCACCTTGATGACTTTAACATTCTGTCAGATGCTCAACATGGATTCCGGAAGAGACGGTCTTGCACATCCCAACTTCTCCTCACTATTCAAGATCTTTCCAGTGGAATTGACTCGAGAGACCAGATAGATGTAATCCTGTTGGACCTATCAAAGGCTTTTGATAAGGTTCCGCATGGAAGACTCCTACATAAGATCCACTACTATGGAATCCGAGGTAGTACCCATAACTGGGTTGAGGAATTCCTTGCAAGACGCTCACAGAGGGTATTGCTTGATGGATGCACTTCTCACACCTCTCCCGTTAACCCTGTAAACGATCATCGGATCGGACGCCGATACCGATCCGATCAGGGGTGATCGGCGATTCCGATCCGATCGCCGATCAATTAAAATGATCGGAAAAAAATCGGCAGATTTTTTTTTTTTTTTTTTTTTTTTTTTTTTTTTTTTTTAATGACGAAAATTTTCAAGTTTTTGGCTATCAAATGCTCAAAAAAAAAATCATGGCTGGGATTATTTTGTCATTTGGAGTTGTTGTAAACCATGTTTGTTGATATGTAGTGCCTTTTCATGACTTTGAAATTAATAATATTGGTCTAAGAGCAGAGGCAAAACATGCGGGCCGCCATCTTGGATTATAATGTAGGTATTTTTATTTTTTTAATGACGAAAATTTTCAAGTTTTTGGCTATCAAATGCTTTAAAAAAAATCATAGCTGGAATTATTTTGTCATGTGGAGTTGTTGAAGGCCATGTTTGTTGATATTTAGTGCCTTTTCATGACTTTGAAATTAATAATATTGGTCTAAGAGCAGAGGCAAAACATGCGGGCCGTCGTCTTGGATTATAATGCATACCTACATTATAATTCAAGATGGCGGCCCGCATGTTTTGCCTCTGCTCTTAGACCAATATTATTAATTTCAAAGTCATGAAAAGGCACTAAATATCAACAAACATGGTCTACAACAACTCCAAATGACAAAATAATCCCAGTCATGAACTTTTTTTGAGCATTTGATAGCCAAAAACTTGAAAATTTTTGTCATTAAAAAAAAAAAAAAATACCTACATGTACATTATAATCCAAGATGGCGGCCCGCATGTTTTTCCTCTGCTCTTAGACCAATATTATTAATTTCAAAGTCATGAAAAAGCACTATATATCAACAAACATGGTCTACAACAACTCCAAATGACAAAATAATCCCAGTCATGAACTTTTTTTGAGCATTTGATAGCCAAAAACTTGAAAATTTTCGTAATTTAAAAAAAAAAAAAAAAAAAAAAAAGAAAATCGGCCGATTTTTTTTGTCGATCTTCCGATCCGATACCGATCAAAGGTGCGAGGGTGTCGCTCCGATCTTCCGATCCGATCAGAGCCCCAACTTACAGGGTTATCTCCCGTCCTGTCGGGCGTTCCCCAAGGCAGTGTAGTCAGGCCTCTTCTCTTCCTGCTGTTCATCAATGATCTTCCTGACTGCATATCAGCGAAGTCTACAGTGAAATTGTTTGCAGATGACTGCATATTGTACAGGAAGGTGTCAAGTGCAGATGATGCTGAATGCCTGCAGAAGGACTTAGATGCACTCCAGGAATGGGAAGCAGACTGGCTAATGCAATTCCACCCTCAAAAATGCCAGGTTATGCATGTCTCTAGTAAAAGGCAGACATCCAAAGCCTCCTTTCCTTACTTCATCCATGGAGAGCAGCTACATGTAACAGAAACTGCAAAGTACTTGGGGGTCCACATCCAGAGCAACCTGAAATGGAATCACCATGTAAACGTCACCACCAAAAAAGCCAACTCTGTACGGTGCTTTCTGCAAAGAAACATGGGGGCCTGCCCACAGAAGACCAAGGAGTTGCTGTGCAAGACATTAGTACGCCCTGTGATGGAGTATGCTGCAATATAGACCGAATTTTCCGTCTCTTTCGTTCGTTAGCCTCTTATTGGGGTAGGGTCGGCTCTCTCTTTAGAGACGGAAGCCGTTTATACACATGTCCTTGCTAACGCCACGGCCAGTCCTGGTCGTAGCGTTTTGCCCCCAAAATCCCCCAAAATGTCATTTTACCTCGAGCATGTTATATTGTAAATTAGGCCTAGGCTATAATAAATCAGTTCCACTTACCAACTTGACTGAAATAATCTTGCGTTAGCAAGGACATGTGTATAAACGGCTTCCGTCTCTAAAGAGAGAGCCGGCCGACCCTACCCCAATAAGAGGCTAACGAACGAAAGAGACGGAAAATTCGGTCTAGCTGCAATAGTGTGGGACCCGTCCACCCAGGAGAACATCAGAAAGGTGGAAATGGTGCAACGCCGTTGTGCACGCTTCGTCCTGGGTGACTATCGGCGCAGAAGCAGCGTCTCAGCCATGCTGAATCAACTTAAATGGGTAAGTCTGCAGGAAAGAAGGGCTCAGCAGAAAGTAGGCATGGTTTACAGCATACTCCATGGCCTGGTTGATCTTCCAGTCACCTACTTCATACCCGTTGTTGGTCCCAGCACCCGTGGAAATCCACAGAAATTCCATGTCCCCTTTGCCCGAACTCTGCTATTCCAAACCACATTCTACCCAGATACTATCCGACTGTGGAACTCCTTACCATCTGCTGTCGTCGATTGCACCTCTTTGGAACTTTTCAAGCAGAAGGTGCAACACATCAAGCTCCGTTGAGCTTCAGACTGTTTTTTAGCTGCACATAGAATTCTTGTAGAACCTTTTTACTTGCACTGTACACTCGGCACTTGACAAACACAAGGTACGATAATACGCCAACGGCGGACTGTACTATACTGGAAGAAGAAGAAGAAGAAGAAGAACAATTCTTGCTTTCAGCCATCACACATACACAAATGAAAAGGTACGGGACTAAGCTAGAAAATTCTATTTCAATTTTGTAACTAACAAGTCATTTTGCACTCATCATACAGAGATTTATGAATTGGTAATCATCACATATTTCATTTAATACTCACTTTCGTCTTCCCATGTCAGCTTATGTTTGAATATTAGCGTTATTCAACTTGTGAATTCTGTTCCAAAACACAGCGATTTCGCAAAACACATGTGTCTCCTCAAAGGTGAACGAACTTTCCGTCATAGCTGAGTGACTTTTTCGAAACTAGGCAACAGACGCTGCTGCTGTGCAAACCGTGGTAAGAATCTTAACTATTTTCATATATTTAGAACATTCAGTCCGCTTATTTTCGATGACAACTTTGTAGATATTTAAATGAAAACTTTGATTACACCATTTCAATAGTAATTTAACCAGAAGGCATATCACAGTTCATTTGTGGGGCTGGAAATCGAAACGTGATCACGGCTTCAGCGTTACTGCTTGCAGCACCAGTTTCTGGCATGAAGACAGGCCGGTACACTCGGCACCGCTACCGCTAAGAGTCGGCCTACGTTCGTTAGCAGCTGCATGGTATCTGGATATTTTTATATAGACTCTAGACAGAAATAACCGTCTGGTATGGGGAATTCTTTAATAATTTAAAATTTGTCAACCTTCTCCATACACAGACAGACAGTACCTCTTATATGGCTGGCACAATTGAGGGGGGGGGGAATAATTAATACTAATAATTTATGTGTTTTTCTAATTTTGCCTCTTCAGATCCAGGACAAAGTTTGTACAAGAAATCAGTTAGACTTAGAGAAGATGGATCCAGCTGCGGTACAGACACGATATGAGGATGTGTGCATGGAGTTAGAGGTCAAACCAAATCCTTATATCATGAAGGTGTTGGACAAGGAGAGAGATGAACAAATCATGTAATTATTGATATTCTTTTTCTTCTTCTTCCTCTTCTTCTTCTTCTTCATCACCTTCTTCTTCTTCCTTTTCTTCTCCTTCTCCTTCTTTGTCTTCTTCTCCTTCTACTCCTTCTCCTCGTTCTTCTTTTTCCTTTACTTCTTCTTTGTCTTCTTCTCCTTCTGCTCCTCCTCCTTGAGTCATCCTTCCCCTCTCCCTCTCCTTTTTCTTCTTCTCATCCTCCTTTATCTTCCTTTTCTTCTTCTTTTTCTTCCTCTTCTTCTTCTTCTTCTTCTTCTTCTCCTTCTCCTTCTCCTTCTCCTTCTCCTCCTCCTCATCATTCTCCCCCTCCTCCTCCTCTTCCTCCTCCTACTCCTCCTCCTCCTCCTCCACCTCCTTCTTCTCCTCCTCCTCCTCCTCCTCCTCCACCTCCTCCGTCTCCTCCTCTTCTTCTTCTTCTTCTTCACCTTCACCTCCTTTTTCTTCTCCTTTCAATTTTATGAAATCATATGATTTTGCAATTCAGATGGTTCCATCGCATTAAAAACTTCTTTCAGATGCAGATCAATTGAATGTTAAAACTGTTTGTCATCTTTCAAAAATAGTAAATCACTTTTAGAGTGTGATTTTGTAAATGTTCTCCTTTCATCCCATTTTTAGGTACAGCTTTCTAAATAGTATAATTGAAAAATGCCCTCTTGTCTTTCAAAAGTACTTTATTGTAGAAACACAACAACTATTAATAAAGCCTCTGCTATTTCCCCTTTTTAGGCGTGTTGTCAGAAAGTAAGTCAAGAATTCCTTCAAACCAGATTTGCTTGCAGCCAAAATAAGAATATATTATATATATGGCATATATGCTGTCATTGCTTGTGGACAAAAGAAAAATATGCACTATTATCAATACTAGCAGCATTGCATGCCATTTCTTAATTTACAAGTGGGAAATTTGGGAAAATATTCATTTTAAAAATCTATAGAAAGTATATTCCTAAAATTATGTTATTGATCAAATGTCAGTATTTATTTATATATTTATTTACTTTTTTCACAGTATATAATTTATTATCATTACTTAAGTATTATAATCTATTCTTTTTTAAACAATCTTTTTCTTTTAATTCTTTTGTTTGAATATTTTACTTCCTTCTTTAGAGTTTGGTTACAGTATAAATGCTTGGAAAATTACATTTCTGGCATAAAGTACCTTCCGCAATTAACATGTGATATTATTTGCAATCTCATTTGTAGTATTATCAAGATACTTTTCATCACATGATCTGCTTCATACATTAATCATATATGCTATCTGTTCATGATCTCATTCAAACATGCCAGTGCCGCAAAAAATGGCAAAAGGAACAGGTATAAAGTCGATAATATTTCAGCATTTTGGTAAAAAGGGAATTAATAGTTTAATACACATGCTCATCATGTTTCTACCGTATTTGTTTTATCATATGGTGACTGGAAAAATTATTGTCTTTTTTTGGTAATAAAGTCCTCTTAGTTTGAGAGACATGGAAATTTTGTGAGTTTCATTGAGTTTCATAATTCTATGTTCTCTCTTCGAGGCTTTATAACATTTCACATTCTTACTTGGTGGATGGCTTAATTGCTCATAATTTCATGTTATTGCGAATTGTATGAAATTCATAAATCAACGAAACCTGCATATAAAGGCAATGTTGGTCTTACTGGACAGGTTGTCTTTCCATACACATGTATGTCCCTTTAGACTAAGTACATGTTTCAATGAAAAACTATTTCCAAGGGAACAAAAGAATGTAGTCTGTATGGTACTTAGGTAATCTTTCTATACAGGTGGTTTCTAAAGCAGGTGTGACTGTAAACGTGTACAAACTTTTGTATTTGAAGATACAGAAAATAATAGAGGTCCTAAATTGATCATGATGAATTTAAGACATCCAATTTCATAAAGGGTTTCTTTTGACTTTATAACTTATAATAACACATCAAATCTGTCAATTGTCTAATATTTCGAACTTTGGGTGGTTATATGCCGGTAATGTCTAAGTTATTAATGAAGGGTTTCTTTTTACTTTATAACTTATAATACTTTAACGCTTATCAAATCTGTAAATCGTCTAATATTTCCAACTTTGGGTGGTTATATAATGTCTGAGTTATTCATAAAGGATTTCTTTTGACTTTATAACTTATAATACTTTAACGCTTATCAAATCTGTAAATTGTCTAATATTTCAAACTTTGGGTGGTCAATTTCTCAGTTGATCAATTAATCCAGTCACTTAATTCTCACTCTTTAAATGCTGCTTGCTTAATGTTTTCATGCTTAATTGCCAGCTTTATAATTCTATAAATTTGTTCGCCTTGCTTTTAACCTTTGCTTGCTTGTATTTCAAATTGTGCATGATCTTTCTGCTAATGAAGGTGGGAGCTTACTGAAAAGTAAGTAATTCTGTTTTGCTGATGTTTGCTGTGAAAGTTTAGAATATCTTCAGGGTTTGTTTCAAGAGTGCATAAAGAAATAACAAAATATATTCCTCTATATCTGTTATGAATGTCAAAACTTTTATATTGTTTTCCTATTTTTGTGTGTGATGTGTTTTTATGCTGCATAAGTTTTATACCTCATTGATATTATACACATATAGCCTGCATTATAAGCACTAACAATGTAGATTACTAAATATCAGTTAGTCAATATCTACTATTTAGACCAGTGTATGTAGGATAGACTAGATGATCATAGCTCATCTAGTTCTATAGCATTGTATGCTTCTTTATTTTGTATCATATACTGTACCAGTACATACATGTATGTATTATGTATAGGATGTTATTTATTCCATATTTGATGAATTTATGAGGACAAAAACAGTACTATCACTTTCAGATATACATGTATATTCATAAAGGTACTGTACACATTATTCAGAGAAATTTAACACCATGTTTGTTTGTAAATACATTTGTAGTTTCCTTCATGTATTATATATGCATGATATATACCACACCACCTCCTGTCATTTTAGGAATCTTTCCAAGCTTTGAGTAGATTAATTGTACCACAGCTTTTTATTTTACTCAAAAAATTCACTTGGAAATCATTTCCAGCTTGTTTCTTCACCGTTGCTTTTGCCCGTCCACAAAACATGCAATTTTTATTCTCCTTGTAGAGCAATTAACTATATGTACATCATGATAGATTGTGAATAGTTTGAAAGTATATGTGTTAAAAGGCTAAAAGTAGAATAAAGATCATTTCTTGACAAAGTTGACAGTACAATGTACAATTTAGTTTACAATGATTCAACTTTCTTAAGTTTCTTTTGTACATCGATCATCAAATCATAAGAGCAGGGACCAGTTTCACAAACCCTTTTTTCAATGACAAATTATAAAATCAGTGACAAATCTGCTGATAAGCAATCAGAAGCAAGGATTTCACTAGCTTATAACAAAAACAGTCATTCAATTCTCGCTACCCCAAATAGCGATTCTGCCGAGATCCGGGGAAAATCCTGAAAACGCGCATTGCATTATGGGATAGCTTTTCGACATTACAGCTTCCTGTGCAGGCGTTCGTGATCACAACCCTCTCTTTCATGGTAGAGTTTAACGGCCTTTTGTGCTAAAGTCACTAATTCTGCCCGAAGCTTTCCATTGCATATTATAATCTGTACAAATTACACTGATTGGCATCGATTTTAGCGTGCGTGAAAACTCTGCACAGCGAACACAGGCGCTAGCGCCAGCGGGATGGGACTCTATACCGGAAGTTGTAGTGACGACCCGAGAGAGTGAAAATTACCTCGTCTCGCGAATTTCGAGATTTTCGTACCTATTTAGGGTAGCGAGAATTGTCACTCCATGATGACAAGTTTTGTTAAATGGGGCCCAGATCAGACCCAAGGAATACTTAAACTAAAATCCAAATTGCTTGCAGTCCTCTCCTTTTTCAGTGTGATTTCACAAAAAATACTCATAGCATTAATTATCACAGAAAGAGCTAAGGTAACTCTTAACCTCTAGCTCCCACCCCTGATGAATGTAGAATTGGAATGTATATATAGTTACAATGTAGATCAGTGTGCAAACAAAGATCACTAATTAAGAAAAGGCAATTTAGAAATGTATGGCTTAATTGAGTGAACATTATGAAAGAGAATTAAGTTTTAGCCTTCTGTATGTCAATTATCAAAACAGCACATTACCAATTTGTTTGATTGAATGTACTCTGGTAGCCTAACTGTTATGTTTTCTAGCTGTCTCCATCAAACCTCTGATAGTTGTTGACATTATAATGTTATCGACCTTTAACCTATGACCTATCTAGTGACCCCAAAGACTTCATGGATATGGAGATGCCGTTACCCATTTGTTTGGTTGAATGATCTGGTAGCCTAGCTGTTATGTTTTCTAGCTGTCTCCCACAAACCTCTGATAGCTGATATTGACATTCAAATGCTATTGACCTTTAACCTGACCTATCTAGTGACCCCAAAGACTTCATGGATATGGAAATGCCAGGGAACAACCACCTCCTGACCGATAAGATGCTTCAGGATGAGGATGCATACGTTCTCCTGAAGGTCCTTGCAAACAACACCTACGTCACTGGGCTGGACATGAGGTATAACCAGATAACGGACAAGGGTGCCGAACACATTGCAGAACTACTTAAGGTGAGTTGGAGGGAGGCCATATCCCCAGTCAAAATAAAATAGTATAAAACTATATTTAAAAAATATATTTTATCACTATTTTTTCTCTCTAAAAAATAGACAGAAAATAGAAGAAAAAATGTTTATAGATATTTAGCCTTTATGTTTTAGAGCGCTTTAAAAAAAGCGAAAAAATATAAAATTATACAGAAAATATATGAAATAAATTAGTCTAAAACTATGTTTTTAAAAAAAATTATGAAAAATATATTTTCTCACTATTTTATACCCTTGGGTTTATGTCGGTGAATATAAAAACAAATTAATAAATGAGGAGGACAAAAAGAGGAAATAGATTGAATGATTTCAAGACAACATGAAGAAAAGATGATAGGATCTAACCCCACCCTAATCATTGGCCTTGTTAATTTACATTCTAATTACCTATGTTTATAGTAGGACTGGTGTGTGCCTTCTCTATTCTTGGACCCAAGCTGTCCCACCAGCTCCAGGGATGCCTTTATTTGTTGCTTGCATAGTGCTGATGTACTGAAGTATTTTGTACCTTAATTTTCCCATACACCTATTGAATAATCATGTTACACCCCCTTCCCTCCCCCCTCCTATTTTTATGTTCCCCTCCAATAATTTACCTCTACCAGTCTTCCATAATGATTTGTTTTAACCATTAAACCATATTCACTTTCTGTGTTTTTATCACTGACCCTTGCTTAACCTACAGGAAACGTGTGCTTTGAAGAGACTCAGTCTGATGTGTAATGATCTGGGCCCTGAGGGTGGTGCTATCATTGCCAATGGTCTTCAGGTAGGGTATTATCCAGATCTTAACTCCTGAAATGATTAACTGTTCTATTATCTTCTTGCAAGACCATGTTTTCTCTTCAAAATGTTATGATAAAGTCTACAGTCCCTGCCTCAATCTGTAGAAGTTTCCACTTGAATTTTTACTCCCCAAAGGCCCAATTATATAGAAGTGTACATCATGTCTAATAAAATTACGAATTATTTGATTATTTCCTGCAGAGAAGGTGAGTTTGTATAGAAGGGATTTTATTTCCATTGATGCAACCAACTACCACTTTTTATCACTCATTAATTGATTGAAATAATTAAACTATATAGGTTGAAAATCTAGTATGCAACCAATGCAATGACAGGTTGGTCAATTATTATATCTGATGGAAATGACCAATAATACAAATTTACTATTCTGAATTTCCTTTTGATTAAAAGAATAAATCATAAATTAATAGTTTGGTAAATTCTTAAAACTTAATGAGACCATATTATATGTATGTTTTGTTATTTTGTGTTTTCTTTATCTGCAATATAATTTTGTCTCTTTATCTAGCTCAACGAGACACTTCAAGAGTTAAAGCTAAATGGTAACAAGATAGGGAACAAAGGAGGCATGGCACTCGCCGGTGTCTTGCAGGTCAACACAGCTTTACAATCACTGGATCTCGGAGATACAGATCAGGTAAGTTGAAATAACTGTTATAAGCTACTGAAATCATGGCATTTGATTGGCAAAGAGCAAATTTGTATATGTTATTGATAACAATTTAGTTTTATGAAACAGGCACGAGTCAGAGGCGTATCAACATGGGACTGTTGCACTAGTTGTCTTAATTGCAGTATGATATATTTTTCTTGGTTCTTATAATACATCACTAAGTCACTAACATGGTTCTAGGACACCTACCCCCTGGACCAGTCAACTACCCTGTAGGACAACTACCACCTACGGCAACCACCCTCTAGGACGACTACCCCCTTGGACAACCCCCCAGTAAACTACCCCCTTAGGACAACTACCCCTGGACAACCAACCCCCGGACATCCATCCTCTAGGACAACTACCCCCCCCCCCCTGGACAACCATTCTAGGGGGTAGTTGTCCTAGGAGGGTAGTTGTCCAGGGGGTAGTTGTCCCGGGGGTAGTCATCCTAGAGGTTGATTGCCCTAGGGGGTAGTTGTCCTAGGGGGTAGTTGACTGGGAGTGGATGTTCAGGGGGTAGGTGTCCGGATACACACTAACATATGTATCCTCATTATTTTGAATCCCTTTCATTACACATAACCAGGACACTCAGAGCATGATTGCCTTCACCACGGTGCTCAACTACAACAGCACGCTCAAGGCGCTGTGCATGAACCGCCCTCTGTTGTTCAGTCAGCAGGAGGAGACGACCATCCACTTCGCCAAGATGCTGAAGGTCAACAGCACCCTCACCGAGCTTCACCTCCAGAAGTGCGACATCAAGGATACGGGAGCGGAGAGGCTGTCAGAGATGCTGGTGGAGAACATTGGTCTCAAGTATCTGGATCTGGCATGGTGGGTTGAGATATTTGAAATTATTAATATATTAAATTAAGGCCTGCTATAAGGAAAAGAGTACTACACATTCAAAAGAATGGTTTGGAAAATCTATCACTGACTGGAAGAATAGAGGGGAGAAGGAGTAGGGGTAGAAGGAGGATTCTGTGGATGAGTAGCTTAAGGAGTGGGATTTCTGAAAGTGGAATTGATCTCGGGAAGAATGAATTACTTCATAGAATATGGGACAGAGAGTTGTGGCATTCCATATGGTCGCCAATGTCTCAGGACATGGCACGTAAAGAAGAAGAAGAAGAAGAAAAGAGGAGCTATAAGGCATGTTTCTTCCAGGGGAAATATTTCAATTGGCTTTGGTAGACACTGGTCACTCTACAAATCGTCATCCCACTTCTGGTTGGGCAAGTAGTAAAATTTGCAGACAGATGATCTTTTTAGGCATAATCTCTGACACATTTTTAGTGGGTAGGAAGTTACAGGTCCCCCCCCCCCCCCTCATAACCCTCATGATAGAAATAATTTTTATGCCTCCGCCACCGAAGGTGGTGCCGGAGGCATCATGTTTTCGGGTTGTCCGTCCGTACGTCCGTCCCGTTTGACCGTTATCACAATATCTCAAGAACCATTTAAGATTTAAACTTAAGACTCGGGAATAGTATTTATCACCATAGGAAGACGATCTGATTAGATTTTGGAGTACGTAGGTCAAAGGTCACAGGTCACAGAGGTCAACTTATGAAATTCCTTGTATTGAGTTTGTTAGCGCGATATCTCAAGAACCATTTGAGATTTAAACTTCAAACTTAAGGATAGTATGTACCACCATAGGAAGACGATCTGATTACATTTTGGAGCACGTAGGTCAAAGGTCAAGGGTCATAGAGGTCAACTTATGAAATTCCATACATTGAGATTGTTATCATGATATCTCAAGAACCACTGGAGATGTAAAAACTTCAAACTTAAGGATAGTATGTATCACCATAGGAAGACGATCTGATTAGATTTTGGAGCACGTAGGTCAAAGGTCAAGGGTCACAGAGGTCAACTTATGAAATTCCATACATTGAGATTGTTATCATAATATCTCAAGAACCACTGGAGATTTAAACTTCAAACTTAATGATAGTGTGTATCACCATAGGAAGACAATCTGATTAGATTTTGGAGCACGTAGGTCAAAGGTCAAGGGTCACAGAGGTCAACTTATGAAATTCCATACATTGAGATCGTTATCGCGATATCTCAAGAACCACTGGAGAATTTTCACTTCAAACTTAATGATAGTATGTATCACCATATCATAATATCTCAAGAACCACTGGAGATTTAAACTTCAAACTTAATGATAGTGTGTATCACCATAGGAAGACAATCTGATTAGATTTTGGAGCACGTAGGTCAAAGGTCAAGGGTCACAGAGGTCAACTTATGAAATTCCATACATTGAGATTGTTATCATGATATCTCAAGAACCACTGGAGATTTAAACTCCAAACTTGTTTAAATTGCTCTATGGCGGAGGCATCATTTTCGACTGCGCGCAGTCAAAATTCCATCTAGTTTCACTAGGCATTTTTTTTGTCAGTTAATTCCTCAGAAGGTAAATTTTGGATCATTTGATGTCATGGCGAACCAACCTTTGCTCTAGCAGCATTTGCTACAGGCTATTTTTTTTCTCATCGAAGACATTTGTTCTCTTTACTAGATTTCCTGTTAAGTTTAGGGTCCGGTGTTGAAGCTAGGAATCTGGTTCATTCGGGAAATTGACTGAAGAACAATTACCATCTGAGCTTATGTCAAAGAACAAAAACCAAATGTTGCTCTTAATTTGTTCCATCTTGACCAGAGAGAGCCTTCGGGTGAGGGAAATGTAAGATAATGGGGGATGGGTGGAAAATGTAGAGACATGTTGGTCATAAAAACCTGAAGGGTAATCCTGGTTATCGACAATTTCTCCCGTTATTGGATAAACACCTGATTGGTGTCGAATTCCCCATTAGAGCCAACTATTATACATGTATGTCTTAATTAACTGTTGCCTCTGTCGTTGAATACATGTATCAGGCCTGATAATCACCCAATTTAAATCGGTTTCCCGATTTGTTTTATTTTTTCCTGATTAAAAAAAAAAAATCCCCCCGATTCTTCTGATTTTATCAGATTTTCCCAATTTTTCCCTTATTTTCTCTATTCTTGTCTATTCTTCCCTGTTTTATTTTATTTTCTTACTCAAAAGGGGGGGGGGGTGGAATGTTGTTAGATGCCATTTTATTCCCCCCCTACCCCCGAGCCTTTTCTTTTTTTTTTACTCACTATCGTTAGGTGTTAGTTGTTAGTGCTCACTATCGCCCCTGATGTATGTAATATGTATTGAATCATTTTAAAACCAGTAACAAGATCCGAAGAGACGGGGCCAAGTACCTGTCACGGGTCCTCATGAAGAACACTCCCTTGGAGGTCCTGGACCTGGGTCATAACTGCATCGAGGATGACGGGGCAATGGACCTCAGCAGAGCACTGACAGACATGAACTCAAACCTGCACACGTAAGTCATTTCATAATACAATCAAACCTGCTTTAGTGACGACCTGTCTACAACAACCACATGTTTTGTTTCTCATGAAAATGGTTTCTCATTGAAACATGTACTAAAGGAACCTGTCTACAACAGGCACATTTTTTGTTTCCCTTGGGCGGTCGCTGTAGACAGGTTTGACTGTATAGGGTTTGTGAATTTTTATATTTTCTGTCTGAAGCCAGAAGGGCGTTAACTCATATACTTTTTAACACAGAATTAACTCCCTTTTGACTCTGAACAGACATTATTAAAACCTTTCATGCTGCAGTTGGCAATCCTCAACCAACCTCCACAAGAGACCATCATTTTATGGTACTGGTCCTTTAAATTTTTTACATCAACAACTGCTTTCTATTTGTGGGTTGCGAATTCTGCCGAAGAGTTTGAATGCTATACAATGCGTTTCAGCTCACAAAAGGCAGGCTCTTTCTTACTGCAACAGAAATAGGCACATACATCATGAGGATGTTTTCTGCATAAATTGCCAATTAAACGAAGAATTAAATTCTTGAACATTCAAAATTGCAAAATTCAGCATACATAGTCAATGCTCAATGCAGTCTAGAAAGTTTCTATTCTCTCTGTTCATGATAATTACTTTTGTATAGGCATAAAATTTGAAAGGGACAATCCTGATTATTTGTGGAAAGCTTTAAGCTTGGGTCCAAAGAAGTAGAAGGCTCTGTCACCCCAAACCATGTGCAAGCCAAGCCAAGTCTGAAATAGAAAGTTGACAGGGCTTGAAATCATGCAACAGCTTTAAAAAAGTGGCAATCAACTCTATTAAGACACCTCCTCTAGTCCATGATTTAAATAATTTCTCGTTTTCCGTCAAGCTAGTTATCAGACTTACTTAGAATCATCCTGTCACGCGTCGGGTCGGTGGTCGCATTACCCGACCTTTTGTGACAACATATGAAATGTTGGGGGTATTGTTTGTGAAATAAACCCCCCTCATCTACAAATGGTCTGGTCTAATTTTGTAAAACCCTACCGCAAATCTATGAAAGATTGCATCATATCTTCCCTTTTCATTTGACGAAAGGTCGTGTAACGCTACCACCCGACCAGACGCAATGACCCGATGATTTGAAGTATTAGCCTTTTCACAGATAGCAACACCATAGCACCAAGACACTGTGCCTTATCCAAGATCATAAATAATATATTAACTGCTTATTTTACAGCTCATGATTTAAACCATTTCTTTTCTCTTGTTCTCTTCAGGCTAGTAATCACGAGTAACAACATCAGAGCACCAGGTTTGTGTGCCATAGCCAGTGCCATGGAGAATAACCCTAATTTCAACAGCGTGTTTATCTGGGGGAACCATCACGAGGAAGATGCCTGTAATGTAAGTTGGAAGATTGCTTTCTTCATGAAGAGTACTGTTAATTGAGATATTTCTGCACACAAAACTGTCTTGAATTTGCAATTTTGCAAAGTTTTATGACTACCTCAAGTCTGTAGTATAGGAATGTACAAAGAGTGAATTGCATTCCCATCTTTCTCTTTGCCGTTTTGGAGACCCATCTTTCAATAAATGGTACATTGCATTTTTAATTACAAGATTAAATTCATAACCATTATATTAATATTTTGTGGCTTTGACCATAATTCAAAGTTCCATGAATTCCCGAGTCTTGATTTTTTATTGACAAGAAACAGGTAGGCCTACATAGCTTCAATGTTCTTTTTTTTTAGTGCACATGGTCACATCATCATTTCAAATTTTCTTTTTATAACATTGATTTTTCAGGCGTTTCACAGGCTGATAGAGGGCGGTAATCTAGAACCGGAGAAGACGGACGTCAAACCTTACGTTGTCGATGGCCAGGTCTATCTTTCCGAGCTATCACATGGCCTTCGGAGACATTACTATTGGACGCCGTTCTACGGCCCCGATGTGAAAAATGATAAAAAGATATAATTCAGCTTCATTCTGAGTTTCCTAGACATCACAAGTACAGTGACTGAAACCTGTCTATAAAGACCACCCAAGTAAGACAAGGAAATTGGTCTTTATAAGCAGGTAGTCCTTATAGGCAGGAGGTCCTTATGTACAGGTTCATTAAGTAAATGATTCAATGAGAAACCATTTTTGAGGGAAACAAAAATGAGGTCTTTGTAGACAGGTGGTCTTTCTATACAGGTGGTCGCTAAAGCAGGTCTGACTATATTCGTGTGAATCATTGTAAAACCAGAGGCTATCACATGCATGATACTAACTTGAATAAACACCAATCAAGTTTGCGAGGGGTCTAGAATTGTGAAACTTCATGCCATGAAATAATCAATCGGACTAGACAAAACACTATTTAAAAAAATCATTTCAGGAAAGTTTCTTATTTCCACAAGAATGGCCATTGTTTCAGTTATACAAAAGTTTCTGCTTTTAGAGTAGTGGGAAAGGTTTGTGGACTGTATCTCATAAAGGTTGCGATTGAGCTTGTAATGTGGCAAGATGCACTTTCCTTTTTAAATAGCATACGCTAGTTATTGTTGCACGAGGCATTGTTGATTACTCAATCTACATCTGTACCTCTTGCAATTTTGGCTTTCGTGCAAATACTCTGTGATTCAGTGGTAGGCATTTTTTCCCATCAACTATGAGTCTCTCAGTAGTTGACTTTATCATGTGCACTCTGTTATATGCACTTCTAAGTCCCCCTCCTGCCTTTATCCGCTGAAGGAAACTGCTTTGCCAGACACAGAATCTTATTGTCCGTCCAAATCAATTATGCATATATTTTATAGAGATCTTGATGTTAACCGGTAGTTTATAGGTGTGTGCATTTGCAGGGATAACGGGCAAAGAGAAGATTATTATTCTAGTTTATAGTATTACAGCAATTTACTACTTTTTTTATTTAATTTCAATGAATATTTATTTTTGTCATCACAGACTGTTTTGGCATGGTGCAGACACAACGTGACTTCGAATTCTAGTGCTATGTATGGTTTGCTAATTTTATACACATTTACTTTGCATGCGATAATATTCCTATCCCACCAAATCTTGTTTTCCATTTCCATTCCACTTTCTGTACGCCTGAACCTGAAGCTGGCTTGATGTGTCAATTGTGATAGAAAACAATTTTACTAAAATTGTTAATATAGATAGTAATATTGTGTGTGAATGCATAACATAATTATTCATTTCCAAATGTCCATTCAAGAAAATGGCAGTGCCTATTTCAGCAGTAAAATGTTTGTTACCTCAATATGAGTGAATTTGCATTGTATTACTGTTAAAAAAAAGAGAATGTTATGCAATTTATCTGATTCCATCCACTCTTATACCTTGAAAATTCTAGTTATGATACATGTACAATTGTTCACAATCTGCATAATATTGTTCTTATATACATGTATATGTAAATAAAGTGTATTATATAAACAAAATATGTCATATTATGAATGCTTTACTTTGTGGAAATTGAGTAATAAAAAAGATAAAATTATATCAAGGCAATTTCATGTATAAAAGTAATAGCTTTATTGCAATTTGTACATAATTACATGACGCACATCTTTAAATCGGGGGCCACTAATGTATTCCCTGAATATGTCGATTTTTAATGTATTCTTGGAAATAGTGAAGAAGGTAATACTGATAGGAGCTCAGCTGGTTATTTAGATATCTCTTTGGTGCAGAGCCCATTTCAATAAATAATTGAGTCTTCTAGCTGCACTAAAGCCATACTGGCAGTTTGGTAAAACGGAACTTCATTTTACGAAAAGAATGCTTTCAAAAAAGGGTGTGTCATGTTCACTATTTTTTTCCTACATGATAAGAAAACAATCTTCACTTAAAGCCCCACTGTCCTCCTTGTAGATACTTGTTCCCTCTATATAGAAAACAATGCCTAATCGGTGACCATTGGTCCCCCATGATCCTCTTTTTCTTATGTTAATTGAGAGCCGAGTTGGTGAGATAGCCACCTGTCACTGACAACGCTGTGTGGTCTAATCTCTCCTGGCCAAACTAGTACAGCTGGCCTTTAAATAAAGCACCAAATGCTTGTTATGTATTTTTGACGATCTAAGCAGGAAGGGAGAAGGGGTCAAATCAACCTCCATGATTTATTGGACACCTTGATTTTCATCATTTGCTATCACACTTCCTACAATGTAAAAAATTATTTAGGATTTTTGCATCATTTCAATGTCTTTGGATTAATATTAATTGAAGTTTGAATCTCGGAATAAACAAAACAATGAAAATTGTGAAATGCCTACAGTACAAATAGCATTCTGCATATGAAATCAAACATTACAAACTAAGAATTGAATACATTCTTTGGCCTACAAAGGATTACACATAAATGTATGATGAAAAGTAGCTCATGCACACATTGGTAGCAATAGGCAAGTATAATCGGACAGTTTTATCATTGTATATCGGTACACCATTTTTCATTCTGTACTTTCACATTTTTCTCAATTGCTTATGAAGGTATAGACCCAGTATTGGTAAAATTGCAGTTCAAGGGTTTTGGGTGCAAAATATCCATCCGATATTGTTTAAATATTGCCTTCAGAGGTTTAGATGGCAATACTTCAACCTAAATTCGCAAAAAAAAGAAATATATGCCCAAATGTTTCGTTCGCGATATCTATCCAGGCTGGATCGATATGATAATTTACCAAATATATCAATTAGTAAGGCGGTTTCCCGGCAAAATTTGTATCATCGAGTATATGTCAAAACATATTCTTTCATATGATTGGTAATAAGAGCTTTCATTCATTTTTTGAGAGGGGGGCGTTTCCAAAACTGGACTATACCTTCAGAAATTAGTTTTCCAAATGCTTATCCTCCACATGATTGGTTATTGAAAGCATCAAGCTAGACAAAATAATGATTTGATGAACATTTGGATAGGCATTCATACAAAGGAATCCAAAATGTATTTGTCTTCAGAGCGTGATGAAATCGTACTATCTCTTCTTAAAGCCCTACTCAGACATGACGCATAAACCACTTCAAAAATTCTGCCGCTACATAAATTCAAGATTATAACATGAGTGGCAAGAGCTGAATGTTGCTGTGTTCACACAATAGCCCATTCATGATCTATGTGTAACCCGTCGAGTGATTAACTCACGGATGCCAGTTAGAATTGATCAGAGGGCCTGAGAATCACCTAGAATCAGCTATTTTGTAAAGAAAAAAGCCTAAACTATGATCTGAAATAACTTGCCAGGGCCTGAAAACTGGCATCCCTGATAACACTATTTTACCAATGCAGTTTTTGAAGCGGTCGCCGCAGTGATTATTTTTAAGCAGTTTTTTGCTTTGGGTCTGAATGGGTCCTGATGAAGTCGTTTCGCAGCCTCAAGCTGTTCCCTCTAAAGTGGGCGTGGCTTGACTATCGATTGGTTTCACACTCCCGTTCACAGGCTCGTCGGGGGTGGGGCTTGGGTCTTTCTGGACGGCGTCCTCCGCCCCGTTCTCCGTGATTGGCACTTTGACGGGCGTCTGGGCGGGGTCAGCGGAAGAGGAGTCGCCGTTGGTTACCGGCTCCCCACTGAGCAGAGGTGGTGGTGGTGGTGATGATGAGATATTGCCGTTGGTAGCTTCGGTGGAGAGGGGAGGGGGTGAGTTGCTCTTGGTGGACGACTGATCGCTGCTGCGCTGCCAGCTGGGTATTGTTGTCCTCTGGGGCGTCGACGGGAACTGATGCCTGTGATGCATAGTAGAATAATGATAAATAACATGTATAATTGTATATAATAATAATAATATTCCGCTTTTATATAGCACCCAATACATTGATACAACAATGTGTCTAAGCGCTTTACAGATATATTATTACCCCGGTCATCGGGTTCAGGCTTACCAGCACACAATGTATACACATTCTCCACTCCCTGGGGAGCATTCCGGGCAGTTGCCATTTTACAAGCGCACATGTATCTTCAAAGGGAAGTCTGCATAATTGTGAAAACTTTTTTATAGAAAGAAAATTCCTACTTGTATACGCTTGTTTCTAATCATTCACACAACAAATTGAGACGGGAAAATAAAGTATATACATGTATTTCTCTGGAGCAAAAATATAAAAGTCCACTGTAGGCTGGATAAATGAGTAGAAAATGATAAGGAAAGATTTTTATGGCATGGAACTCAACATAAAAGACTGATCTTATTTTAGTTATCTTTATCAGAGACTACATATATTTCATAATTGTATCTTATATATTTCTGTTTTATCTTGTAGACTGATGGTTTATGTTATCTTAAATGTTTGAGCAAGGAAAGAATATCATTAGGGGCAAGTTCTCTTTTAATAATATCTACTTACATTGTAAACTGTTTTAGCAAAATGTATTAAGGACATACTATTAACAAGGAGGTTTTTTTTTAATTTTAGACGCTGCACAGAACTGCCCCAATTCCAGTAAAACTTTTAATGGCCATCTGTACTAATTTAGCTAGGAGGGATTAGACCACCCAGGAAGGTCACTGACAGGTGGCTATCTCATCAACTAAGCTCTCAATTAACATAAGAAAAAGAGGATCATGGGGGACCAACCGGCACCGATTAGGCATTGTTTTCGACATAGAGGGAGCAATTAGCTACAAATAGTACAGTGGGCCTTTAATTAATTAAAACACTTCTGCTGCATGCTCTTTCACTGACCTGCTTAGAAGCAGTCCTTTCAAGGACATGATCTCCGACTTGATCTCTGTAGTATCCGTAGAACGTCTACCGTTCGACAGTGCTTTCCCTGACACGACCTCAGAATTGAGGGTGGTAAGCTGCTGTTCTTGTTTCTCCATCAGGCCCTGAATGGTACTGATTGATTTCTCCATTGCTGTGACTGCATTTAAATAAAAAAGATAATTTTCATTAAAAAAACATTGATGATTAATAATCACAAAGGCAGGCTCACGCAAGGTGTATTTCACTAAGCTGTAACGCCAATAGACTGGTTTACTAACATTCAAATTTATGGATGTTTCTTTCCTGGGGACCTCCTGATGAGTTATTCTAATCCATTAACCTGGTATTAATGATTGAACTACAATACTTGGAAAGTTGGAATTCAGTCTGCATACAAAGCCTTGAGCAAGCATCCAATATGTCAAGAACAACATTTGTTTAAAAAGTATCCCAAGTTTTGTTAATATGTTAATAAACTGGTCTAATGATTGTTCCACTCAATAGAATAAAACCTTACAGATAGAGACAGACATTGTTTGAAACAATGTTCGGTGCAACACTGGTATGGCGATCTACACAAGCAAACAAGTGCATACATGTATAAAGCGCAAACTGGACATCGGTCTGACAACTTCAGTTGCAGCCGTCTCTATCTCAAGGGGTCTACTGTTCGATGCAGTCTTCAGCATGAAATGGACAACAGTTGGCGTGATCACTGCTAATTAAATAATGCCTCATGTAAACCACAGGTAAAACCACAGGTAAAACCACAGGGCTGGAGTGTTTGTGTCTTATCTCACATTCACACTTAAAAGATGTGAGAATGCTTATTACGCACACTTCATTCCCTTCCCCACTTGCTATTCATTTACATGTATAATAGTTTGGGTTTTTTTTCAGTTAAACTTAAATCATAAAAATGATACAAAATTGATTCAGTCTTGATAAAAGCCACATGAACTGGACACAGAAATGTGTATATGAGACTAAACAAACATATGGCATGGTGGTCTGAGCAGATTTCATCTAGACAAATCAAACAACTACTGATGTGCTGGTGTTTGGGCCCAAACCCAGCAATAGAAGTCAAGTATCATTTGCATTACGATTTACGGCAGACCTTTAAAATAAACACCTATCGTACTCAGATCGAATCAGTGTGCTCTGATAGTTGTTTACTTTTCGCCTTGGACTTTGATACAGGGGGAAGATGCATTGAATGTAATGTACACTTAATGTTGTTTTCTTCTTTTTCAGTCTACGGTATCACTCGACTTTGATACAGTGGGAAGATGCATTGAATGTAATGTACACTCATTGTTGTTGTCCTTTGATATGGCTAGAGTATTTCCCTATTACATGCAGGTCTCTCTCAGCACATTTTTTGCAAAACATGTTTTTATGATTATGACTTGAATGTGGGTTACCAGTAAGTTTAAATATAGCACAAATACTATAATGAACTTTAGATAAACAAGTACTACTTAAATGAAATGAACAAGGAAATTTGAACATCCCAGCTCTTTGCATGTTTGCATGTTTAGAGCACTATTCGAGACAAGGTTATTTCTACTGTATTTGTGGTTCCTTGCACACAGCCCGCCGTAATTCATCACCATCTTCGAGTTCACAATACATGCTTAATAAGGTGTCACAATGAACACATCTAGGCCCTGTTTCATCAAACTTTTTATCAATAATATCTGCCACAGATCTATCACAAATATGCTCATAGCCAATCAAATGTAAGGGTTCCAGTAGCTTATAACAAAATCATATTTTGTTATCGATCACAAGTTTTATGAAACAGGGCCCAGATATAGGTCTCCATGCAGGTGGACAACCTACAACAAAACAACCTCTGGAAGAGGCATACAGAAAAACGTTCATAGCAGTGGAATTTTTAACTCTGTTTTGTATGGCCATACTTGCTAATGCTTTTGTGACCATCTGTCCAGATACACCACTTGCCTAAAATGATCACATCCTTTCTATCCCTTGAAAAGGATTTTGCAATACAAATGTGTATCTAAATCAACATATTTCCTAATGAGGACTGTAAAATAAAGACAACCTGCTTATAAAGACCACTTTCTATGTCTTTACTTTATAGTGGTTATGTGTAGGTTTTTGACCACTTGCCTAAATTGATCGCATCCTAGGCATCCTTTGAATAGTGTTTTTCAATTAAAATGTGTATTACAATCACAATGTTTCCTACTGGGGACTGTAAAATAAAGACAACCTGCTCATAAAGACCTTCTAGTGGTGTTTATGTGTAGGTTTTTATCTATAAATGTACCTGCTTGTGAGACATTCTTGTTAAGTTCTTCTATCGAAGCTTCCAATCTATTCATTCTCTCCTTTTCTTCTTTTCTGCTCTTTAGCCATGGTGAAACTAATTTCTGCAAAATAAAAAACAAATATAAAAATGTAATCAGCAAATGAAAGTAATATTCTCCCAAGTACCTCTGAACAATTCAATTCAATTCAATTCAAATGAGGTTTTATTCAAGACTTGTCAAAAAGTCCAAAGACTAAAAATGCAAGTTAACATCAAACATACAATTGCATAAAAAAGCATAAGACAGACATTTGGGTTCTCCAACTACAACAATATAGCCCATGTTTCTCTTCACTAAAGGGGCTTTTCAAAAAGAATACAATACGGAGTAAAAAACACTAATATTAAATAACAACAATACAAACAACGTCAACAACACCAACAACATTTCTACAGTGCTGAATGTAAACAGGAGAAGGTAGTCAGTCTCCATGTGACGTGTACAAGTCTCGCACACAGCACTCCCGTAGTGCCTTCTAGAAATCACCCCTAGTCGCTAGGAGAGTCTCTGGATGATAGAAACATAAGATAATGACTTTTCCATATTGGGCGATTGGTGGAAAATGCAGAGCATTACATAAGGCCTGTTGGTCATAAAACTGAAGGCTAATCCTGGTGATTGACAACACCTGTTAACACTCGAATGGTGTCGAATTCCCCATGAGAGCCCACTACTATGCATCTTTGATGTTTCTAAAGGTATAGACCAGCTCTGGTCATGCAATTGCATTGTGAAAGAAACGTTATGGAATCAATCAGAAAAGATCATCTAGCATATAAGTATTGGTGAATGCTGCAAGGTTGTGGAATCATCAAAATGATAAAAAATTTGGCCCAGTCTTGGTAAAGTTACAAGCACTGTACACAGAAAGATGTATATGGGACTACGCGATATATCTATCCAGGCCGGATTGATATGCGGTTTCCCGGCAAAATTTGTATCATCACGTATGAGTCAAAACATATTCTTTCACATGATTGGTGATAAAAGCTTCCATTTCAATTTTGGAGAGGGGGGCATTTCCAATAATGGTCTATCCCTTTTAGCCCTGTACTATCATCAACCTGGCTGTAGCCACGCCAGCGACGCTACCCTGAAACCCTGAGGCTTGGCATTCAAATAAATATGAAAAATGTGAAGCATAAAAACACGTACCATGATTAATTTGTAGACGCCAAATGACACCCCACTGATGATGACAGCTATGGCCGCGTAGTCCCTCCAAGTGGTTACCCTTGAAGGAGAGGGTGGCTGCATGTAAGGTACTGCAATATGAAGAGAAAAGTCATTTGTACTTTGGTTTGGTTTCACGGTTTGTTTTATCTGACTGCTATTATTAAAGGGATTGGGTATCTTTGTCTCAGATTCTAAACAAAATCTTTGATTTAGCTCATGCTGCATCAATACAAAATAATAAACCTTCAGGTCAGTCAGGGTTCCAATGACGTTTGCAAGCCGATCGCCCGTCTGATTATCAAGATATTTATGATTAAAATTCAAAATTTCAAGAAATGTTTTCCCAGCGGTTTATATAACACTAGTCTTTTGGGGAAAATGAGTATGGTAAAACCATTTTTTGACAAGACAACCTGATTATAAAGACCGCATACTTGGTTTACCTATAAGATTATTCCCTATCGACACTTTTTAAAACTGAATCAACCTGTCAATATAGACCTACCTGCAAAGACCACTTTTCTTGTTTCCCTTCAGCAGTCTTTATAGCCCCACTGTACTACTTGTAACTACTTGCTCCCTCTATATAGAAAACAATGCCTAAGCGGTGCCCGTTGTTCCCCATCATCCTCTTTTTCTTATAAATGTTAATTGAGAGCTGAGTTGATGAGATAGCCACCTGTCAGTGACCACCCTGGGTGGTCTCATCCCTCCTAGCCAAACTAGTACAGACAGCCTTTGAATACAAGTTTCAGTGTATTATAATGCTTACCCATCTGTTGCTGAGGTACAGCACCAGGATGTGTTGCCATGGGAACCTGGCCTTGAGGGGGCGGGGCTGTAGGGGTTTGATTGGCAGGTGGTGCAACGTCTTGCCTGGTTCCCGATCTATCAATGGCCAATTCAATCTCTGCATCTTTCACACCTAGATATGCATTCAAGAGAACAACATTTTCTGGTTTAGCCCTTCTTCTTCCTCTTACTCTCTTCGTACAAATTCATTAGCTAACCAACTACAGTAAAAACCATGTGAATTATAATAGTACTTTAGATTTGTTTACTATTAGTTTTGTTCATCTTTTAAATTACCAGTTTCGCCGATTGAATTCAGTTTAGTGCTGCTTGGTTTGATACCATTGAAGTGATTTTTTTGCTCCTTCAACATATTTTTTTCTTCTCACAGACCAGTTTAAAGACCTCTAATACCAAATTAATAGCATGATTAACCTGCACACTTACCCTTTTTCCGAAGGAAAGCCTTTTTCTGGGCCATTGGACTCGACCTAACTTGTGGATTGAGCAAGAACTTCACAGCAGTCTCAATCTGTGAGAGGACGAAAACATAACTGTCAGTAGATTTTTAAATTTTATTTTCAGTCATTTTCATAGAATCAAATAGCAAAGTATACAATCACATTGTTGGATCACATTCATATAAAAGTTTTATGGCATTATAGTGAAAGAAAAACCTGAAGCGAAATCAATTGGTCATCTACACAAACTTTTTACCCCTAAATAAGACTCTGAAACCCTAAAATGTTGATAATCTTAGTTACCACATTAAACATGTTGAGAGTTGCAATCAGATTCATCATTCTGTTAAGGCTACAACTAAACTATTTTTATCAAAATATCATTGAATTACATATTGTGGCACATACACTGCGAGAAAACATAAATGGTTTCTAGAAAAACTATTGAGGGTGAATTTTTTTAGAGAGAAATTTTTCCTTTTCCTCTTTTATATTATTTTGCTTTGAACATGTATGCACATTTTGTAAACACATTGGGGAGTAATAGAAGATTTATAAAAAAAAATTAACAGAAAACTATTGTTTGTTTGTATTAGTTTGTTTTGAAAGGAAGTGAAAAAGCAAAGCAAAACCAAAGCAATCTGAAATATTTACAAAATATTTCATTATCAAAGTCAAAGCAACAACAAGATTTTATCTTCCACATCAAGTCCAAATGCACATAATACATTCAAGAAACAGTGCATTTTTTTTTGGCTGTAACTTGCATCCCAGGTGCTTAGAAACAAATATGAAAATTAACATTAAAACAAAAATCTCTGCTCTTTCCTACCATTTTTTCTCTGGGAGCTTCAGGAGCAGCCTCTGGACTTGAAGCTCCACCAGGAGCTAGGCCATGAGCTGGAGCAGGAGCTGGAGCCATTCCCGGGCCATTTTCATTCACAGCAGGATTCCCTGCAGAGCCCTACACAGATGACATAAATTGTTTTACATACAATGTTAATTATGAACTTTAGAAGTGAACTGAGAAATGAACTTCTCTGGAATAATCTTGTACAGTCAAACCTGCTTTAATGACCACAAGTATAGAAAGACCGCCTGTCTATAAAGACCACATTTTTTGTTACCCTTGAAAATGGTTTCCCATTGAAACATGTACCAAAGGAACCTGTACATAAAGACTACCTGCCTATGAAGACCACTTTCTTGTCTCCCTTGGGTGGTATTTATAGACAGTTTTCACTGTATAACAGAAGGGTACTCCTTTAAATGGGGCAATTTCAAACAATGAGCAAGTAGGACACAAAACCAAAGTTGATGGGGTGAAAGAAACAAAACAACAAAAAAGGGCCTGAAGATCCAACATTAGGAAAACCAGCAAACATGTTTACATTTCCTGCAAAGGGGTTAACTGAGCTCAAATTGAAAATGTGATACATTCAAGTCCAAGACAAGAGTGAGTACTCAGAGTAGGTTCTAGACTCCTCATGAGAACTTGAGAAAGATTCTTCGGGTGACTACTGACTAGACTACCCTTAAAAATTCAGGCATGGCTGCGGAAAAGTGGGGGGGGGGGGGGGGGGGGGGGGGTCACTGGGAACACGCATATGCGTACTCTAAATGAAGAGATAAGTCGTTATATTATTTGATCAGAAAGGCTTCCCCTTCACAATTATATGAATTTTGCATCAATTCACTTTTGATTCTTCGGTGTGACTACTGACTAGACTATTTTTAAAAATTCAGGCATGGCTTTTGAACTCAGTGTGTCAAAGTTATGGCTGGGAAAAAACTTCCTTGTTGCTGTTGTTGTTTCTTTTGTTCTGTAATACAAGTCAAGTCATCAATGATATTTGGTCTTTTGTAGACTGTCCTCCCCACCCCCCCCCCCCCCCCACTCCGTGAACGGAGGGATACCATGCATGTTCCCAAACTCTCCGGCTCGTTATAAATGAAAAAGGTCTACCCGTATCGACTTTACACACCAGACTTTTGCTGAAAAGGGGGGGGGGGGGGGGGGGGGGGGGTGCTGAAAAAGGCTCGTATAACAAAAGAAAAAGGTCGACCTGTATTGACTTTACACACCGGACTTTTGCTGAAAAGGGGGGGGGGGGGGGGCGGGAGACTGTCTCGCAAGTGGGAGAGATTCAGAGAGTCTCCCAAATAATTTGGCAGTGTGCCTCTACTATTTTGGCTCAAGAAAAATGTATGTGACAAAATGACGTTGAAGCACTACTCATTGTGTGGAGTAAATGGTGGTTTCCTAATTGAAAATCATTCCCAACATGCAACATACCCCAGCCCGCGCCCGGCCGGTGGCCAAGACAATATAAATTACACATTCCTAACGGCTTTTAACGCTAGTTCCACTTCCAGCACAAGGAGGGCACTGATGACTCAGGCCCCGCCTTGATAATAATAGTTGCGACTGATTCATACACATCTGTAAACAAATAAAATTCCACACACTCAATGACTCAGTCTACGACAGAACGCGACGCGACCGGCCGACTCTCAGTCTCAGTCTCAATTCAACACACACCGTGGCCGTGGCCCGTGGGTCAATAGCGCTATAGCCTCGATACTCAGCCAGAGTTCCCCGTGCACAGCTCATCAATTACCGCTATCAAATTAGGGAACATAGACAAATCAATGAATGTTCACGTTTCCATGCTTCTTAAAAACATGATTTACTAACAAAATTACATTCAACATGAATACATAATATTATCTTTCGCAAATGCCAAATTTTAATTACCTCTGTATCCCTCTCAGCTGACATTTTTAACAGCGAAATATGCTCAGATGTTGTGTGGCGTACCTAGAAAAACGAGGGAGGCGGAGCTAATACGGAACGTTTACACACGTTGAGGGCAGCATATTAGAAAATGAAAATCACACAATGGGCCAAAGAGGAATAAAAGAACTTATTTATTTATCCATAACATTTGCAGTTTTATTTTTACAGGACAGCATTGTCAGTTGCAAAGCTGCTTTCTACATTGGCCCTGCTGGCCTAGAAAATTGAAATTAAAGACAAATTAAAATTGGTAAGCTTTATATATACACGTATGAAATAATGAAGGAATAATAATGAGGGCGAATTCATAGACTTTCGTTGAAAATCAGAAATATACTATATACAAATAAATACAACCACAAGATAAACAAACATACATCACCAACAAAAACAACAACAATAACAATAGAAAGATAACTTAAAACTACGTATAGTCGATTCTTTTGGTGACTAAACATTTTTTTTTAATTTTGCTGTTTGGGGGGGGGGGGTAGTAACGGGGTATCCATACAACTAATGAAAACGTACTTGGTGTATTTTTTTATACCGTGAAATTCGTGATTGTAATTTGTAAGGATGTTGTAAAAGCCTCCACTGTACGTTTTAGTTGTAGTAACCCGTAACCACCCCCCCCCCCCCCCAAACAACAACATCAACAAAAATGTTTAGTCACCAAAAGAATGAGCGGGGGTACAAAACACGAACTTCCTCCTTTTGGCCAATAAACAAATAATTATTTCGTAATTTCATGATATTTCATCCGCCGAGAAAGTAAGGTGCCCGACACAGGGGCGGATCCAGCCGGTGGCAGGGGAGGGGGCCCAATTCGTGAGTAAATATTTAGCGGCGAAAATAAGCCGGCCGATTATTCGCAAAGTGTGGGGGGGGGGGGGGTAGTGAGCACTAATTCATTTATTTTTTTGCTCCCGAAAATTTGAAAATCGCGCCGGCCGATAATTCGCTCAGGGCTGAATTCGCTGAAGAGCACCTAAAACAATTGTAAAACAAACTGTTTTTAGTATTATTATAATCATGAAGTTTTTATCGTTATGCACATAATCAAGAAACTAAGGTAACCTGTTTAGTATTCAATTCCATAATGGTGTTTTAATTATTATGATCAATCAGAAAGATTCGATTGTCGTGCACAGGGGCGGCGATCCCGGGGGACGGGGGGGGGGGGGGACACGTCCCCCCAAAGGATTATCCCCCTGAAAATTTAAAAAATTGCAACAAAATAAAGTGTATAGCAAATACTGACTAAAGACTACAACAAACTTTAAGGCTCTGGAAGACTCAAGAGTGCAGCGTTTAGACAAATAAAAATGCAAAAATCTTCTCGCTCGGTAGCTACGCTCCCTCGCATATTCTTCAGAGTGTACAAATAAATAGGCCTATTGTCGACGGATAGTCAACCTGTTCGAAACGTCGAGCCACTCCCGCGACTCATCCTCTCTAAGCGCTATAGTTCTCCTTAGAACTATAAGATAAGAAAGATAACCAACAGTCTTTTTCAAGACTATAAAAAAAATCCTTTTCAGGACTACAAACCCTCAAGATAGATTACCGAAAGTCCTTTTTCAGGACTCCTCAATCCTCCCTCTCTCTCTCTCACATGGTGCACCCGCAAGCCTACTGTATACCGGACTGTATACCTCTACATCACCATGCAAGCCGGTACTTAGTAAATATTGTAGAAAAGTGAAGTGTGAAAAAGGTATATTGCTTGTTTTTATACTATTGTTTTGCTAAGGAATGTAATTTATTAATACAACAAAGCTTCAAAAACATGTGAGGGGATAGTAACTTCCATCACCGTCACCCCTCTTGTTCACTATGCTCCCTCGCACTGGCGTAATGATTGGGGAGCTTGGGGGCAGTTGACCCCCGAATAAAATTCAAACGTGGTTTAATTCTAATTCGATACCAGTGATTTACAAATGTTGCTGAAATGGCATGGTTTTTCCCTGAACTTCCGGAGGCTCTGCCCCTTGGACCCCACCAAGGGCCCTAAGGCGTGCCCCTGGTTGCTCATCTGACCGTAATTAAATGCCTAAAAACCCTGAGCTTCCGGGTAAGGCGGGCCCAGGATGCTCATCTATCCGTTATTAAATGCCTAAATCTCCGCCCATGACCCCCGCCGGGGCTTTGCCCCTTGACCTCAAGCCAATTTACGCTCCACTTACTTCGCTCGCTTTGCTCTACCTGACCGAAAACATTTTAGCCCCCCCCCCCTTGAAAAACGTTCCGCGGGACCTACATGTACCATGTAAAAGTGGGGGTGATGCGGTTTGTTTCTTCTGCCCCGTCCCCCCCCCCCCCCCCAAAAAAAAAAAAAAGAAAAACGTTTTTGCTCATTACTACACTGCTCCCCGTCCCTAGCATTTCGCCCCCCCCCCCCCCTCCCGGTCATGAAAAGAAATCGCCGCCCCTGGTCGTGCACTAATCAAGAACCTAAGGTTACCTGCTTACAACTCTATTCCATATGGTGTTTTAATTATTATGATAATCAGAAAGATTTGATTGTCGTGCACTAATCAAAAACCTAAGGTTACCTGCTTACAACTCTATTCCATATGGTGTTTTAATTATTATGATAATCAGAAAGATTTGATTGTCGTGCACTAATCAAAAACCTTAGATTACCTGTTTACGATTCTATTCCATATGGTGTTTTAATTATTTTGATAATCAGAAAGATTTAATTGTCGTGCACTAATCAAGAACCTAAGGTTACCTGCTTGCAACTCTATTCCATATGGTGTTTTAATTATAATGATAATCAGAAAGGTTTGATTGTCAAGCACAAATAATCAAGAACCCAACGTAACCTGTTTACAATTATATTATTCCAAACGGTGTTTTTATTGTAGCTTGTTTTATATGCTAAGGAGTGTAATCAATCCATCGGAGTGAAAACGTGATTGGAATTAGTACATACCATCCATGATTGTGCAAATCGATATCTGGGGCAGGCAACCCAACGTTCGGTCAGATTTTGGCTTTATATTCAAACAACGTTTTGCGTATAACTTTGTAAAGTTTTGTTAACAAAAAAAAACCTATAGACGCCGGGCCCTGTATATATTTGAAATGTTGGTTTATTTTGCTGAGAGAATATAAAAAAATTGTTGCTGAGAAAAAGTCATGTTGAAGAAAAATGGTCTAATGGAAAAAGGAATAGATTACCCTTTTCTGCTCATTATTGAATACAGGAAGGGGAAGTCCACCCTGATATTAAGTTAGCTTCAATAGAAACAGAACAATAATTTGGGTTTTCTGTTCTACGCAGAAAATCTAAATTTTGTATTCTTTCATCAATATTCGACTTTAAACGCATTTGTTTTGAAAACCCTTGCAGAAATATTTCTTAAATTAGATACTCTTTCACATTATGATACAATTTGAGTCAAATTTTGCCAACAAACTTGTGGGGCTCCCAACGCTTAAGAGGCTCTACCCTAAAGTTGATAGGGGAGCACTCTTGGTTAAAAGTTCATTTATTCACCAAACATTTGATTCGATTTGATTACTGAATGCTTGTAACAAGTATGGATAAACAAATAATAACTTTAGTGTAGATAAACAAATCAGTACTTTAGGAAAAAGTTGGCATTGACAAAACAGAACATTATGGCCCTTCGCTTGTATCTTTACAAGAAACTGAGCTGTGGAATTTTGATTGAATATCTAGTGATTAATTCGGTTGATTATGCAGGTAGGAATTAATACACTTAAATCTGAATAAGAATTAGTGTGATGCCTATAATAGCTGAGCGTTCATTTCTTGTTAAATCATTCTGCTAGCTAGATCGAAGCCTTCACCCAAGCAAGAAAAATATCAGCATCCAAGTCGGATCTCTCATCTCCTCCGATCGAGAACTAATATCAGTCGCACATCTTAACCATAAGGTAAGCTATTTGTTTACGACTAGATACATTACATTGCGATATAAAAATACAATACGGTGCTTCCATCTGGGTATTTTATTACCTTTGAAATTTTCCGAAGAATACACATGGTATACTGATCATGTTGATCGGAATTAGCCGGATCTTTTCGTTCATATTCACCTCATTTTGTTTCCATTCAACCCACTTTTAAAATTTCGCTTGAAAATATTTATAGATCCTCTCGGAGCTTATCTGCAAGCAAGAATTTGATACAAGAAATAATCATTTTGATATTTTTTTTTGTAACCGAAAGACTTGGACAAATCTGAAACTCTTTTTATTTTACTGGCATAGAATTTGGGAAATCTTTTTCAAAATGTATATAATAAGTGTAACACGTTTTTCACACATAAATGTAAAACAAACCAAAAGATGAATAATTAGAATTGAGTTCCTGCACGAACATGTAACTAGGAAATGATGACTCTAGTTGGAAAAAATATTTTTAGGTATGAATTTATTGTGCTTCTAACATTATTTGCCAGTATTTTATGTAAATCTTTTTTGTACTTGTACTGTTTGAAGTAAGAAATATTCCAAATGATATTATTTGGAAAATAGTAACATTACCTTTTTACAAAAAACAGTGTTTCATCGAGAATGGCAAGACGCCTATTTATTGAAAATTTATAATTTGATTACAAATTGTATGTGAAATGACTTTACATTAATTAATAAAAAGGTGAACGCACGACAGCTCTTATTTGATTTTAAATATACTAAATTAAAGAAAGCCTTTCCGTAATGTTGGTTAGATAGATTAAGTGACGTCAATGATTTTTAAAATGAATATGATATTTCGAATCTTATAGAAATAGAAACAGGGCATAAAGTAAATGTTTTTGTTATGAAAGTGAAAGATTACTATCGTTTGCTAACACGGAAAAAATCAAAAGAGCCAATTGTGTCATTTATATTTGAATTCCTTTCTAGTTTTAAGAATATTGACTTTGTTTGGAAGTATGTATTTTCATTGAAAAAAACCTAAAGCAAATTCGAAATAATGAAATTAAACAATTTTATTTCAAGATAATTCACAGGATTCTTGCCTCAGAAGAAAAATTATATAAATGGCAAATTGTGAAAAAATAATTA